GGCTTGCCCTCACCAACATGCAGCTGCCCCACCCAAGGAAGCCTGGGACTGTGGCAAGGCACCACCCAAGAGAGGACGCTACAGGAAGGAGGCTGCCCAGAAAACTGGACTAGAGGGGCCATGCCCCAAACTGAACAGACTGGTGGCAAGTAGCCCAGGACAGCGGATTTTGACTCCCTACTGGGAAGGTCCCCTGCCATTCAGGGGTTGATCTACACAGGACCCTGGGCTGGGACCTGGTGGAGAGGGTGGACCTGGGTGCCCCTATTCCCCTGGCCTTAAAGACTGTACCTCCTCAACCAAGCAGTGGGGCTGAGTGCCGTGTGCTCTAGCCACTAGGCAACCCAGCCCTCCAAGCCACCTGTTACATGCACATTCAAGTTGGAAGGTGCACTCACAAAACCTGACTTGCTTCTGTACAGTTTGGAAACTTGCTCAAGCACAAGTCTGAAAATCTAGATCTGTTGGATTTATCAGCATACTGAGAACAATATATGAACAATTATTCTTCATTTTTGTTTCAGGACTGCATTGTTTGGACCCAGATGCATACATGTTAGATGTTTACCGTGCAAATCCTCAAGCAGAATGGGTGATAAAACCAAAATCAAGTTGAAGCTTGCAAAGATATCACATCTCAGTGATTTGGAAAAAGCCAAAAAGATGGCAACGATGCTTTCCATCTCAAGATGACCTGGCCACAGATGAAACCAAAGCATTTTTTATTTTATATATTTTCCTCCCAAGTACTTTACCATTGAGCCTTTTCATATCCCAGATAGGTAATGAGAGCTGTTACTCCAAGTTATGGAACATTATACAACGGTGACACAGTCACATGGCTTATATTTGTGCCAGTTCTTCAATAGACATGAATGAGGAAGGAGCAGAGGTACTTAGAAACAGCTTGTGGACCTGAGTATTTTTTTCACTTCTTGACTTGATGCTGAGAAGACACATTTCTATAAACAGGTAACACAATGACATCCTAGAATGTAGTGAACGCTGCCGACTGCAAGGTAATGCAAAAGAATCACCACGGTATGCAAGAAGGGAAACGTATCTATTAAACATGGACTGTGGGAGCTGGACTGACAGCAGTGCCACAATGTGTTTATGTGATAAACTCGAACCCTTCTTTCAAAAGCAAACCAGTTTATAAAGTAAAACGTCCATTGTTCCAATATCTGTGCGGCTGACTCACTCCTCATTAGTAGCTGATACTGAGGAGAAAGAACTACTGTGTAAAGACAAACATACTGTTTATGTATGTTGTACTGTATATGTTACTACTATCAGCCTTCTGATACATCTCTCTCCGGCGTTGACCGCGTACCCATGTATTTGTAGCACCACTGCCTCACAAATTAAACAATATTTCCTTCTCCCTCCCTCCCTCCCCTACACACACATGTAAAAGTGATGGGGCTCTGAGACAGCCACTAGTCTTGCCACTCCAGTTTTCACTGACTAGTCATGGCTTTAAAATGGTTTCTGCTTAATTGTCTTAATATGTGTGCTGAATGTCTTAAGGGCCAGTTACAGACATTACCCTTTCTCCAGAACCTAGTCTTTTCTCATTTTCGGGCTAATTGTTTTTCCTTCGTCTGTTTTAGTTTAATATGAAAGTAGTTTTTAGTCTTGTCAGCAGTGTTCAGAAGAAAGATCTTGCCTGACACTTGTGTCCTATGGCAGGGGTTTTAGGTTTTCCTGTTCATAGAGATGGAGAAGAAGAGTTTCCGATGAGAAGTAGGATTTATTATTATTATTTAACATTGCCATTATTGTAGTGCCTAAAGGCCACAACCAGGTTGGGCCCCACTGTGCTAGGCATTGTACAAACAAGTAATAAATAGCTAACTCTGCTGCAAATTGCATGCAGTCTAAAAGATGAGATTTAATTGGTCAAGACAGACAAACACAGGCTGGGATGGGGTTGGGGAGACAGTATAACAAATTTATTTACTAGAATATGCTCCACTCTTAGCCAGTCAGTAGCAGTGCTCAGAGCTCTCCAGCTGGCTAGGTATGATCAGGCTGTACTCTACTGCATGCATAGACATATGCTTGCAAGAGATGTGGTGATGCTCTAGAAATCACGAATTTCTTTCTCATGCTGCAAAAACAGGAAGTTGTCAGAAATATCCTTTGTTAAATTTGAATGATATATATTTACTGTATGATAAATTCATCTGTAGTATGACCTGTACAATCACTTTGGTGGTTTTTTCCCTCCATGAATTGGCCACAGGAATATGGAGAGAAAGAATCTTTCATTTATGAGGTAGCAATCGATAACTGTTACGAGCTGTGTCCCACAAATAAATGTAAAATATGTTATCTTGATGACAGAGCATGTAACTTGTGATGGTTTGCTACATCTGTGTAATTACTATTGTTATATATTTTGAAACCTTACTTTAGGTCTCAGATTACTATATATCATGCCCTCCACTACACCCGTGCAACCTTATTGGTGGTACTTAGTAAGCGAAGCCAACCTGTGGCATATGGAATATTTCACTTTTTGAGTTGAGCATATAGGGGGCAGAATTTGGTTTCCTTTCTTCAAGCTACAGGGTAGGATGAAATTTAACAACATTCGGTACCCTCACCTAAATTTTGCAAAATTGCTTTTCTTCAGCTCCAGGGCATAATATGAATCTCTGCCCAATTCTAGCTAGGATAGTTCTAGTACAGCTGTAATAAAAACAACGTATTTCTTGTTTTCACAACTCTTTAGTCACGTGTCTTTGAGAGATGTGGGCCAGTGGTTTGGCCACAAGATTAATAGCTCAACTGTTCTAGTACTAATTTTTACACTGGTTCCTGCTGTGATCAAGTCACTTAATCCCTCTGCCCCCATGTTCTTAACTATAAAATAGGACTAATAATACTCTTCTCAGGAGGGGAGCATAAGAATTAGGTAAGGTCAAATTCTGCTCTCAGATATGTGCATGCAAACCCTGTGAGCTGAACAGGAGTTGTAAAGATATCTTATAAAAGGATAAACAGCTCCTAGGGATTTTATGTGGAAAATCCCCCTTGAATGTGAAGAGCAGGATAGAAGTACTAAGTAATATTATATTTATTACCATTGAAAGGGTTTCTATGATTTCACAGAAGTCCTGCACATCTGCTAAATAATTTAAAATGTAGAACCCAAGATAACATTTTCTAAAGTATATTCAAACGCCTTCAATTTCTCCACCTTGTCCCCAAGCATTCAGACTGTAACTTACTCTATACGTTTTGGACTCTCAAACGTAGATTCCACTGGAAATCTTCCTAAAATAAATACCGCTGTGTGTTACAAATGAAGGAAGGCTGCTTGGAATACCTTAGCCACTTCCCCTCTTTGCACAGGGACAGAAGAAAGCCAAATTTGATTTAAGTAAATCCATCCTTTGATACTGGAATGATTACTTTTAATTAAAACTGTCTGTCACTTTAATCCACATAAATATAAGCAGTTTGAATAGATTCTTCGAACAGTATACAGACTGGTAATATAGGGCCAAAATCTTGCTGTCATTGAATTAAAAAGTAAAATTCCAATAGACATGAAGGAGAGAAGGAACTAATTGCCTAAGTCATACTTATTGTAGTTGGAGTTGTTACTTATGTTTTACATTGGCCACATTGGCTAACAGGAAAACAAATATTACAGTCAAAATGTTCAAACATGGGGTCTTGACATTAGGCCTACCAGTTTGAAAAGGTTGGCTTAGGTTTCTGGATTTCCGCTTCCATTAGCAGCAGTTTCATTCAAAGTTGTTACATGTTGGTTTGTTAGGTAACAAAATTGTGCAGTGAAATATTAATAAGGGACTGAACATGTTTAGGAGTAGAACCTATTCAACAACCTCCAGAGATGCCTTAAGTGTTTACACGCTCCATTGGCTGCAAAAAGATCATTTTCTGCATCAACACACTAGCTATAGAGAAGTATGTAAGAAGTAGTTAGAAACATATTGGAACAATCCAACTCCTTTTCATATTGCTAATGTCTTTATAATGTGTATATACACTGTAAACTACCTCACTGCATTTGCCAGGAAAAAACATTCTGGCTTAGAAGCATTTTATTCCAAAGCGTCCTTAGTAGTAGCATTGCCTACTTCTACTTGCCTCACAGCCTTTGATGATGCTGCATTAACAATGTTTCCTTTCAGTGGGCAAGATCTGGAAATCAGCCAGTTTTAAAAACCAGAATGACATATTTCTTGCTAAGAAAGAAATTGCACACCGGATGCGTTGCCTCACTCCTTGATCTTATACCTGGTCATATTCAAAACAACTGTAGTGAATCATGGGGGGTTTGAATGTTAGGTAAGAGATCCGTTTTTAGAAACCCTAACTATGCAAAAAAACCAAAACAAAACAAAAACAGTTTTCCATAATAGGTCATTGCCTTGGAAAATAATATGATGCCATTAGGTAAATCAAATGTTTGTATGTATGTTTTTCCTTACCTCTCCTTGTTAGAATGTTGACTGTTTTGTTACAATAAATTCCACTCTCTGCATAGTAGTGTATTTGTAATGTAGAACATGTACATTGTATTTTATCCATGACAAAAATAAAAACAATGTAAACTAACAGTCTCATTAAAATTCTCACTGCATTTTTAATACATGGTTACCTGGGAAATGAGTCCATTTTATTTTAAAAGCAGCCCCTTTGTGAGAGCACTTAGGGAAGTGCATGGACAAATTTAGTACAATAATAAAGGGTCTTCTATACTGACTAAGGGATGGCGGGAGTATTAAATTTTGGTATAGAGCAAAATGGAATGGAATAAAAGCTAACAGAGAAAACAAATATGAAAGAGAAAACAGATAGGAGGATTCCAGTCATCTGTTAAGTTGCCCTCCGTATAGTAGCATTATTTGCTTTATATTGTCACAATTATGCACTTCATAGTATCTGGTTCTTTTCTTACAATTAAAATGGACAACTACTACACCACATGAAATAATGCACATTCTATTGTATTTTCATTGTCTGGTCCAATTTTATTTTTATTATAAAAGACCAATATACAATACAACAAAATACTGTCAAGCAAACAGAACACGCCTTGTAAACACTGATTAATCAAAGTTTCCAAAAAAGAAAAATACCCAATTAATAGCTGTTAACATTTTAGTAGAGGTATTGGTTGTACAAAATGGTTTTAGTTAAAAATGTAAGCATAGAACTTCTAAATATATTTGTCCTGAGTTGGAAAGTAACTGAGAGACATGGGGTTCTCATTTAAAAAAAAATCAATCACCTCTTCATTAAGAAATTTAAAAACCTATCTCGATCCCCAAATCCTTCCCTGAAGTTTAGTGCTCAGACCCAGGGCACGAATGAGGAAACACGCCATGCAGGTCAAAGGCTTTGCTGAAGTCATAGGATTCTACCAGTTGGCCCTTAATCAGCTTAAGGTTTCTCAAACACCCATGGAACGAGTTCTTGCTTGTCAGACAGTTTTGCTTCATATCAGCTGAAAAAGAAAATATGAAATAGCTAGAATGTGCTTCTTTTGGAAGGGGATGGAAGCTGCATGTGAGAATGATAGCAAGTGCCAGGCTTACAAATTATTCATAAAAATCATTGGACATAAAAAGAGAGCCAGAAGAGCACCAGCCACTACCAGCATCAGTGGGAATTGAGAATGCTCAGACCACTCAGGAAGTGCTCAGTGCTTGCAGGCTCAGACTCAGAGTTTTCAAAAACTGCCAGGTGGCTTGCACCAGCCAAACTAGATGGGCAATTCAGACAGCAGTAGGGGAAAGAAATCCACCTCAGCCTGAGGGAAGGGAGGTGATAGCCATGCCGCAATCACTGTTACAGAACAAGCTGGTCTGAGCCCAGTCTATCTTCTACCAGGACATTACAGCTGCTAGATCTGCAATACCTTGTACTCTTTTGGCCTTAGTTGCTCCCCCAGTCCATCCCTTCATGCTGAACTACATGGAACTGTTTACAGAGATCAGCTCTATTGCATGATGCAAGAGGTGAAACAGTGCACTGAATGCTTTCTGCACCACTTATTATGGTAGGTGAGTATCTCCCTTGTCTGCACCTATGATACATATTTCCAAGAGGAATCTTGCTAGAGGAACAATTACTATTGCATTAGCACCATTTAAACAAACATAACCCCCATAAAACCTTCAATGGAATCCTAGGAGATCAAGCAGTAGCCATGCTTGATGGAATCATTCATTAGTAGCTGTAAACTATCTTGAGCTCCAACACTGCAAAGTATTATTCCAAAGCTTTCCAAATGCTTAAAAGTCATGTTTGCTCTGTAGATTTCATCAATCTAAGCTCTTCATAACAAGTAGGCCTTGTGACATTACACTCCATATTCTTTATGGAAATATGCTTATAATATGGATATGGCATAACAGATATACTTTGTGCAAGATGGCTCATGTAAGATATCATTGGAAAGGTTATGATTTACTGAATGTGATTATCCAATTTGCATGCCCATTTCTCATTTCTGTATCTGAAGTTAGGAATACTGACCATGTATCTATATTTCAAATGTGCTACTTTGGGTGTCACCCACAACTAACCTTTCAGGTACAACAATGCAAAGCCAGACAGGGCTGATGGCCCATCAGCAAAAGACAAAGGACTGTGGAAGAGTTTAGTCTTCCTGTGGACGCTCCAGACAGCCTACAAGTATTGGCTGCTACGACCCTGCCAAGACATGGGACTGAGCCACTCGGTGCTGGAACCCCACCCCCGGAATGCCAGCGTTTTTCCACTGGAAGACAAAGGGGTCCAACCCATCACAGGCCCAGCTGTTCTAATAATAACTGCCGTTTCAAAGAAAAATGTATGTGGGCGTTTCACACTTTGTTTAATAATTCATCATCGTCTGATGTCTATTCAGGCTCAATAGAAGTATAGGTATTAAAAAGCTGCAAATAAATATATTCACCCTGCTTGCAAAGTAGCCAATTTTCTGATGTTACAAATGCAATCTTTTTAATGGCCTACAGTACAGTTTAATTATGGCCTACAGTACAGTTTAATCTTAAAAGCACTAAACTCTATTTTTCTTGGCATTATTATAATTTAATGACAAATATTTATATGAAAAAGAAAATTGTGCAGAGCAAATGAGACCTAATGATAAATTTACACCTGGTGTCTATCTTGGCCTGTAGAAACAGTCCCTTGCAGACCCAAGTATGACCCTCTCAATGACAACTGTAAAGGTTTCACTGTCGTTTGTAAGAGCAACTCCTAACTCACTACATCTAACACGTTGTCATAGTATTTATCTATCAAAAATGTCATGTAAGGTATCAAATAAAAGTTTATACCATACTGGTCATCATAAGTAAGGTTACATTTTAGTCAGAGGTATATTTAGTAAACGTCACGGACGGGTCACAGGAAGTAAACAAAAGTTCACGGCCTGTGACCTGTCTGTGACGTTTACTAAAAATACCTGTAACTAAAATGGGAGGGGGGGGCAGTCCAGAGGGTGCCACGGGTGCTGGGGGAGGTGGCCGGGCACCCTGCTGGTGCTGGGGGAGAGGGCTGGGCCACGGTGCACTGCCCAGGATGCCTGCTGATGAGGGGGCGGGGCGGGGGTGCTGGCAGGGCTCCCTACTTGGCTCTGTGTCCCTGCAGTTCCTAGGTGGCGGAGGGCACAAGTGCTGGCTGCCGCAGCTCCCATTGGCCAGGAACCGAAGGGGGTAGGGCCTGTGGGTGCGGGCAACGCAGAGCTTCCCCCCCGGCCCCTCTGCCACCCAGAAGCTGCAGGGCCATGCAATTGGGAGCCCCCTGCCCCTAGCCCTGAGCCCTCTCCCACAAACCCAAACTACTGCTGCTGCTGGCCCCTATCTTTGTTAATAGACTTCACTTTGTTTTATCCTAAGTAAATCTCAGTGCTGTAACATTCAGCAAAGCGTGAATGCTGGTGTGTAACCTGGTGTGTACACTGTCTCTTTGGAGGCAGCAGACTTGGTAATTACTGAGAGTGTCCAGTGATGGGGCTGGATACCATGGAGGAGCATTCTTCAAGGGGTCTGGGGTGTACCAAGCTTTACCTGCAAGGCAAAGTAAGGGCTGGCAGACTCCTGAGAAATCTGTCTGGGGTGCCTAACAAGTGGGGATGACAGGGAGCTGTCACTCAGCTTAGCATCAGCAAGTCTCTCTCTTACTAAGGCAGAGGGGTAACACGGTCACCCGCAGTAAGTGTCACACCAAGTAGTTGGCACCCTCCCCTCCGCTGCAGAGAGGGAGGGATCTCAGAGAACAAGCACAGCCCCATAATGCATCGTGCTAGCCATGTAGCGGGTGTGGCCACAACAAGTGCGGGTGAGCATGGTATAAATGCCTACACAGATGGTGGGAGGGGCAGTGGGAATGCCTTGATATGCCCGTTGATACAGCACACCCTCACAGGATGCTCCGCACGTGAGGATCCTGTGTCGCCTCAGATTGAAAAGTGGCCCCGTTCCATGGAAACCCCAAGGAAGGGAAGTATTTCACAGGGTACAACTCTCCTCCAGTGTTAGGGTTGAGACTTGGCAGGGCCAGTGTAAATTGACACCATCTTGTGCCAAATTCAATAGATCTCGTTCAATAAATCAAAAGAATTTCTGGCAGAATCAATTTTTCATGACCGGAGTTAACCCATCCCCCACAAAGTAAGTTCTGGAGACTCAAAAATGTTAGTAGGATCTTAGCGTAGCTGATCTCACATTACATTCACTAAATTATTATGGTCTATGCAGTTTGTGAACTGTTAGCTATTTAGTCAGAGAGAAATACTACTGTACATACCTGGAAAGCCTCCAACATAAATGGGATTGTTTGTATCTGCAGATGTTGACTGGATGTGGGGATTATCAGCCTGAACCAAATTCCCATCAATCATCAGAGCAATGCGATGCTTGCTTTTGTTTGCTTGAAGCTTGTGCCACTTTCCATCACATAAGCTATTTGCACCTTGTGGTTCATATGTGGCTGTTATTCTGCCAGCTCCATTGTTGACATGGAACAAAACCTGAACAAATAACCGGATGCCAATAATGACACAGACAGTAAGAACACGTGGAGCAATCTGATTGAATAAAAGCACAGTCATGCTGCTGCAAAGAGTCCTTTTTTTTTTAAATAAATGACTGATGAGTGACCAAAGCCCAATAACCAATTTAATAGATGGTGTTTAAATCCTTATTAAAGTATTTTCTAAACCTAACCATGATACATTCAACAAGCTAGGCATTCTTTATTTGAGATATAAATGTTTGGTATAAATATGGGGACTGGTTCTTCTACGCCAGTATACTTCCACTGACTTAATAGGCATTACACCTGACTTACACTGGAGTACTAAGACCATCATGTCCAGTAATTGCTTCAATATGGCAGCAGTTATGTACAGGATGAGAAACCACTAGGTCAGTGCCAATATGTGCATGGATACAGATGTATGAATGTGTGCTTCTATTTCTCTTTTTTTTCTTTTTAGTTTAAACAGGCTAAAAGACAAAATTTTTGTGTTGACCTTCAAACATGTAAATATTACCCAAAAACAAGGGCAAATTGGGAAAAATATTTAAAAGCAATGTATTATTTACTTATTTATTTTGTACTGGAGTGGGGAATTATGTACTAATTGCTACAAGGTACTTTCTGTGTAACTTTCTGAATCATAATGACCAGTGAGACCTAGAACACAATTAATTACCCGGAGTACTAACCATAAAGATTGCAGTTCCCTATAATGGAGGCATGGCTAGCAGCTGGTCAATTTTGTACCTGTAAAAAAGATGGGAACTCTGACCTCAGACATAGCCAGCTCTAGGAAATCTTCAATATTTAGATAAGCAATTTTGTTGGCATTGTCTGCAAACGGATAAATTAGGGTGTGGGATAAGGAATTGTTATTCTATGGTAATAGGGTAATGAGCTCCCTAGTCAATGGCATTACATGTAAATTGGTTCTTTTTTTTTGGGATGAAGAAGATTTTAAATTGTCTGGGTGGCAGATAATGAGAAATTTCCTGATGTACAGAGGGCTGAGCTGAACAGCCACAGGCTCCCTCTCAAGAGAACCCGAGGACTATTGCAATTAACATGAGGAGGCAGAAGCCTGGCTCTTGCAGTGAGCTTAGACTACTTATTTATTCATGGTACAAATTAGCAGATTAACTCCTTAAATTATGTCATTTTTGTAGTTGGCAAATATTTCCCTTTTTTAATCTACTGAAATAAAGAGATGTTTTTATATGCATATCCCCTGATTCTTCCCTGCAATGTTCCCACTAGCTTTGGGACTCTCAAAAACCTAACGATACTTTGGTAATGCTACCACTTTCCATATTCATTAAGGTGTCCAAGGATGCAGTGTCCATTCCATTACAACTGAAGAGATGATAGTTGGGACATGAAGCCTTAAGGTTGAGGGTATGTATGGGGGGAAATAGTGGTGGACACTCCCACCAGCGCACACGTCTCAGATAAAGGCATAAAAGCCTCCACCTCCATAAAAAAATCACTTAATGGAAAAACATTCCCTGTAAATTACAACAGTGCTTATGAGATGGCTTGGTTCAAACAGCCATTGTGTTTTCTTTGGGTTCTGTTATTCTGAGCTGCTTCATGCTTCTCTTCACTGCTGAAGTATCATTAGGCAGACTCACTGAAAAGTTTTAAATAAATAATGTTATTAGCTTTTAGCTTTGTCAGTTGTATACAGAAAGAAATATAAATTCCAAAATATAATTTATATTTGAAAAGTAATCACAGAATTTGTTTTTAATTCAATTTAAAAGGCCTCATCTGTTTACATTAATCCTGTTTTAGAGATTTACAGTTCTCCTTTGTTTTAACTGTAACCAAAAAAGGGACTAAATCTTGTACTATTTTCTTTTCCTAAGTAAAATTAAACTGATGGATTTCTAAATCAGCTTTATAAATAACTAAGACTTCTAGCAAAAGAAACAGGGAAACTTAATCCAACATTCTTACATATATTTTCCTCTAAGCTCTTCAGCCTCATTTTAAAAGAAAATGATTGAATACTGAATGGTGACTCATTCCATTTCCTGGCAATTTCTCATCTCAGAATAACAATAGGACTTTCACCTATGCTAACAAAATTCTTGCTAAGACACAGCAGCTAAACACTTTCTGCAAGAGCATGCTTGGGTAAGGGCAAGTTTAGCTTAATTGAAAAGGGTACCAACATATATGAAAGGTATTTTGCTGGTCCAGCAAACAGCATATACAGTATAGTAGCGAGTCCAACTAGAAAGGAAAGCACAAACTCTTCAGGCTGACATAAGTACTATGGTCAGTAATTATAGGATGAGGAGTCTCCGTGCTGCTTCACATTGTGGTGAACCTCACGATGTGAGCCCACCTTCCTTGTGACCAAATGTTTGCCTCAGATTATGTGTTGTATTTATGAATCACAGCAACATCTTTGTTTCTATCACATTGCCTCCTGGTCTTTCGGTTTAATCACTTATTACTGATGTAATGCTCAACACTTCTGACTTTCCCATTTTGCACAAGCCTTGGAGAACTATCCCTAAATTCAACTCCCCTAGTGAGTGTCCCCTACATATGCAACCCACCTTGCCATTCACAATCTCCAGTCCAATGGCATCTACTTTAGCACTACTGATTCCAAGAAGAACTCCATTCATAGCCATGGTGCGGAACTCAAACGTAACGTTCACATCAGATCGGACTTTATAACCTTCTTTGACTGAAAAATAAACGATAAGCATAAAGTAAAAGATTAGGAATGTGACAGATATGGCAATGTTCTCCAATATCTTTGTATCGTATTGAGTTTATGTATCATTGTGGGCCAGGGATTGTATGTAATTCCATGGGAGAGAGTAACCACAGCCCCTCCAGGAACTAAGAACAGTGGGCAAATTCTCTCAGGTTGAAACACCCCCCCAGAGAGTGGCAGCCTGTGGCAGGCTTGCCTATACTAGTTCAAAGTGGATTCTCCAGAAGCCAACAGACAAATAAAGGACTTTTGAATAAAAAGCCAGAGTTTAAACTGATCCAAGGCCTTCTTTCTGATGTAGCAAACAGATAGAACCCTCTGTCCAAATGGGGGTGGGGGGTGTCCAATCCTTAGGGAAGGGTTCAAAGGACTGACACTGGCCAGAATCCTTATGGAAATGGTGGGAGTGATCTCTGGTAAACTTATTAGTGTGTGTGTAGGTTCTTTATTATTTTTAATATGTTATTTTTCTATAATGCTTTTACCCTAAGAATAAATGTATTTGCTTAGAGAAAACTGTTTGGTAACTTATCACTGTGAGCAATTAAGCTGTTTATGAAAGACTGGCAGTAGGGAGGCAGCATGGAAAAGCTCCGGCAGCGGGGAAGCCTTTCCCCACTGCCTGAGCTTTTCCCTGCAGTGAGGAAAGATTCCATCAGTGGCACAAGACACCATACTGCTAAAAACAGCATTCCTTGGGTGTGTAGAGAGATGTATAGGGTACATATCCACAGGGTTTAAGCATGTCTTTACTCCCATAAGCAATACCTCACCATCTACCCTGCTATTTATACCCCTCCTAGGGGGACATGCAGTGCATGTACTCTATATACTGGTGTAAGGAGAGTGCAGTGTAGACATACCCTAAGAGAGGGTGCCATTGCATGGAGGGGGAATACAAGTGCAGTTGCTCTGAACTGTGACAAGTAATCAATAGTACATGTGATAATTAATAGGCATGATAACTAACCTGAATGGACAGGGTTTTTGCTGAGTCTTTGGAAAGCTGTTTGTAGACTATAATTCAAATTCAGAAACTATGTGTAAAGTGGTGAGAGTTAAAATTCCCTTACATGCGGTGAAGTTCCCTTTCACTCATTTAGACTCTTACATCAGTACCCTGGGCTTAAGCAGATCTAAGGGAGTTTACATTGGTATAGTTCAATATGTTGACGAAACAGAAAAAGTCAGAGGTGCTGGAACAATTTGCATAATGGGGGTGCTGAGAGCCACTGAACCAAACTGTAAACCCTGCATATGATGGAAACCACTTCAAGCCAGGAGGTCTCGCAGCACCTCCAGTTCTAGCACCTTTGGAAAAAGTGTAAAGTGAGCCCCATCCTTTTTCAAATTCACTCCCTTATACCTTCTGATTCTTCAGCCTTTAAATTACACCAGTTTAAACTCTTTTACACACACACACACACACACACACACACAGAACTTTTTTTTTTCCCTCAGTTGGAGAAGAGTTAGGTCTTTTACTTGTGTCAGAGACTCCTTTGCAGACTGCCAGTCATTGGCAAGTGGGAAGAGGGAAGTCTTGGACGTAAAGGGGGAAGGAGTTAGTTAGAAATACATACCCAGAATATACAATAGTTGAATGAAGTGTCATTTAATTATGTTCATTGCATCTAAGCATAAACTTGATGGGTTTTCATTAGCACTAATTCAATAAGCTATTGATTCCATTAATGACACTTACCTAGAGCAGCAAACCCGCTTCCATCAAAGAAAGTGCCTTCCTGTGCTGTTGCATAGCATTTATTCACAGCAAGGATGGAGACAGGGCTCTCTTTGTCAAGTTGCTTGTTGTTAATCATCACACTGCCAATGCATGCAGGGATACTGTGAGTGACCTAAGCGTAGTGAGATATAACAGTTAATACATAAGGCAAATTGCAGGCTGATCTCTCACAGCAATGCCTGACATCACTGTAAATTAAGGATTCTCTGAAGACAACATTCAGGGATTTAAAGCCCCAACATAATTATTTATACAGTGCCGCAAATGTACATGATGCCTTATAGCAGTAAAAATAAATAGAGTATAATCAAAACAGAAAACAATCCCTGCCTAGAAGTGCTAATAGTCAAAAACACATGCTTGAGAGGCCTGCTCCAGGGGTTTGCCATTGCCATTAATGGGAACAGAGAACAAGCCCATAAATTAAAGGCGCTTGAATTTGCTTCAGTACATTATTATGAAAATCACTAGTATTTTTCTAACCACTGTTTTCATTAAATTATAGATTCAAAATGTTAACATCTTTGTTAGCCTGTAATACATTAAATCCAATTATGGAAGAGGTAAGTGTCAAGTTACAATACACAGGGCGGCAGAATTGCCATAGAAACAGACCATCTAGTCCAGTATCCTACCCCAGTCAGTGACCAGTACCAGATGCTATAGAGAAAGGTGAAAGAAACCTGTACTGGAAAATTATGCTTCCTAACCCCAGACAGTTGGGGCTTAGTTTATGCTGTGAACCATCTGGGTTATCTCTTATACATTTTTAACTAAGATATTTTCAAAAGAAATCTTACATTTCCAGTATTTCTAGCTGTATAATCTAAAGGAAGCCCTCCCAGATAGAGCTTCCCTTCCACATCCAACGTGTTACCATCTCCCAGAGCATTAACTGCTGCAGATTCCTGTCCATCGACGGTGATTATGCCTTTTCGTTTAACATACTCTGTCTTTACCTAAAAGAAATAGCAAAGTTTGTATCAACCTGCTGCCCACAATAAGAGTAGGCAAGGTCCATTTCTGAAGATGATTTCAGAGGCTAGCTTGCATTAGCATACTGTATTTGGAGTTACTCTGAGAAGTCCTCCACAAGTTGAGGTTATTTCAGAACGCAACAGCATTAATGCTCAAGGGCCTTCATCCCCAAATCGCTGACATTCAAACACTCCATGGCCTGCACTGATTGCCTATTGTCCTGTGAGTGCATTTCAAGGTCTTGCAATTAGTATTTAACGCATTAAATAAAAGAACTAGTCTATTTTAGTTATATTTAAGGCAGCTTCAAAACTGTTGGTGGGGACCATAATTCTGGAATATTCTGCCCCTCAACATACACTAGAGCTTGTCTGTGGTGTCTCTGACTGTAGTGCATCTTTACTTTCTTTGTGTGGTAGTTTATGTTGTTTTTTGCTCTACTTGTATTAGGCATGCAAGACAATATTCTGAGGACTTCCGGGATGGACGTGGAAGGTGGCACCTCTGTGCCATCCATCCCCACAGATGCCCCCTCAGGTCTCCAGGCACGGAGAAGAAGGGCAAGGACTAATGGGATGTATATTGTCTTCTCCACCAGCCTCAAGGAAAATTCACGCTTAAGTTAATGCTGACAGACTTAGTCCTAACCTTTGTGCGTAACTCCGGTGCAGCGTGAAACCCAACCTCCTCACAAAGGGAGGAGCCTCCCAGAGACAAGGGGGTCCAGTGGAGCTCTGCTGGCAGGGAACCAGAGAGAGGCAAGGTACAGAGATACAGGGCCTCTGCACTGAAGGCCCTGGCCTCCATTGGATTCTCTGACATCTGTGGCCAACACATATGCTTTCTCTACATTGCACCAACCCCTACCCCTTGATGGAGAAATCTGCAGAAAATTCTGTGATGAACCTGCTAAGCAGGGACTACATTTCCTATCAGCTCCCTCCCCACTGCACATTCCCTTCCTCCCGGCCAGGTAGGAGGAAGGATCCTGAACAAGGAAATGACTAGGCATCTTTGAGAAGCAGCAGTGACTAGCGAGGATCTGCAGAGAAGTTGGGTGCAGATAGGAACCCCCAGGAATTATGGGCAGAGCCGTGTGTGGAACAAGCTGCGTCTGCCAGACACTACAGCTGGGCGTAGATCTGTGTAGGGCTTATAGGGGAGCAACAATGGCTGGAGAGCGAGCCAGTGCAGCAAGGCCCCAATGAGAGACACTAACTGAGCCTGCCCTGGAAACCTGCAAACTCTTATTTGCTTAACTAGGGACTGGACTGGAGAGGGAGACCCAGGCACTAGGCATGAAGATCCCTGACTCGACTGGACTGTCCTAGGGCTCTAACAAGAACTGCTACAGGTTTCTTTGAACTGTAGCTGTTTAAGCCTCTGTACCTATGGTATTTGCAACCTTTCCCTTCCTTCCAGACCTAGTTAAATACCCCTTTCCCTTAACCACATGTCTCGGTGATCATTGGGATCCACAAAGGCTAGCACCAGAAGGCCTAGCTACTGAAGCATCTATGATGTTTGCCTCCAAATCATGGTACACCTAGCACACTACTGGCATCTTAGCGGTTCGGTGTATTCCAGCCCTGAGCAGCCCTAATAGTTACAACTCAGAGTTTCCAGGCCACTCCGAAGGATTTTCTCATAGAAGGGGTGATTGCTGCTTTGGCTTATTACTCCTCTTTTCATTAAGTAATTGTCTCTTAATAAGCTGAAGTACTTTATAGGCTATTAAGTGCAGGACTCACTTCACAGTTAATAAGAATAAAAAAAGAGAAGTTCATTATTCAGGTATTTGAATTATTTCAGAACAGTGGCCAAGTCCTGCATGCAAACACTCTCGCTAATGTGTGGGAAAGGCAAGCAAAATTGACCCAATGACTGCAGGTGAGTTCAAGCCTCTTGGGTACCTACCGTGTGCCATTTGCCATCACTGATGGCAGCAGGGTGAAAGGCTACTGCTTTTCCTTTTCCAAGATCAAATAAGAAATAGAGTTGTCCCCCATGAAGCTGAAGGGCTGCATAATCAATCTGGTTCTGGTGAGCCAGGTAGTAAATCAGGCCACTAGAGGCATAGGTTCTCAGATTCAGCTGGACAGAAAGTCTAGACAGTAAAAATAGAATATTTTTCAAATCCTTGTTCTGTAGTGATAGAAAACTTCCCTTAAGACTAAAAGTTATTGGTTTAAAAAAGGATCAAAGTAAATTATAACCCACTGTATATGTTTGAAAGCATGACCAATAGAGTTTCCACAATAAAAAATAATACCATATATCAGAAACACATGAACAGCTTGTCACAGGGTGAGTGGGCTCTTTAAGGGGGTTGGATTTAGCTGCACCTTGTGAAAGGCTCAGGCCACCTCTCCAGGTGAGGGAAATGAGCCCTGGGCTAACCTGGTAGAAGCCTGTGACTCATAGCCAGGCCTGCTGGGATATATAGAGAAGCCTGAGTTCAGGGAGAGACTGAAAAGATCAGGGAGATGCTTCTTAGCACACAGACAGATATCTAGGGAGTGTATAAGAGCAGGGTGGGAAGGCTGGATACCAGCCCACTGGAGGAAAAACTGAGCAGGTGGACTCTCTTTAGCTCTCAGGACAGGTGGTCTGAGGAGTGAGTGCAGAAGGGAGCTCCTGCAGGGGATCCAGAGGGAATTGGGGAAGAAGTTTCTGGAATAAGACCTGGCTGGAGTATTTTTGTACTGGGAAGGAAAACCCTGTGAGAGATTTAGAAGCCCACAAGGGGCACAAAGGACTGCTATGCCTGAAGAGAAAGTTTGGGAGACTCTGATTTTGAGTTAAACTATTAATTTATGTCAATAAAGAAGATCCTGGGAGAGGAGCGTAGTTACAATCCACCAGGTGCGGTGCTTTAGTTGATAATGGCAGAGTAAAGAAAGTGAGGCAGAGGCAAGGTCTGATGCTGGGTTTGGGGAGAGACACCACTCCTTCATAAAAATTGTTCTCTTTGTCTTGCATTTAGCTGCATAAATGTGTTATGTGTCATTCAAGATGTACCTACTTCCTTCTGACGGTAGACTGATTAAAAGGCAGTACTATGTGGCTGCCTTTAGCAAGGCCAAACTGGTGGGCACTGGGAACATGATCTGGTATTGAATCCTGTGCACACTGTCCCTGTTAATGAAAGAGCTTCATTAAAGAGAATATTCCACAAGAGATATTAAAATATGTTGTTGCTTAAGGAGTACTCTTTTATGGTGACATAGCTGTGCTGTTTGCTCCATGTGCAACTGACACACTGGAAAAATGTGAAGTGTACTGTAACAGCAATCGCCTGAACTCTCAGACAGTTGGGACATTTGGCAGGCACAAAAAAAATGAGTTATAATGACTAGACCATGCTTCACAGCACTAACACAAAAGTCTCTGCTAGTTAGGTGTTCTAGCTTTTGATTTATTAATTTACTTCCAGTTTATTTGTTCATTAGTCTCTCGGCCTTTATCAGGGGGAGGTCAGAGTAGAATTTTGGTGTGAAATTCCTTAGCTACTCTTGGTGGAGATATATTCTCATCTATTCAGAGCATCAATAGCTCTGAATCAGAGTATGAAACAAAATTATACTACAGGTCTCAGACGGCTTAGCATTTCTTTTTATAGGCATGTGGTATAAAATCCACAAAACCTATGTCCCCGTCCCACATAAAAACGATTACCAGACACTCAGAAAACACTCAGTCATAAAGATATACAGCTCCAGAAAGAGAAAAGTAATGCTGCATCATGTCCTGGGGAATATAGCCCACACAGGTATTGTGTGAACTACACAGAGGCCCAAGACCCACAGGTAAAGACTGTGATACTATTATTGATCCTCTGCCCCCTCAATGGTCCGGGTTTGATCCTCAGCAATGAAAGCATGGCAGGGACTTGCAACTGTATGCACATGACCACTGAGTTTTGCATGGTGACATAACATTGATTCAATCAACTTTAATTTGCACTGCAAATCTCGGCATAGATCCACTTTGGCAGGAGAACATGCCAATAATAGCAACTACTCTCTAACGTCACCTGCCTTGAGGTCTATATCCCCCTTTTTTATGCAGAACTCCTCAGTTGCAAGTGTACAGGTGGCTGATCATTGGCACACTTAACTGCATTTCCCTTCCTCATGGCCTTCAAGGTGTAAGGCCCAGAAGTGACTGCTGTACAGAGGTATAGTATGATATACCATTGCTTTTTCCCTTACAAACCATCTTTTCAAGCCCTTGTTCATGTCATTTACATTCAGCTCTATCTCTCCATGACAAAGAAGGGAGGTAAGCATATGGCTCTGTATTTGGGGCTAAGAAAAACACAGCTAGGATAGACCTTGCTCCCCCCTCAATACTCACTTTGCTGACAGGGGCAGCATGCACTAAGTTTGTAGTATTTACTCTCTTAATTTCGGTAAGAGGCCGCAGAGGAATTGGCAATGGCTGCAGTTCTGGTTGAATCTCAATATCCTCTGCTTGTATGGCAGATTTAGGCTTCTCTGAAAGCAAGCAGCTGTCCATATCCACATGCTCGTACCTCACCGCAGTGGTGAAATCCAGAAGCCTGGGTTTACAAAGGAGAGGGCTTTAAGTAGATGACAGTACTTTACAAGAACTTACCAAGCTGTCAATGGGTGAAGATTTGCACATCAGTGGAAAATGTTTCAAAAGGGTTAAGCACAGTGGGAGAAAATCATTAAAGAGTATCCTCTAATTCTACACAACAATGTTCATGTAACAGTTTTCTTGGCCAGCTATCTTATTTGTGCATGCAAATCGGATCACTGGGAACCCAACTATGTGGGTTTGTGCAATGTATCTGTATGCATTAAAGGCACTTCTGAGGCTGACTGAATATCTGAAAATGTGGCCAGCAATACTCATTGATGCAAATTTGATACTAATCTCTTTTGCATTTTCCTATTTATTACAGAGTGCTGGCAGAATGCTTGCCCACAGCACACACACACAAAAAAGAGAGATATGGTCCATGCCCTGGAGATCTTATAGTCAAAAGCAACAGTTTACATTTTATATACACAGGCCTGCAGTTCCATTCTCCAAAAGAGTGCTGCCATTCATTTGGACTTACTGCATGTTAAAGATCAGATTTCTAATACAGCCGTAAAAAGATTCTGTCATCTTGAACCCAGAAATGCCCTCTCCTGCTGGAACCCCACCAGCGTAGAAGTTGGAAATATTCATGGGGCTCATTTCTGCCGACAAGCCAAGTCTCAGTTCTGCAGGATTACTTTCATCCACTTGTACTGTTATCATCCTGAAAGGGTGAAGCGGAAAATCATTCAACAAGGAACTTAATTTCAATGTCAGGAATGCCAGGTGCTAAGAAATAAAGATTCAGTGGCTCTAGAACGCTTTTTATAGTGGGGGTGCTGAGAGCCAGCAAAACTGTAAAGCAATGGTCCCCAAATTTTTTACCTTGTCCTCCCCCCCTCATCTGCACCCCTCTCCCATCCCCTAGAGTTGGGAGCAGATAAGTGCAGCACCCCCCACACCCTAGTTCCCACGCCTATTTAAAGATTCAGTGCTTTTGATAATCCACCTAAACTATTTACAACTAAAGAGGTTCTTTGAATAATATTTTAATATTTAGTAGGATGAATTTGTTGAGTAGCTTTAGAAATGTGACGACTAATCCTGTTACAGGAGTAAATTGGACATGTATGTTTCTTAGTCAAATAAATAGTCAATTAACTGTCTACTTTTTCTAGCAATATTTAGTACATTTTATTCAGGTGGTCCAGACTGTCTAAAGCTTTCAAGAGAGCTTTCATGCACAACTTAATCAGTGGCTGTATGCAATTACCATATAAATCAGGACTCTTTCAATAACAACAGAAACACACAACCCTGATTATTCCACTGAAATGAGCTAGCCAAGCCAGTTCTTCAGGGAACATGGTGAACTGAAAATGACATACAGTAATTAAAGGAGTGATACTGTTCACAGTCACATGTACCTCTTATTCCGGATCAGGATAACAGAATGTTCTTGCCCATCACTGTATGTTCCATTTGCAGGCTGGAGGATGATTTTTCTAGTACTTGCTCTGTCTCCTGCATTAATATACACTGCAAGATGACCATCAATCAGCATGATGGAAAAGAAGGGCTGTGGAGATTTAATCATTTAATTAATTTTTTTACTGCAACTTTGTTTTCTTTCATACCCTATAAATAATACTTAAAAGGGTGATGTGGTCAAATCTGCCACCAAATGTAGGTGTTATAGACAAACTCCGATGAACTCCACAACCAGAAGAAAACATCCATCATTTATTTTATTTATTTGTTTTGTTTATTTTTAAAATTTCAGTGGAAACAAATCAAAAATAAAATATCAAAATATAAACTGGCCCCTGCAGTCAAATACTGTAACACTGTGACAGTGAATGAGAACAGATAACAGCTAGAGAACTAAGCCTTCTAACTAAAGAGACATGAAAGCTGGGAGTCCCTCTGTCCATGGTAAAAGCTCAGGTAAAAACGCAATCCCTTTATATCCCCATAAGATAGTGCTAAAGGAAAGGATGCTGGGATGCCGTCCTTGGACGCTGCTTGGGAGCTCTATCTTTCACACCAGCCTCCAGATAGCAGATATTCGATAAATTTGAAGCCAACAACCACCACCTTCTGCTGGAAAGGGAAAGGAGCATTGTCTCTCCCTCTGTTCCCCCTCTCATTCCAGAGCCTCTTGAATGTTGTAAGTTGAGTGGGTGTCTACTATCCTACCCTTCTACCAGCCTCCTGGCTGCTACAATCAGATATCTGGGGTGCCTTCACCACTCTACTTCCTACCCAATCTCTGTGTTTGAGTCTTCCTCCCCACTGCCTGCCTCTGTTGCTGTTCATAGCTTTTCTAAGTAGTAGCAGGATGAAACTGACTTGATTCTTTTCAGCTTCAACCTCTCCACATAGCAGCAGCAAAATCAACAATGCTCTGGTCAGTTTTCGCTCTGCTTCAATTCTGCAAAACCATGAGCAGCAGCAGAGGTACTGGAGTTGTCTGTCTGCAGATTCAGGAACACAACACTGCACTTGTTTACCTTTGGCTGATATTTGGCTCATATTTCTTTGCAACCATCAGGGCTAGATATATTTTTTTAATTTGTAATGCAAGTTTACATTCTGAAAGAGTTGATATCATTTGCTTGAGAAAAACTTCCTATTCACTCCCCAGTGGATTATTTTCTAGCACTGCTATCCAGTTTATATTCTTAAACTAAGCAGGTGATCAGACATGTAGAAGCAAAGTTGTGAAAAAGTATTTAAGGTTTAAAAGCAGTCAGTACTGACCAAATGTGCTTGTCTTCGTCGTCGCTTCTCCATTCCTTTGCTGAGACCAGCCAAGATGATGCCACTACTGTTCTTAGTAGCAAAAGTTACCATCAGTTCTGATTCTGGAGACAGGGACTTAGGTAGCAACTCAATGTAGCCATCATTCAAGATGCTAACACTACGGATAGGCTGTTTTGCAAAAGGAGAGAGATAATTGATATTTTTGTCCCCTATGAGATGTTGAATGTGAAAGAACAATAGCAATAGTGGACTAATTGATAATTTATCAACAAAGCAATTCACTTCTACTCTCTACATTGCATCACAAAACACTGATTCATTGTTTAATCCACAGCAATAATCAGATTATAACAACCTAAGAGAGCTGCCAGTTTCCTACCTCCAGTATGCACCCTTTTCTCACACCATATGAGTTTTTTAGCAAGTCAAAGGTAGAGCGGGATATTTCTAGGTTCTTAATGCATCCCACATATGTTCTGCTGTTAAGCCCTTTCCTGAAAGAAAAAATTAGTTTCCATGGTAAAAACAAAACACTGGTTTAATAATTTTAATTGGGATTTATTGAGGAAAATGTAAAGTTACATTATTCAACAGAAAAAGGAGAGATTGATTTAAAGGGCTGATCCTGCTCTTTGAAATCAGGGTTAGTTTTCTCATTGTTTTTAATCGGAGCAAACTAGAGCCAAAATGTAGCCACACAACATACATTAAATCTTATCTGAACTACCAAATCCAGAGGAGACGGCATTAAAAGCTGGAACACACAAATGTACAACAATGCACTGCAAAACCAAAGTATGACTCATTTCCAAAGCTTGGGGGTAAATCCTCAGCTGCAATGACACAGCTCAGTGAGGGAGGAGGTAAAGGCGCTCTATACCACCTATCCCACCCCTTCCTTCTTATTAGAGCTGTCTGGTGCAAGTTAGAACAATCTAAGACCTGGTCTAACTTGCAGTGGCTCATTGTGGCTTCCTAGGGGTTCAGCTGTGGGCACTAATTATCCAGGCACAGAGATGCCATGTAAAAATCTAACTACCTTATTTGCAGGAAAAATCAGATATAAACTTTAGAGCCATTATATTCAGGCTGAATTGAGTCAGCTTGAAGAATTGACCAGTGTGGGTGTGTAATAGAGAAAGCATATGTTGTAAACTGGAGACATCCACAAATTCTTTTTTTTAAATGGCTCCTATTGGGATATTTTATTTTTGGTCTTCCTATAGTCCAAGTAATGAGAAAGAGTTGCAAAAATTCCATTTTAAGAGTTTTTAAAATGTATGCTGAAGAACAGGTTTTTTTCCATTAACACTAGTTGGAAACCATGGTGTCTACATAAAGTTTGCATGCATTCAGACTATGGTTTTATTTGATTTGATTTTACACTTCAGGAACACAGACTGATTTGGCTATTTTAAAAGGAAACAAGGCCCTCACTACTCTATCTATATGGTATGTTAAAACCATAAACATTATAAACAGCACTGGAGTAATGACAATTGTTATTTAAATAAGAGGAGTAAAGTATAAAGACATCAGCATGGACTACATCTAGTATATGGTCAGTTAATCCCTGGCACTTAGTGGTTTAAATTAGGTAGTGTGGTCTAGAGGATAGAGCACTGGACTCGGACCCAGACCCAGGAGACTTGGTCTGTTTGTGACTTGGGGGTGAGGAGGGTAATGTCACCTCTCTGCTTCAGTTTCCCCATCAGTAAAATGGTGACAATGATGTTTACCTCCCTTTGTAAAGCACTTTGAGATCCACTGATGAAAACAGTTAAAAATAAATAATAATAATGGCCAGCTCCTCAGCTGGGGTAAACTGTCATAACTTAGTACCTTCAATGGAACTATACATTTACACAAGCTGAAGATCCTCCCCAATACTTACAAACACGTAAGCAGAGGGAAAAAACAGAAGGAAGAAAGAACACTGTACCAAGGGTGACCAGATGTCCGATTTTATAGAGACAGTCCCAATTTTGGGGTCTTTTTCTTATATAGGCTCCTATTACACCCCCACCCCCTGTTCCGATTTTTCACATTTGCTGTCTGGTCACCCTAACTGTACCTCACAGCCCTAGATCTTGGCAGTCCACCAATGTAAATTGGGTCCTTATCTGAGCGATTGAGGTCTGAGGCTACGCCAGGGGATTCTCCTTGCTTGGTTTCTTTATAATTAAGATTATATGCATCCATGACAGCCAAAACTCCTGCAAAGAAAGAAAGTAAAGATCAGCAAAATAAGACATGATTTTCTAGCGTGGCAATATTTTTGTATGAAATGTACAATAATTTTCCAAGTGAAATGAGTACATGTATAGTCATTTTTTCATTATAAAAGTTTAACCTATTTTACTCTCAAGATTTTAGATAAGCTAGCCAGTTCTTTTACCAAAAACAAACAGATTTTGGAGAAACCAACAGAAAAGTATCTATGTATAATAAATAAAGATACGATTCTGTCATTCATGACTTCTTCAGCTACAGCCTGCTGCAGCAGCGGGGCTGGAGCAGCTGTCAGCCCCTGCCCAGGAGCAGCAGGACTGGAGCAGCGGCTGGTGGTCAGCCCCCGCTGCAGGAGCAGTGGCCCAAAGCTGCAGGAACAGCGGGCTGCCACTGCAGAAGCAATGGCTCTGGGCCACAGAAGCAGTGGCCAGTGGCCACTGGGTCAGCCCGCAGGAGCCAGAGCAGCTGTCTGGAGCTGCTAGAGCAGTGGCCCACAGCACTGACCTGGGCAGCAGCTCAAGAAGTGGCCTGAGGACACCAGAGCAGCAGCCAGAGCAGCAGCCCAAGGGGATGCCAGAGCAGCAGCCGGAGACGGAGCCGGGCTGGGTCAACCACCACCGCAGGAGCAGTGTCAGGACTGGAGCAAAGGCCAGTGGTCAGACCCGATGGGGTTCCCACTGTAGTCCTTCCCTCACAGACAGGTCATGGGCTTCCATGAATTTTAATTTATTGCCTGGGTCCTGTCTGGGACTTTTATTAAAAACACCCATGACAAAATCTTAACCTTAATGATAAACTACATTTATTGTTATTATCCCTCAGTCTTCCATCATGGGGATTTAAAACAAAATAGCCCCTCTGTGAATGGGCACGCCTTCACTCTTCTGGGGAGGAGACTAACAAGCTCTTCTGCCCTGTTCAACACCAACAAGGGGCACTGCAATGCTTTTTTTGCCTGGAGTGGGTGGAGTTTTAAAAGGGAAAACTGTCCTACAGAAAGGAGCAGTGAACAGGAGGAGGGCTGCTCTGCCTCAGAGACTGCTGACAGCAGAGACAGGCCAGCTGAGAGAGAGACAGCAGCAGGCCTCACCCCTCCCAAAACTGCACGGCCCAACTACAAAGCAGTATGCCCCAAGAGGAGGGGCCAGAGATTGAGCCCATTAAAAGGCAATAAATGTGTTGACAGAAGAAGCCCAAAGGGTTGAATCCAGAAAGACTGCCTGATTGCCAGGCCACCCTTGCCTTTCTTTGTTTTCATCCAGATTTCCCTCTCTAAGGGAAAGAGAGAGGAGAGGACCTTTCTTTTGGCTGTTTGTTTTACTAAGAAAACCCTTCATGTGCTACAAACTGTGGGGGAAGGACATTATAAATGAACAGAAGTAGGACATTATAAATGAACAGAAGTGGGGCCCCTGCTCCCCCACACCTTCACAAAATCTTTAAACATAAAAAGGGAAAAGCTATTGTCTAAAATGTATCCCCATGAGTCACCAATAAATCCTGACCACAAATTGACTCCGTAGGTTTGGGTAGTTAGGAGTTTTGCTAAACCCTCCATAGAATTCCTGCATTTTAGGTGCTCAAATGCACTTGTTCTCCTTTGGCTTTCCTTAACATTCTCGCAGTGCCTAAGAGCGCTGTCTTCTGGAGGTCACCGATCATGATGTCTTGTATCCTAATGTGTTCTTGAATTTTTCATTCGTACGCTTAGGGATTGCTCCAAGTACTTCAGTAATCACTGGGATTGTATTTGTTCTCTGTATTTGGTCTCCCATAATTATTCCACTTCGTGGCAGAGTTCTTCATACTTCACCATCTTCTCTTCTTGTGTTTTTTTTTTTTAATGTTTCTGGCTGCTAGTATGACAATATTAATTGCCATGTTCTTGTTTGTCTTTTCTACAAAAACTGTTTCCAGCTTCTTTGCCTGCACCGTTTGGTCTGTGAAAATTGCCAGATCCCATAAAATCTTAACCTCTTCATTCTCTAGAGCTCTTTAAAATGTGGTGATCAGAATACCACATGGTTTATTTAAATCTGTTATTTGGCTCAGAGGCTCCAATGAAGCCACTTGATGATCTCACTGTGTCTGGTCATATATTCCCTCCCAGCTCCCACAGGAGCTCAACACGTCCTGTTTGGAACATATTCTGCAGTTTGGAGAGTAGTTATGTTGGTCCGTTTTGTTTCCAATGTAATTAACCTTTAAGGGTGCACTTAGAATGAGGTTCTCTGTCTCTCTCGAGGTATCCTTTTACCACAGTTCAGGGAAACTGCACCTGCATTTCCCTCTTATGATCCAGCAAGGGGCTCCTCATTACTGAGGCTATATAGTTGTATTGTACCTGGAGCTTAAGAAAGAGACAAACAATAAACACATGTGGTGAAGGTACCTTGGTGGACCTGTGTGCTGATTAATTCACCCAGAAGGTTTACCAGCCAGGGTTTTCCTGGAGAGGAAAAGGGAGCCCATTCACACCCAACAAGAGGTTTTTCTGTGGTCACAAGTTCATCAGCTGTTAGCTCAGAACAAGCCCCCTCATGAATCTGGGAGTTACTCCTTTAGGCTGTTATTGCCTTTTGATTGTGGGAATAGGTAATTCAGAGAAAATGGACCACTCCCCATGATAAAGCTTCAAAAGATCCAGTCCAGATGTGGGCTTTTTCATTTCCCTCCTTGCAAGTATTTCCTAGGAAGCTTGCTCAACTCAGAGATCATTCTTGTCTTAGCCCTTTGTTGAAAAGAATCCTTTGAAGCACATAACACTTCTGCTACCCATTAATCATGTCTCCCAGACAAATTACACACAATTCACAGTAACACATAAACATTTACATTTTTAATACAGTGAGCTCCTAAAATACTTAAACTTAACAAGGTTTAACTTAATTCAGTAAGGTTTGTCCAGCATATTGCAGGAAGTTGTCATATCTGTCACACTGTCACGCCTGCTACAAGCCATGAGTTTGCTAATCTTTGATCATTAAAGGGTTCGATCTCTCTTCATCACTCTCTGTTTGCTGATTTCTGTGTAAATCTTTCAAGTTTTTCTTGGGCAATTTGCTTTCTCTTTTCTTTTGTGCTTTCTTGGGCTGGGACACATGCTTTCGGCCACTGCTTGTTATTGTGATCAGAGGATCTTCACTCTGGTTGATTCCTCATTTAATTTGCAGTTATATTTTTCATTGTCTGTAGCAAACCTTTTTCTCTATCATATCATCAGACGTACATCCTATCCACCTCCTGACTGAGATTCATTACTCCGTGCATCACCAGGAGCTTTCTTGTTTGGATGTCAAATTTTTTCTTCTCTGGATTCCACTGGATTGCTCCAGCAGTGTATGGTACTACTGGAATCACCACATATTAATTCGGATTAAATTCTTCTATGTGGGTTTTATCCTTAGAGCCGTTCTTATTTGTCTGTAGTATTCTTTCCTCACTTCTTCTTTAACTTCTTCATGTTGTTACTCAACAGTTCCCAGATTCCAAGGTATTTAGAGGCCATGCTGAGAAATATCTTGGATAGTACCTTCGTTAACTTGTATGTCATCTGACTGTACCACTTATTCTTTACAAACACCAATGCACATTTAGCCACCCTAAATCATAGCTTTATGTTTTTTTATTTATTAATTATTATTATTATTATTATTACAGTAGCACGTAGAAGTCCAGTCATGGACTAGAACTCCATTGTGCTCAGAGCTGCACAAACACTGAACAAAATGATGGTCTATGACCAAAGAGTTGGACTGCAATGCATAGAGTAATGAATATCAATCAAGACAGGGATGGGATGTAAAGCTAATGATAGGTCAGAGAGAAAGATCTGCTATTAACCCTTATGGACTCCTCTTGTGCACTTATAATGGGGCTGTGGAGGAAACAATTGACTATGAAAAATATAGCCATGTTCCAGTGTTTAAAGACTATTTAAATGTGTTTTCCTTTCTTCCTACACATCACACATAAAAAAAACCTAACAAAGGGAATAATATCAAGGTCAAGCTTCATTCACGCATCAGAGTGCTCATATGCCATGCAACTAACTGGCATTGCCATTACTTTCAACAAGAGAGCACCACAAAAATGGCTGTCAAAGAATGAATGTGCAGTGGGAATTACCAGACAAAACTGGCATGGAATGGTGACATTCCTAATGACTTCCGACACTCATTTGTAAAATGATAAACTTTTACTTTTTAGTCTGTGTCCTACCTTGCTTCTTGTTACGACTGAATGAGATTTTGTACCATGTTCCATTATTGTAACGATTTTCAGTTTTAAGCGTAAGAGGTCCTGAACCAAGATCAACAGTTAATCTAACTTTGCCATCCACGAGCTCTAGGGACAGGAAATCTCTCTGCAGAAAAAAATATACAGATACACTGAGTTAAAAAAAAACATATGTAATAATGAATACTTCAAAGATCTTGGGATATCCTTATTAAAAATTGCAAGTGACTAATGTATCCAGAATATCTTGTATTCTGGGCACCTACTTTTCCTATGTTCAGAAAATCTAATCTCTTTAATACCATTTTAATAATAATAATAATAATAAATAATAATAATAATACTAGTACTAACATTAAGTGAGCAACAATCAGCGAAGCTAGAACTCTGTTTGCCACGGAAAAACACACAATTTGCATTTTTACAGAGAATCTAGTTTTTACTACTGCCATCTGGGGCAGAGAGTCCAAGCCCCAGGGACCCGTTTCATTTCAATTGCAGAAAAATGTGGATTTTAGGTTTTTTTAATCGGATAATTTTGCATTTTTTATCACGGGAAAACTAGGATCCCTGGTAATAATACTCTGGAAGGCTATCCCCATGTTTGGATTTTTTTACCCCATCAGGCTATTTTTACCCCATCACTATGAAGGGTGGTCTGACCCACCATCAGGATTGGTTACCCCATTTGCTGAAGCAGGTTTCAATAATAAATGTCACATATACATTTCCTTTGTTGATTTGGGGCCCCTTGATAATATCTCCTCAGATTACCACCCTTTTTTAACATATTTTGAATTATCATCATGGACTAATACTCCATGGAGAATATTTGTATTTTAATTCTATTGCTTCTAAGAGATTCTCAGAGGTCAAAATCATATAAGATATCCATGTCACAATACACAGTGGTAATTGGTTCCAAGACAGAGAAGTAGAAAGATGGGGAAAATCAAACCTTTACAAGGTTAGTTTCCAAATACAATTTTGATCAGTGTAAAATCTCAACAGTTTTCTTACGGTGCCATTAGAAGCAAGATACAGCAGGAGCCCATTAGGTGAGAAGGTGCTGAAAAACATGATTATCTGAGTCACAGTGGAGCGGAGGGCCCTCTCCACAACTGAATATCCACTGCCGTCAAAATGAAAAGAAGTATCTTCATCCTGTGGGCTATACAAATGAAAAAGAAGTAGCTGAAATGCTGAATACCACAAGACAGATTTGCATTTTTCCAAACACAGTATTTCATATGCAACCTCGGAAAATGAAATCAGTTGGGGCAGCCACTAGCAACATAATTAGGAAGTGAAACCATAGAAGGAGACTTGAATCTTGTATGCCATGAATAATTAAAGGATTCCAGCCAAGGGCCACTTTTATTATTGAATCTCTGAATATCTAGTTTAGCTTTGGGGGAGAATTTACACAAGATAGAAAAACCTCTCTTTACCCCTCTTCATAATAGAAAAAACAAAACAGTTCCCAAAGGAAATAATTAATTGCTACCACTCTGACTCTCAAACTTAAAGAATACCATGCATTTTCCCAAATTCCTTGAATAACTGGATTTACATTACAGAAAATATTCTGTTATCCTTTTTTCCTTGCAATGTTTCTTAAAAAAACACATTTTTATACATAATCATGCAACACCCTCTGCTGGTTCTAAATGGAAAATTCTACAAAAAGTTGTTGCCAAACCTATTTCATTTCAAACCTATTAAGTCTGCAAACATTTAGAGATGTAAACAGAAAACACTCTTGTAAAATGGTACACTGACCACCAGCGTTATCTACTGGTGAAGCAGGGATATGGCAGGATATATCCCTTTTCCATTACAATTCTGTCTTGTGAGGTCTGTCCCTGCTTTTGTGGCTCAGCTCCCTCCCCAGCCAGATCACACATTCCAGTCCACCCTTTGGGGGATATATAAAAGGAAGTCTGATATCGGGGAAGTCTTTCAGTGCCTGCAACAGCTTCAGGGCTTTCTCCTTAGTCCAGGGACTTGGAGTTTGGACTCTTGAGCATTCAGGGTTTTCCCCTGCTGGATTCCTCACCAGTATAAAGGGCCCAAAACTATTCCTTAATGTCTTGTTTTCCAGCATGGGATTTGTATACCCCATTGCATACCCTTCCCCAGGTCTTGTCTTCTGCACCCAGGTCCCCACCCTCTCGTGAAAACTGCATAATTCTGGGGTTGGCATTCTTCATGTTGTTCAACCAGCAAAGACAGGCATGGTCTGTTACTAACAAAAAGGGGTTTCCCAGCAAACAGTATCTTAGGGCATCTACAGCCCATTTCCCAGCTCAGGCTTCCTTTTCTATGACTGAATAGGCCACCTCCAATGGGAATAGTTTTCTATTTATATAGAGGACTGGTGGTTCCTCCTCTCCCTCAACATCCTAGGAAAGGACTACTCCAAGTCCTACATCAGAAGCATCTGTTTGTAGTGTGAACTTTTTGGAAAAGTCTGCATGAAAAAGTACTGGTTCTTGACACAGAAAATCTTCTAGAGTCCTAAATGCCCTGTCGCAGGCCTCTGACCAAACGATTTTCTTAGGACTGGTATCCCTCACGAGGGCTGTGAAGGGTGCTGCAGTTGTGACAAAGTCAGGTATGAGTGGTCTATAATAGTCTGCTGTGTCCAAAAAGCATTGTCTCTGTTTTTCTGTTGTCAAGATGAAGCAGGCTGCTAAGGCCTGTACTTTGCCAATTAGTGTCCATAACTTGCCCCTCCCCACAGTGTAACCGAAATATGTAACTTCCCGGTTTGCCATCTTACATATGGCCAGGTTCACAGTGAGTCCAGAACTCTCAAGGGCCTGTAGGTGACATGTCATATGTCCTCTTCCATGGTGTCCCACATCTTTCATGGGAGTGGTCACAGGTTCTCATGGACCTGTTGTCCTGGTTTAATGGCTACGTGACGATACACAAGGTGAGTCCGTTCAACGTGGCAAGGTTGAAAATATGGAATGGAAGGATTCAATTAGTTTCTGCATTTGGGCCTCCTGCTTTGGTTGAAGCTCTTCCCCCATCGCTATGGCTTGGGATTCTGGGGTCTCTGGTGCTTGAGGGCCTAGTTCAAGTGGATAGGGTGTTATGAGGAGTACGTCTTGGTCTTTACAGGCCTTCAGAATGTTGGTGTGGTATACTTGAGTTTCCTTTTTCTTCCCTGGATGCCAGATTTCTTAGCTGACTGATCCCACTTGTCTCACTACCTCAAATGTCCTCTTAGATCACTTTCTACCTAAGTTCTCTTCTTCCCCACAAGGTAAATTCAAGAATCAAATGAAAGTTTCTGCCCTTTGCAATCAGTCACCAGTCTCTCCTTTGCAGGCTTTGTCAGGTCGGTGATGCCAGGTCTCTAGCTGTAGAGTTCCTGGGCTATACTTCCCCAGAGCTCAGAGAAGAGGTCTGCTCCCTTCCACTGCCTGGCTCCCAATAAGTGGCTCTGCTTCCTTTTTAAACTCACCTCCAGCTTGTATAGGCTTTGCAGGAATAGCAGGGCAGTGTCACCTGGGCCAGAGCTACTCCTTAACCCCTTGTTCTCCAGTGTACAGTTTGTACCCCCCATCACAAGTCCACAACCCCTTTCCAGAATAACTGTGAGAGTGGTAATAAATATAATAGCCACAAATTCGGAGTGGACTTTTAAAATAATGCTTTAGACCTCTTTCTTTCACTGGGAAGGAATAAATATGCCTTGTTTGAAATGATTACACAAACCAAATATTCCAAAAATATAGATGTACATTGGTAGTCATTAGTTTCAATGGACAAACACACACAACCAATGTGAAAATATATGTGGCAAGTTGTGGAGCCATGTGATCAATTGTAGAACCATATCATGAACAGAAAAAACACGTGGTAACTAAATTTGAATTTAGTTTTTACCACCTTAGAATTCCTCTAATAATCAATGCAGTACTACAATTTGCACGAGTTCACCACACTTTTTAACTAACATACAAACATATATAAAAGGTTATGACTATATACAGACACTCCCACTCTATGCTTTTCAGGAAAACCGTGGTCAAATCACTACCTTCCAAAGCATCCATTGCATGCGCCCTCTCTTTTAATGTAGTTCCAAAGACCAATAGATTTTCCGTTCAAGGATGCCTCTCCCATGCATCCTTTAAAATGAGTCACCTTAACAGCAGGAGATTTCTATTAGAAAGGAAACATATTAAATGAATAAAATTAATGTTAAATACTTTGGAACTTCTCTATCCAACTTCTCCATTCAGTTCTAATTCATGTTAGGGGAAAATCATAACAGAAGAACAAAAAAAAGTTTTAGCATTATTATTAATAATCAGACTTTACATCGCGGTGGAAGAGTTTTGCAATAAGTAAAAAAGAAAATGAAAAGTCCTGACCCATTTATATTCAATTACATGGATAACAATGACAAATTATAACAAGTCATGGAGGATAGGAAATGAGGAGAAACAGAGGAGAAAGGAAACTACTTAGTATGAATTAACACCTCCTATGCACTCACACTCAGCACTTCAGAATTACCATTTTAAACATAGTTTCCTGGGGATTTTTATAATGAGATGATAGCTCTGGATACCATTTTGCACCCTTGCCTTTTGTGCAGCATACCTGACAATTATCTCTTTGGAGTATCCAATTGGAGCGATTATTTCTAATTGAAAAAGTATTTCTAGCACGATAAAAACCTTTTACAGTATAGCATTTTCAGATTTTCACCTTGATTTGCCCTCCAAGTCCTCCAACAAATATTAGTGTTGATTTGTTTACATCCAGTACAGTAGCTGTCCCAGGAGCAGTTGCAGTTTTACTTAAGGACTTCTGATTAGAGCTCGTGTCCTCTATGCTCAATGTACCAGTTTTCCCAAACCTGACAATCACAAATACAAATGGATTAAACGCTTTCAGAAATTTCCGTGCACGGTCCCCGCTTACTACTGCTGAACTATTTCTTGCACTGAGTAACTAAATCGCCGTTACTCTTCTACGCTGCACTGAACCACACTTCCACATTAGGTAAAAATTCATTTGAATTACTAGCAGAAATTGAACTTTCATTTTAATCCAGTTTACAGAATAAAATATTTATGTTACTCACATTAATGTGTCCTGGTCTATCAAGAGGACGCCTAGGTGCTATGGCAATACAAATAAAGAATGAATGAATGAAACCTCTGTTACCTGGTTATATGTATTCTGTGCCATTTGTTGTTGTCAATTTGAAAATTTGGATATTCCAGTCTTGTTGCTCCTGAGCCCACATCCCAAAGGAAGGCCACCTTACCACGTCGCATCTCTACTGCCATGAAGTCACTCTGGAAAATGATGATTCTTGCTTTAACGCATTACATAGGGTATGTAATTTTGTTTTGTTTAACAAATTTCTTTCCAACTGGATGACTATAAAATCTCATATCTGTTTCTAAAACTTTTCCTTTATATCCTACCTTCATGGATTTGTACGATGAGCCAAATCATGCCTAAGGCTGCGAGTTTGTCACGGAGGTCACGGATTCCGTGACTTTGCAGAGGCCAGTGTGCCTGGCTCAGGAGCAGCTCGGGCAGCCCCTGCACCAGTCGCACCGGCTGCTGCTGGGGCAGTCTTGGGCCACCACCCCTCCACACCTCAGCAGCAGAGTTTGCGTGTGGGAGAGGGCAGGGGGTTGGGGCCTGGGATGAGTGAGGCAAGCTCTGAGTGGCTCTTACCTGGGGGGCTCCCAAGAAGCAACGACATCCCCCTTATTCAGCTCCTATGTGGAGGCGTGGCCAGGTAGCAGCTCTGCACGCTGTCTCCACCTGCAGGCACTGCCCCCGCAGCTCCCATTGGCTGCGGTTCCTAGCCAATGGGAACTGTGAAGCCAGCACTCTGGGCAGAGGCAGCATGCAGAACTGCCGGGCCACACCTCCGCCATGAGCTGAGTGAGGAGGATGTCGCTGCTTCCGGGGAGCTACCCAGGTAAGCACTGTCCAGATCCTGCCTCACCCTGTCCCATGTCCCAACCCCCTGCCCCTTCCCACACCCAAACTCTGCTGCTGCTGGGAGTGGGGGGGAGGCACGGATCGAGGTAGGGAGCCTGCCAGCCCCGCCTCCCCAGCACCAGTGGGGGTTCTGGGCTGTGTGCCGCCGCCCATCCCCCATCCGGGCTGCCCGCCCCACTTCACCTTCTCCCCCCTCTTACACCTGGAATGACCTCAAAAGGTCAATGCAGAAATAACAGGAACATGAAGCACTGGAGCTATGTAAACCGTGCATCTACTGGGATGGTGGGGAACTTGCCAATGTGCTGTCATGGGAGTCCTGCCTGATACCAGATCAAGCACCCTGACAAATGGTGAGTCCACCTTCTGGAAGAAGGATTCCATGCAAGATAATGTGCACAAGATCACTTTTATCTTGTGTGAGTATTATCCCATACATTGAGCAAGGACCTCAGCATATGACCAACAGAGCCAAATCTTGATTCCTCCGGAAGAGCAGGGGATGACCCTGGCAGCAAAACCAGTGCACTGTGTGGGTGTGTGGTGCAGAGTGAGGGGAAAAGGCAGGCTTGCTGGATCTTCTGCTCTTATCCTCTTTCCTGAAGGCTGAGGTGGGTGGCATGTAAGGATCTCTGGGGATTACATCAGCCCTACCATGGTCTGGGGCAGGGGATCATTTCCCTCCTTCTCCCATATACATCTGCCCAGTCCCTAGTCTGGCTACTTGGTATAAATAAGAATGAAAGTCAAATATATTATATATTCAGAGTATACTTTTAGTGAATCTCCACAACACTTTGATGAAGTAAGCTGTAGCTCAAGAAAGTTTATGCTCAAATAAATTTGTTAGTCTCTAAGGTGCCACAAGTACTCCTTTTCTTTTTGTGAACACTTTTAGTGAATCTCCACAACACTGAACTTACATTGCCACTGCTACCCAGGTAGAAGAGGAGGTTGTCAGGTTCAGTTGTTTTCACATTTAATGTTAAGATGTTGTAGTTAGCAGAAGAAATTTGCGGTGAGTAGGCACGAATACAGTCTCTATCTGCTGAGATTGCAACTTTAATCTGGAAAAAAAAAATGGTACACTCTGTGTACACAGCACTTAGCCCTGGAATACAGATTTAGCCTTTGTCTAGCTAAATTCAAGCCACGTGTTGAGACAACTTCATATGATTCTAAATATTTGGCAGTAGGATTAGCTACAAACACACACAACTATTGACTGGCTGGATATGAGTTGAAAAAGAGTAGTGGTTTAGACTATATAGAATAGGGAAGAAAGAGGTGCCTCAGAAACTACTGGTCTAATCATGGGATTTAGAGCCAGAAATTCATCATCCAATAATAAACCTTGAGCTTGAGGGCACATATGAGGAAAAACACCATATTAATAACAAAAAAGACTGGAAGTCTTGAGAAAATGTGAAAGGTCTCAGGGTAATAAAAACAAACAAAATACAACAAACCTTTGGGTTTACAGACAAAAACAACGTAGCTAAAAATCAAATAGTCAAAGCATCTGCAAGAAATAGCAATCACAGAATTTCAAATTACTAGCAAAAAATTAAGTAATTCTTTAGAAAATCTGTTTAGGAGCCATTTAAAAGTTTAATTTAATAAAGAAGCACTTACATGGCAGATTTCTGACTCAGATTATCGTTGTTACAAATATTGGGCTCATTGCTGCAAACCTTTGTGCACTCTGGTAACTTTAGTAGTTCTGTTGACTCACATATATGAGAGTTTGCATGATCTCTAGCCCATCTCTATTTCTAGTAAAAGCGAAATCAGATTGAGGTGCAAGAGAACAGGGTAGCTCATCTTCAATGCTCAATTCAATATTACCTCTAGAAATAAGTTGCAATGAGAGAAAACCCTTATCTTCACCAAATTCTCACAAAAATAAAAGGGAATAATATGAGTCTTTAAAACTGCAAGAGAGGATTTTACTCATAAAAGTTATACTTTTTTCCCTTAGAAACTTCTGTAGTCTATGATACACCAGGAAATACTACTTCCATTGTTCTATACCAGACTCATTAACTTTCCATGATCAGTAGATTGTGAAAAAGAAGCATTCATGTGTATGCTGGGTTTTATTGAAAGCACCAAAAGCCTGGATAATTTTTGTCTTTTAAATCTAAATTTTCCTCTGCCTTAAAATGATATGCCCAGGCTTAAATCAAACGTATGGGGAAATGTTACTGGTTTCAAAAACTCTCTTTGTGTTCTCATGATAACAAGATATAGTTCATAATGTGGTTTAATTGAATCTCATCATAATCCTTTATATCACTGATAAATCCATTCCAGCCTCTCACACCAACTTCCTTCCAAAGGCCTGGAGATGCCCTGGAAATACTCCCTTAAAAATAAGAGGCAATGGGGAAAAAAGAACAGGGAAATAAAACCTCAAAAGCTCAGTGCTCTGACAAACCAGAAGGCAAAGAGATCATAGCTCAAAGTCTGAATTCACACCAAATGCCTCAATATTGCAGTATATATGATATTGAGAACACCAATAACTTCTGTTACACCAAAGAACAACAGGATGGGTGGGTTAAAGAAGGGAGTATAAGGCTTTTTGCCTTTAAAATATTTTTTGTTGAGGAGGCACAAGAGAAACCAATGAACCTGAAGCTAGAAATTTTGGGAAAGATGTACTTACAGATGCTGCCTGTTTGCGGGCTTGACTGATAAGCTCTTTAATTTCAGACAGATTTCTGCTCAGGTTCTCTTCCAACATTTTCAGAGGTTTCAGCCTGTCAAATAAAAGATTGGCTTGTGCTTCCACTTCTTTAACTTGTCTTTCAGCTGAGGCTGCTGCCAAAATAAGAATGAGACGTTCAGACAGATTGAGAGGGAAATTCACTATTCATTCCTGGAATGCACTGGCCAAAATGGGATATTTGGAGTCATTTATTTCAGTAGCTTTAAACATCTGAGAGAAAAAATATACATGTATAAAAAGCTTATGTGATTTCTATGTATTCTGTTTAAAAAGGAAGTCTACAGCTAGTGCATTTTTATTTAGTCAGGCAAAAACTTTCAGTCCATCACACTATCCTTATTTTAATACTAATTAAGTTTTAATATTAGCATAATTTCTACATGCAATGACATTTCTACTGTGCAATGAAGCAGCTAACTTACCAGCTTTTGAGGAGTCCATTATAAGTTCATTGGTTTTCCTCAACGTGTCATTAACCCTGGACAATTCAGAAGAAGTGTTTAGCAGCTTTTGATTGAAATCCACAATGTGGTTTAAACCAGCAACAGCACTTGTGTTAGCAGACACAGCCAGCTCTTTTGCTTCAAAAAATGTGTCATTGGTATCTGGAACATATTTACATTTAAGGATTATTTATATATCCCAATTATCAGAAAAGTCATTTTTCTTAGAGGTTTCACAGAGTCACATAAGTAGAGACGGCAGGGCCAGGTTCATAACAAGTATTTCAGGCTTGACAAAAAGGAATCATTCTTGGCATTCTAGTCTGTAGTGTTATACTAACATGTTCAAAGCTTTATAATGATTGTAATTGATGGCAGAAGTTACATTTTCAAAGATTTATAAATTGGCTGAAAAAAGTTATTTCCTGGCTGAGCCCTTATATGTAAATATAATCCTCTAGAATGAACAATTTAAAACAAAACACATAAATAAGCATAGGGCCAGATTCATGATATGCAACAACTCTCAGGGCATTAAGAAAGCTCAGGTCAAATGGTTAGAGCTGGTCAGTATTTTCTTATTTAGATTTTTCAATTATTTTTTTCTTCAACATTTCAACCAGCACAGAACTAATAAATGGTAGACTTCATTCTGTCCGTACGACACTTTAAAAAAAAAAAGACATTTGTGACTCTGCACCCCATATTCTTCACAGCAATATTATTATATGAGATTATTATGGCATAATTACGATGCATTTTGTACAAGACGGGTCATGTGAGGTATTACTGGAAAAGTTATAATTTGCTGATATGGTTATCCTATTTGTATGCATATATCATTTTTGTACCTAAAGGAATATTGACTATGAATCTGTATTTCAAATGTGCTTACTCTGGGTGACATCCACAACTAGCCTTTCTGGTACAACAATGAAGAAGCCAGACAGTGCTGATGGCCCCTCAGCAAAGACAATGAACCCTGGAAGAACTTAACCTTCCTGTGAACATTCCAGACAGCCTGTAAGTAATGGCTGCTATGACTCAGCAAGATATGCAAGGGCATGTGACCAGGCCACATGACTCTCGACTCCATCTTGGGATGTCAGTGTTTTTCCACAAACTGAGTTTCGGACAAAGGGTTCCAGAAAAATATGCTAAAGCTATATAAGGCAGGGTGTGACATTATCTATGGTTCTTAACTCCCCACACACAAAGACTCCTGGAAACACCTGAGGAACAAAGACTGAACTGTGGGAAGTGCTAGACCCAGGCTAAAGGGATTTCTAGGTTGTGTACGAAAAACCTGGGGATTCCAAGCTGTAAAACAAGTGCAGTTTGTACTTTGAGAATCGGCAGCCTGCTTATTGACCATTAGTCAGGGTGAGAGATTATTAATGCAAATCCTATCTTTCTAGTATGTTAAACTTAGTATGCATTTTTGTTTATTACTAGGTAATCTGCTTTGATCTGTTTGCTATCAGTTATAATCACTTAAAATCTATTTTATGTTTTAATCTAAACCAATAAATTTGAAGTGAAGTGCTTAGGAATCTTAGTTCAAGTGGCTATTGCATTTCCTCTCCACATTGAGGGGGGAGACGAACTGGATAATAAATGCATACTGATTGGTGTTTGGACAAGGGCAGGACAGTAGAGCTTTGGGGTCCTAGGCTGGGAAGCTGGTGGTTCTTTTGACTGTAGCCTCTGTATTGTTGGTTCATGCAGTGGCTGGTCAGAGAGCCAGGATGTAACTGCAGTTGTGTGTGTCCCTACATGTGTGAATGCTGGTGGAGGTGTAGGACCAGGGGTGGCTCTGCAGCTTGTCACAGCAACACAGCTGTGGAGAGGGAGCCCAGGCTGGTGGGTCAGAGAGCTCAGTGGTACCTCAGTTCCAGGTGGCACCCGGGCAGGAACCCATCACAAGGTTATCTCTCTATTATGTAGGATCCAAGCACCAGCTTTTCAAAGGTTTGATCTAGATGGTAACTGTTCAGATCAGAACCCCATGCTCATTGCTTTTAAAACAGCTTGATTCTCCATTACATCTCTGCTATGCTCAGAAGTAGTGGATGGATGCAGCCACAGAGAAACGCTTCCGGATCTCTCATCCTGGGCCATCAAGCCCTGGAGAAACCCTACTCTTAATTTCTGCTTCTGACTGGTGTAACTTACACCAATGGCAAATCAGACGGAGTGGAGCCCAGCTTCACCACCCATCTCCAGCATGCCTTTCTCCCCTTCATGCCAGGGCTGGGGTAGAAGCTGACATAATAGGCAGCTGTGTCACCTCTATGCCTGTAGCAGGGATTCTCTCTATGCAGTGGACAAGGGTAATCCAGTTGATACAATGTACTTGAACTTTCAGAAAGCTTTTGACAAGGTCCCACACTAAAGGCTCTTAAGCAAAGTAAGCAGTCTGGGGTAAGAGGAAAAGTCCTCTGATGGATGAATAGTTGGTTAAAAGATAGGAAACAAAGAGTTGGAGTAGACAGTCTATTTTCACAATGTAGAGAGGGAAATAGCAGGGTTCCCCCAAAGATCTGTACTGGGACCTGTGCTGTTCAACATATTCATAAATGATCTGGAAAAGGGGGTGAACAGTGAGGATAGTTAAATCCAAAGCTGACCGTGAAGAGTTACAAAGGGATCTCACTCAATTGGGTGACTGGGCAACAAAATAGCAGATGAAATTTGGTGTTGACAAGTGCAAAGCAATGCACATTGGAAAACATAATCCCAGATATAAATACAAAATGATGGGGTCTAAATAAGTTGTTACCACTCAAGGAAGGGATCTTGGAATCATTTTGGATAGTTCTCTGAAAATATCAGCTCATTGTACAGCAGCAATCAAAAAGCTAACAGAATGTTAGGAACCATTAGGAAAGGGACATATAAAATGACAGAAAATATTGTAATTCCATTATATAAATCCATGGTATTACTACACCTTGAATATGCATAAAGTTCTGGTCAACCCTCTCAAAAAATATATATTAGAACTGGAAAAGGTATGGAGAAGGGCAAAAAAAAAAAAAATGATTAGGAGTACGGAACAGCTTCCATATGAGAGATTAAAAAGACTGGGACTGTTCATCTTAGAAAAGAGATTTTGTGAAGGCCAAAAGTATAACTGGGTTCAAAGAAGAATTGGATAACTTTATGGAAGATAAGTCCATTAATGGCTATTAGCCATAGTCAGGGATGCAACTCCATGCTCTGGGTGTCCCTAAACCGCGGACTGCCAGAAGATGGAATAGGATTGCAAGGGATGGATCACTTGAAATTGTTCTGTTCTGTTCATTCCCTCTGAAAAAGGTGGCACTAGCAACTCTCAGAAGACAGGATACTGGGCAAGATGGCCCATTGGTTTGACCCAGTGTGGTCACGCTTATGTTCTTGTGTCAATTAGTAACTCAACCCTACCATTTAAACATAGCTTTTTATTTTCATTAGTGTTGCATTTCGATGCAGTTTAAGATCCCGTATTGTGAAACGGGATGTTTTAAAGCCTGAGAGAAAAAATAGTGCTCTAAATCTTGACAAACAGTGCAAATCTGGCACCAGCTCTGGAAGCCTTACAGATAATTCCCATAACTGAAGAAACATTAGGAGAAGTATCATATTTTATTTTATTTTATTTCATTTTCAATTCTACCTGTGAGCTTCTATGAACTTTGGGGTTGTTCTTAGTTGAAAATATTGACCATTTTAAAAAAAAATTATAATTCTTGAATGGCCTTTGAACAACATGGAAAGTAAGAGAGCAAGGGACCTTTAAAGTTAAATGAGTCCAGCATTTATATTGTCAAAAACATTTAGATTTAACAGTTAAGATAGATGGTGCAGTGCAGCTGATTTTTCAAACAGACTGTTGTTGTGGGAAAGAAAAAAAAATTAATCTCCAGTACAGTTTTTTCCATTTAAAGCCGATTAAGAATTTTAGGACCCGATTCTCTTTTTGACACAGTATAGTTTTGCACCAATATAGTTCTGTTGCCTTCAGAGTTACTCCTTATTTACACCTGTGTGAGAGGAGAATCAGGCTATAATCTTTACATCACAATGCAGTTTCACTGTTTTCCATGTTAATTAAACAAATGGAAAACATCTAATTCAAATTCCTGTTAAGGCAAGAGGCTAAATCAGCCTCCAGTCTGATTTATTGCTAGGCTGCTCTACCGGACTTCAGGAAGGACTGTATTGTGTTTGTATCAGATGGCGTTGAATTAAGGACATGTATGTCAAGATAAATTTTACTTACCATTAGGCAATGCTCGCAGTGCCAGCCATGAATCATTAAGCTGGTTAGTAATTTTATGAGCACTCTCCTGAATCTTTTCCACTTTTTTTTTCAATCCATTCAATCTAGACACAAGGCCTGTTGGAATAAATAGCTGTGATTGTTCTATGCACATACAAACGTTAGGATCATACAGTCCAGACTAACCCTAAAATTTAAAAATATTTAATAAATTCAATAATTGATCCAAGGGAGCTTTTTTGTTTTCTTAAACAGAACAGATATTTCAGCAAATGCACAGAAGTGCAATATGAGTATGGTATATGCTTCACACTGCATGTTGATCATATCCTCAGTTACTCTATCACAAGTCCGTGAGGATTCACTCAGAATTGTCCTTCTTGGTCAGGTCAATCAGTTTTGGTGGGAGAAGAGATGTAGGGAAGAGAAGGTTGACTTTAAATAATTGCAAAGGAAAATTACTTTCTTCATTTGCCAGCACAATAGAACAATAACTAAATGTATCTGTGATACATTGTTTTAGTCTTTTACTGTATATACCTGACTATATAAAATGTTTAACTTTAACTTACGTTCATTTAAAAAAATTTATAACTTTGTTAACAGTACAGGAATAATTCTATCAAATACCATTAAAATTGTACAATTTATGAAACTGACCTTCATTTTTCCTCTTCAGATTTTTTGTTTCATTTAGAAATTTAGAACTAAGCTGTAAAGCTTCTTTCCCAAGAGAATCAAGAGATTCCTCTGGCTGAAAAAACCAAACAACATTTACTATATGTGAAGAGAATAGGTTCAACTGAAAGAATCATAGAATCATAGAATATCAGGGTTGGAAGGGACCTCAGGAGGTCATCTAGTCCAACCCCCTGCGCAAAGCAGGACCGATCCCCAATTAAATCATCCCAGCCATGGCTTTGTCAAGCCTGACCTTAAAAACTTGTAAGGAAGGAGATTCCACCACCTCCCTAGGTAACAAATTCCAGTGTTTCACCACCCTCCTAGTGAAAAAGTTTTTCCTAATATCCAACCTAAATCTCCCCCACTGCAACTTGAGACCATTACACCTTGTCCTGTCATCCGCTACCACTGAGAATAGTCTAGATCCATCCTCTTTGGAACCACCTTTCAGGTAGTTGAAAGCAGCTATCAAATCCTCCCTCATTCTTCTCTTCTGTAGACTAAACAATCCCAGTTCCCTCAGCCTCTCCTCATAAGTCATGTGTTCCAGTCCCCCCTTAGAAGAAATCCTAATTATTCTCAGAGAATGGAGAAAATGACTCATTCACTTTATGTTCTATTGCTTTTTAAAATATATTATTTGTCTAAGAGTGAATAGAAAATCCAATTTCACAAACTGACTATAGAAGGCAACAACTTATGTCATAATAATAATACAAAAAGAATTAATCAGATATTATAATGAATCTCAGCATGATGAACATTATTTACTTGTTTCCAGCAGTGCTCACAATGTGCTATGCTTTTTCTAAATGTGGAATAAACTTTGAGATGGCAGAGCTGGGCAAAGGGGTCAGGGTTGGACAAGAGGCTGAACCAGGGGAAATCAACAAATGCATCAGTGGAGGTAAGAAAAAAAAAAGGGCTGAGGGAAGGACTGACTGAAGTAGAGAAGTGATGGGTATTTGAGGGCTGCAAATCTGAGAAAGGCAAGGAGGTATGGGACTAGTGGGTGATGCTGAATTAAATAAGCTGGTGTTTGAAGAGAGAAAAGAAGAGAGAGAGAGAGAATCCTGATATTGAGAGATTGGACCGGGAGCAGAGTTTAGTGAAGTTAGTGGGAGTGAATGGGGAGCTGGTCCAGAAATGAAGGTCATGCAAGGAGAAGAGGGGAGGAGATCGGCAACTCAGACATCAGAGCCCTGAAGCTGAAGTAATCAAAAGATAAGAGTAGGAAGCTGTGATAAGAGGAAGAGAGTCAGGTGTTAGGCAGGAAGATGAGTTAGAGTAATGACTGATGATGGATACATGGAGGGAAAGAATATCCAGTACAGCACTGTTCTAAAGTGGAAGAGGAGTGGGAAGAGTACAGAGGGAGAGGCTGAGGGTGGCATCCATGGAGATGACTCAGAGTAGGGTGTGTGAGAGTTGGTGAGACTGGCTGCTTCAGAAGTGTCAAACAAGGAAACAGATTTCAATGGTTGCAGGGAGGTAGCAGCATATAAACAGGTATTCAAAAAAGAATCAGAAGCAGAAGGTAACTTAAAATCCCAACATGGATACTTACTGAGTCCAAGGGGTTAGTTATAACTCTAGAAGCATCATCTGCCAGATTTTCTGTTCTTTCAATCAGATTTGTAATACTGGAGTGGGCATGGACAGCATTTGTTGCATTCAGAGATACATTTCTTACATTTGAGAGACCACTGCAGTAGAAAAATATTATCCATCCTTTACGCAAGTGTCTTAACCAGGCAGCATGTTTCCAGGTTTTGAGTTATCATGTGTACATGTTTTCAGAATACATAAGGCATTTTGAGAGATGAGCAAATTACACAATGTGTTTCACTTGATTTTTTCTGGCTGAAGTTCTGGCCTACTTCAGGGTTTGCTTGTTTTTTACTCTTTGTCTTTAGTGCGTTTTGCATTTTTAAAACCTTATGATCAAATGTACTAGTTTCCGTTAAAGAAAAGCAAATTACACACACTAAACAAAAACAAAACAGAAAGAGGGGATTACAGATTCAGTGTACAGCAACATAGATTTCAGGATAGAACTGAAAGATATTCTAGGTCAAATTTCTCCCTGCTTACAGTTGTGCAGACACACTGAAGCCAATAGAGTTGTACAAGTTTTAGCTACAAGCACAATTCTCTGCTTTCAGGCTTACAATACACTTGTACTTTGTGATCAGGCTTCACTTTAAAAACTTATGTGCTAGTTTTAAAAGGTAGGGCTGTGAGAACCGTAGAAGAAAATGGGGATGTCTGGTGTCTTTATTTTCATATCAATAATCAGAATGTCTTTCCAGCTAATAACTCTTGGTGTTGGTATTGGATGAGCTCTGAGAATATAAGGAAGTTTTTAAAAGTGCTTCTATATGTAACCTTGAAAGTGTAACCTGCCCATTTCTGAGGATTATGATGCTATGAGATGGGAAGCCTAACAATCATCATAGTTTTTTGATGGAGTTCTTGAATGTGTTGACAAAGAAGTATTTATATAATGGACATAACCTTTTCATGATAAAAGTAATTTTTCTTTCTTAAACATTTGAGTATTTTTCACCACTGACTGATATATAAAGAAGCTAGATCACATGGTATTCACTGAACATTTATTAACTTAAAAACTAATCACTTCACAAATGATCATTCATGTGAATTGTAAGACTAAATCAACCTATTCTGCATCATTAATAAAAATACCATTCACTTCATGAAAAGTAAAAGTAATTAAATTTATTGCAGTTTTAAATTAAAAAAATGACCTGCTCCCTTAGCGGACTAACCTATTATCTATTTAAATTAAATCTGGCAGTAAATTAGATGAAGCATCTATTGAGTTCATATATCTTGGTGCGCTCACCTGTCTAGCGCTTCTGCAAGTTTTTGACATTCAGCTGCATGATCCTCTGCTCTGTAGACTAGATCAAGTGCTCCCCTCGTGGACATCTGCATGACCAGGTCATCTACATGATGCCTTAGTTTGGCATTCCAGAGGTCCAGTCCATCTCGATGGATCTCTAGATTCTAAACATTGAAATTATTTCCTTTATCAATTAATCAAAATGCAATTCACTATATCAAATGAATGTTAGACAATTTAGTAACTTACTGACGTAGAGTTCTTTACATCTGTGGCAAGGGCAGCAGCAACATCCATCAACACTTTCCCCTCTTTAATTAGCATGATGGAAAGGTCCTTGTTTTCTTGTATGTTTAGCTTTTTATCCTGTAGCATAAATCAATTGTTTTATGGTACTCTGTAATGTCAGCTGGTGCAGATGAACTCATCTACTACTTAACCCTTCCCGCTTTGAACACATTGCATTGTTTCTATTTGATGTACTTGAATATTACAAATATTAATATTTGTAAAAGTCTATGGATTCATTTCAGTGTGAAAAGTGAGGTATTTAAAACACGTTATGTATCTGATACTTATTACACAACAATGCGGAATCTCCAGTCTTACATTTAACTCTGCCAGGTTGCTGTAGATAAGAAAAAGCAGACGGTTGGTTTCATTGGTGTTAGTACAAGCCTCATTCACCAGGTCCTGGGCTTCTTGTAGTCTGATGTTGTGGTTTGTTAAGAGATGGCTTGCAGCTTTTTTTAGTTCTGCAAGTTCCTGCTGGGGTTTGAGATACTCTTTCTGAACCCGTAACAGCAACCTCTCTGCAGTGCTGATAAACAGAGAGCAAATAGTAAATAAATGTAGGAAGAGAAATTTAGGTGTATTTTCTTAAGGAAGGAAGAACTGAAAACAGGATTACCCAAACTTTGCAACACTAACAATTGCAACTAGCTTGCACATAACCTTATACCAATTTTTTTCATCAACAATACTTACAACCATAATATTTATTATACTTGTCTCACCACTGATAGAAGACGAGAAATTACTGGTTTGCGTTTGCAAACAATACAACCTTGTGGCTTATCAGCTTAGTCCTTGCCCTGTAGTTACAGAGAAATGAGTACAGTAAGCCACTTCTGAGGACCCTTTGGACTGCATTTGGTTCAAAAGCTCCATTTGGGATACCTCTGATTTGAAGGCCTGCATGGATTTCATGCATCTGGAAAGGTTCCATGTCCTACCTCAGACATTTGCAGTTTAAACATTTTTAATCTAGGATCATCATGCCATGGTATAGGAGGCGGCACTGGAACATACTGATAATCTGAGCAGCAACAAATCACCGTGACAGAATGGATACATCCCAGGGTTCTGAAGGAATTTAAAAATAAAGTGGCTGAACTGCTAAAAAAACAAAAATAATAATAATAATAATAATAAAAAAAATGCAATCTCTTATGAAAATCAGCTATCCCACTGGAGGGAAGTAAGTATTGTGCCTATCTTCAAAAAATGGTGCTAGGTGTGATTTTGGAACTACAGCCCAGACCCAGGGAATTAGCCAACAGCTAACTGCTTGCAGTTATTCCATGATAATCCATTACTGGGATTTTTGTACTTTACCCAGAAGCATTTGATACTGCCCACTATCAAAGGGAGGATACTGAACCTAAATTGGTGTGATCCTGAATGGCAATTCCTATGTAAGATGCACAGTGTAGTCCCTGCTATGACACATACACAAATAATTCTGATTCACAGTTTTATCCTTTAATCTGCTTTCAACTGTTTGTACATTTCCAATTATAGCAAACCAAGCCTGGTTTACAGTGTTATCACAAACAAAAGAAGAAATACACTGACTCTTTCCTACTAATACTAGATATGGATATGCATTTATATTTTCATACTACTGATCCACGGTCCATACCCTCAAAAATCGTTGTTTCAAATTATAACAAAATACAGGAACTGGTAGAATGAAGCTACAATGCAGTATTTTACAAGGCAGTATTCCCCCAACACTTGAGTGTACCGTAAAAAGGTTATACTGTAGTTCAGGAATTTTGTCTTATGTAGTAAATTCAGGCCTGGTCTACACTGGAGGGGGGCAGGAGGGGAAATCAATCTAAGTTACGCAACTTCAGCTATCTGAATAACGTAGCTGTCAAAGTAGTTAGATCTACTTAATGTGGTGTCTTCACTGCAGTAAGTCGACAGCTGACGCTCTTTTGTCGACTCCGCCTGCGCCTCTTAACCTGGTGGAGTACCAGAGTTGACGGGAAAGCGCTTGGCGGTTGATTTATCGTGTCTAGACTACCCCTGCTGGATCGATCTCTGCCCATTGATCCAGCGGGTAATGTAGACAAGCCCTTAGAGAGGCTTAAGTTAGATATTGTTTAATGATATATCATCATAAACAAAATTTACCAAGTGCCATGGGGTAACTATCTGCTGCCTGACAAATGCATTGTCCAACTGCTTATTTAAATTAGCTTTGAATTTGTAGCTCTAGAGCATTATAAATTCTGTAAAGCAAACTCTCATGCTGCTAGCATAAATCTTATTAATTCTCTTCTTAGTGTGTGAAAGGACACTTATCAGATAACTTTCAGAAATTTCTGCTGAAAGCCTACAATTGAAAAAGTTAACTTACAAATGCCTTTGTTTAACAGCCCAAACTGCAGTAAAAGTCAGAAATATTTTGTTATTTAATGGTGTGTTCTCAAACACTTTCATAAGGCCAGGAAGCTATTCCAAGACCTAATTCATTATAACTATAACCAGGTTTTATTTGTAGTCCATTTTCATGGCCATCTGGCTCTTACAGAAATTAATAGACAGGACCAAGCATGAGAGACAGGTGAGCAACACTATATTTGGGGATCACATATATAAATCCATGGTATGCCCACATCTTGAATACTGCGTACAGATGTGGTTGCCCCATCTCAAAATATATATATATATATTGTGTGACGGGGCAAGGCCAGATGGCTATAGAAAAGTAGTGGGAGATCGATGTATTAGCTCCAGGCTAAACAAATCCCTGGTACCAGGATAAGTGAAATGGCAGCTGCTCCAGGTCAATTAAGACACCTGGGGCCAATTAAGAACTTTCCAGAAGACAGGAATAAGACTAGGTTGATTGGGACACCTGATGCCAATCAGGGGCTGGCTGAAACTAGTTAAAAGTTTCCCAGCCAGTCAGGTGGGTGTGCATGTCAGGAACTGTGGGAGGAAGTTGCGCTGTTGGAGAGGCTGAGTAGTACACACCATATCAGGGACAAGGAAGGAGGAGGGTGAAGTGGAGCTTGAAGAAGTGAGAGCTGCTGTGGGGGAAGTAGCCCAGGGAATTGTACATGTAAGGTGTCTATAAGGTCAGCTACCATAGCTGATACTATTAGGGTCCCTGGGCTGGAGCCCAGAGTAGAGGGTGGGCCTGGGCTTCCCCCCCCACCTTTGCCCCCTGATTAATCCTTAATTAATTAATCCTTAATTAATCCTGAGACTGGGAGACAACAGAGACTATGCAAGGAACGATAACTTCTCCTCACCTCCCTCGCTGGCTTATGATGAAAATGGCTCAGTAGACTGTGACCCTTGTCTCTAGAGAGAGAAGGGTTATGTGCAGGGTCACAGTGAGCCTCTGAGGTTAGCGAAATCTGCCAGGAAACGCGGGACCCACGGAGGCAAGGACAGAGCTTTGTCACAATTGGAATTGGAAAAGGTTTAGAAAATGGCAACAAAAATGATTAGGGGTATAGAATGGATTCCGTGTGAGGAGAGATTAATAAGACTGGGACTTTTCAGCTTGGAAAAGAGACAACGAAGGAGGGATATGACTGAGGTCTATAAAAACACAAGAACAAGAAGTCACCACATGAAATTAATAGGCAGCAGGTTTAAAACAAGCAAAAGGAAGTATTTTTTCATACAATGCACAGTCAGTCTGTGGAAATTTTTGCCAGAGAATGTTGTGAAGGCCAAGACTATAACAGGATTCAAAAAAGAACTAGATAATTTCATGGAAGATAGGCCCATCAGTTGTTATTGGTTAGGATGTATAGAGATGGATTTCCTAGCCTCCGTTTGTCAGAAGCTGGGAATGGGCAACAGGGGATGGATCACTTGATGATTACCTGTTCTGTTCATTCCCTTTGGGGCACCTGGCATTGGCCACTGTCGGAAGACAGGATACTGGGCCAGATGGACCTTTGGTCTGACCCAGTATGGCCATTCTTTTGTTCTTATATTCACATTAACATATGAAAATATAACTATTCAATGGGAATACACAGAAGTAGGTCCAAGTCCACGAGGGAACTTCTAATGGGCAGTAGCAGGGTCCACACAGACAGTTCATGCACAACACGCTAGTGCACTGTATATTTACACCCTAGCTTGCCGGGCACTAACTCTCCATTTAGACAAGCCCTGACAAGTATAGACAAACATTCTTCCCAATCCAAAATATTTTAAAACAAAGGGTGGGATATTCAAAAGCATTTCAAACTGGTCTACTTCTGTACCCATTAAAGTCCAGGGTCAATTCTTATTGACATCAGTGGGAACAGAGTTAAAGCAATAAAGGGCATTTTTGAAAACCACACTCAAATTCTGAAAAATTTGGTGGTTAGATTTCCCAACTCTGGCAATAAAGAATCTAAAGCTGTCTTCAAGAAGAAACAAATAAGGAGAAAGCAATGTGAAATCAAAGTTATGACTTAGAATAAAAGCTGAATGCTCAAAATAAATGCTGAGGTTTCACCTACAAAACATATGCCACATGTGCATCCATACCAGCAAAAGACTATTTCCTTCCCCAGATGGGCTTGCAACAGGAGGTTGACTGGAGGCCTGGGGGAAGAAATGTCCCTACATACATACACACACACACAAATTACTACAGCCCTCAGGCTACCGTAACCCCTGTTTCTGCTGTAATCCCACTAGGGGACAGTGAGCTGTGGAGCTGCACGATGGCATATAAACCTGTCCCTGTCCGGGGCTGTGCTCAGAATCCTGCTGTGCTTGAATGTGGGAAGAACCCCTGTGGAACTGGGAATGGTGGTGCTTAGAGATTATGGAATTCTTACATGTGTTTCAGAGATTTGATCACGCACCCTCCAGTGCAGCAGAACAGTCATGCTGCATTTGGGGCCCTACAGAGCTATGGAAGAGGGAGCAGAACTTTGGTCAGAGATAGTAAATCTATCTCAAAAGCAAATAGACACTTTCCCCTGTAACACAATTCCATAGTATGTGCATCAAGACCCTAGTCTGGAGCCCATTGAAATCAATGGGAGTCTTTGGATCAGGTCCCAACTGTGCATTGAGACTCTATTTAAACTATGGCCAACTCCAGGCATTTCAGTTTCCACTTCCCCTCATGACAGAGCTTCATAAAATTTTGCCAATACTAAGGAGACACTGGACCATTTTTTTCCTCTCATAGATCCCTACATGAACGATAGATTGTCCATGAATAGAGAAATATCAATAAGACAGTAGGTTTACTTTAGTACAGTGGTGACATTTTGATCCTGCTGCATGAAATGTCTTCTGCGCATTGCTTCCAGCATGGTGGAGATATCTTCCTGCAGACTCTGAGATGTACTGTTTGACAACTGGAAATTCAGAGCCAGAGTCTCATTTAAAGATGTGGCCACTTCAGCAAGTACTAAGTGGGAAGGAAACAATTCAGTCAACTCACTGAGACAATATAAGATGAATCCCTTACCCAAACAGCATAAACACCCTCTCTTTGCAAACAGTTCTCACAGATTTACAAAGTGAATACATTTTTAATTCAATAATGTAAGTGGCCATAGATTACAATCAGACACATTACCTTTGATGGTTGTATACATGGTGTCAATAAATACAGTCAAATGTCGACTCTCATTCATGGTTCTTTGAGTTGCATTGTTGAGCTGCCATCCTCTCTCCAATATTCTAGTTAACTAGCATAAAAATAAATAAATGAACGTTTATGATAAACATTTTTTAAAAAAAGCAATTTTAAGACTGATTATTGCCCTCTGATAGCTTTTCCACTGAAGGAAAAACATTTCTAAGGTTATCATTGAATTGCATGAGAAAATGATTAGAAGTTCTTGAGGAGACAGAACAAATTGGTTTGGTGGATTTCTAGTATCTGCCAAGCAGATGTGATGAGACACCTTCATTAAGTATTCTGCCAGTCCCAAACTCAAATATCAGTGAAAAACTGTTATCAAAGTTGTTGTCACAATGAATATTATTACCCCCAAAAGGAATACTTTAACATTTTTTCCCTTTGACATCAATGCTATCTTAAGAAAACTACTTTCAAGACATGGCATCTCTGGTAATTATAGCAATATGGTCACCACTGCAGCTGTTGAATGAAATTAGAGATTTAGGAGGGTATATGTGGTCAACAAATGACATCAGATATGTCCACTGAAGGATATTTCTATTCTTTTTTATTCTATATTTTTATTCTTTAGGAGACAAAATCTTACTCAAGTAAATCGTCTTACTTCACTGGGAATTTTGCCTGTGTAAAGACTTAATACAGACTTTAGGATTTGCCCATTTATTTAAAATTTGTTCAATTTACACTGAAATCATTTTGTAACAAAATACTACAGCGAAATTGAAGTGTAAGACTTCTTGGAAAGTGTCCAACAATGACAAAAGGTTAAATAAGCCTTCTGGGTCAAAACCAATGAAAAGAAAATATTTCCATTTCTTACAACATGAACCACTGAAGGATCATGATACAAAAAGAGCACCTTACTGAAAAGTCTTCTAACAGAAAAACTATAACCCTTCTATAGGATTTTTAATCATTCTGTAGAATTTAAGAGAACATTAGATCTCTGCTACAGAATTATACAGAATAGCACAAAAACCTGTTGTATCCTTTATTAATTTTTAATAGTTTTTAGAGTAACTTCTATACAACCCTATTACCTTTCTATAGAATCCTGTTGCTTCAGCTCTGTTACATTCTATAAAACTTTTCCATAAGGGGTTCCGAAAGATCACTCTGTTTGGCTAGGAATGAAAGTGCAGGGTACTTGCCTCTTTGTGCAGTCGATCTGTGCCTCCTGATATATTCACAAGACCTTCTTTTGCCATCTCCAGTGAATAGATTGGATCCTCTCTAGACAATAAAGACTCCTAAAAAGAGTAACGGATTGACATTTAAGGTCTGGGGGCTTTTTAGTCCAGCCTTCATGAGGTCACCACCATTTTTGTGTGCAGAAAATTGTGGATGCAAATAACTATGTGCACAATTTAGGTGTTTACGTTTAAACACCTGAATCTGCTGCGACATAAACTAAGCTCAGAAGTATTGCTGGTGCACAAAGGTAGGCCATTTTTAAAATTAAGGGCCAGTTCTCTGGATCCATCCAAGTCTGAGGATGTTCACTAGTCCTGGAATTCCAGGACAGGCACTTCTCTATGTATAGTTTGCTAACTTACTCTGCATATCTAGAATTACTGTAAATGTATACAAAATGACCTGAAGAAGAGGTCTTTGTAGCTCGAAAGCTTGTCTCTTTCACCAACAGAAGTTGATCCAATAAAAGATGTTACCTCACATCCACCTTGTCCCTTCATATTTAGTACAAACAAGGGTGTCACAAAATATTGCTTCTCAAAAGGTATTAAGAGATGTAAGATATAAAAGGCATACACACTTGAGCAAAGTGTGGATTTCTAGACAGGTGTGAGAGTCAACACCTCAATGTCTCTTTAAGTTAGCGTATGGCCAGTATGGTCCAGTTCCGGTTTCAAATATATAGTTCCCCAAACTGATGAAAGCAGTAAGCCTTATAGCAAGGAACGCTGGGAAGACATATCAGGGGACAAAAGTGTCCCTCCCCTCAGAACAGGGAAAGGCTAGGGAAAGACCAAGACCTGCTATGAGTCTTGCTAAGCAGACAGACAGACACTTACTCACTGGGAAAGGGCCGGAAGCAGTACCTCTGGGTTTCTCCAGGGCAAGGCCCTTGGAAATCCTGGCAGTAGCTTTTGAAGAAGCTAGTGAAACAGCTCAAGAAGAAGCCTAAAAACAGCCAGCTTGGTGGTTAGGTAAGTCAACTGGGACCAGAGGTGAAAGTAACTCTGCAGCTGGTAGCTCAGGGGTTATTTAAAGGGCCCGGGGCTCCTAGCCACTGCTAGCACAGCCAGAGCCCCGGGGCCTTTAAAACTGATTTAAAGGGCCCGGGTATTTAAAGGCCCCCCCCCTTTCCAGTTGAGGCCACGCCTCTTCCAGTTGAGGCCATGCCCCCTGCTCAGGACTCCGGCGTAACGGTAAATCCTTTAAGTTACTTTCACCCCTGACTGGGACAGGAGTGATATTTTAGCTAGAGAGACAGAGATATCCACATCCTGAGAGGAGAAACTAAGGACTATGGCAGAGCAGAGTAAGTTTAGCATTGGAAGAAGAGAAGCAGCAGAGCTGGTGGTCTCTACTTCATTGTTGAGAGTCCCAAAACTGACACATATGGAAGGAGGAGGATGGAAGAGGTCCCTCTCTTTGACTCTAAGGGACTAACAAGGGGCTTTGATGCAATACAATGGAGAGGAGACAAGATTGACAGACCTTGTGACTAACACGGCTGTTACTCTGAAACCTGAAAAAGACTGGATATTTTTAAAATTTTGTTTTCAGTTGGATTTACTTTTGTTTATCTCAGAAGGGGTGCAATTTTTAGGTTAGCCAGAAAGAGAAAGAAACAGGTATGTCTGACATCACTCAAAGGGAAGGTAAGCAGTTGTTACCATTTTATTCTCTAAAGTTACCAAATAATTTCTTTAGAAGCAATGGTTAGGAATTATTATGGCACAACATGAACATGACAATCTGTACTATAGCCATAACCCTGGCAACTATCCCAGAGTCCAAAATTCCATAGAGGTTTCTTACAATTTTTTTGAAATTCCTTGAGCATCTCAGTTATCAGTGCAGTGACAGCTGGTTTAGATCATTTGACTTAAATGCCAAATATGTGCACTGAAGGCGAAATTGAAGCTGATGTTATTTTCACAAAAACTCTGTTTTCATTTTAGCAGTAAAGTGCTAAACATATTATATGGTTTTAAAAGTATATGCCAAAAGAGATTATTTTCCTACAAGAATACAGAAACAATTACAAAGTAAAAGCTAATTCTATTATTACACAAGTATTCAAATAGTACAATATTTCTATAGAGTTGGTACATAAAACAATGGCAACATGATTAAAATGAAAGGGTAAGATGATCTCTGACCAAGCATAAAGCTGTAATTGAATCAAAGTGATCCTCTAATATCATACACATAAAAATATTAAATTACATCCTTAAGTGTTCAATCTGGATATCATTTATAAAAGAAAATATTATTCTTCTAACTCAATTTCATTTTAATTTGCAGCATCCATCAGCACTAGAAGTCTCACTTTATCATGGATTTGTCAAGATATGACAGAATACAAAGAAAAATGTGGTTTTACTTATACTTTAGAGTTTGTCTCACTACAGGTTTCAGAATAACAGCCGTGTTAGTCTGTATTCGCAAAAGAAAAGGAGTACTTGTGGCACCTTAGAGACTAACCAATTTATTTGAGCATAAGCTTTTGTGAGCTACAGCTCACTTCATCGGATGCATACTGTGGAAACTGCAGAAGACATTATATACACAGAGACCATGAAACAATACCTCCTCCCACCCCACTCATAGCAGGAGAGTGGGGTGGGAGGAGGTATTGTTTTATGGTCTCTGTGTATATAATGTCTTCTGCAGTTTCCACAGTATGCATCCGATGAAGTGAGCTGTAGCTCACGAAAGCTTATGCTCAAATAAATTGGTTAGTCTCTAAGGTGCCACAAGTACTCCTTTTCTTTTTTGTCTCACTACAGTTATTGCTGAGTAGGTACTTTTCACTACACACTCTTATTTTAGCAGCCGTGAAGCACGGAAGATTCTGTTCCAGCAATCTGCATGCCTTTTACACTGGCTTTGTGCAGGGACAAAGACCGGGCTACATGAACCTAGTTTTTAATGTGCCCCTACAATATTTTAACCGAATTCACAAAGTTGTAATGCACCAAGCACGTGAATACATGGAGTATCACAGATGGAAATACAATATAAGTGAGTTAAGATGGAGCAGTTGAGCTTCTCCTTAATGAGGATTAGGCTGTTCATGCCTCAAACTCTTTACTGTTAACACACATTTCAGGGATCCATGGAGAAAATTTAGCCTCAAACATTTAGGCACAGGTTAAGTTTGCACACACAAAAAAAGTGCCACACCAAAGGCAAGGGACACCAGAACTGTGACAGGGCAATGGTAGAAATTCACCAAAGAGTCAGTCCTGTAGTGCTTTTTTTCAGCTGCTAAGTTTCTTCCCACCCAGCCCAACCCCTCCATTCTAGAACAGCGTATCTGTTCCTGTTCAGTCATGTGTAGCAAGAATTGTTGTTCCTAAATGTTCCCCAAAATTCTTTGCACCAGCTACCATCAGTGTTCCCTCTAATTTTTTACGTGCAGAATGAATTTTGCTATGTGCACCAATATGGAGGTGATGTGTGGCGGGGGTGGGGCCAAGAGGTTCAGAGTGTGGGAGGGGGCTCAAGGCTGAGGCAGAGGGTTGGGGTGTGGGGAGGTGTGGGCTCTGGCTGGGGGGTACGGGCTCTGGGATGGGGCCAGGGATGAGGGGATTGGAGCGTAGGAAGGGGCTCAGGGCTAGGGCACAGGGTTGGGGTGTGGGGTGGTCAGGGCTTTGGCTGGGGGTGCGGGCTCTGGGGTGGGGCCAGGGATGAGGGGATCAGGGTGCAGGAGAGGGCTCAGGGCTGGGGTAGAGGATTGGGGTGTAAGGATTGTAAGTTCTGTGGGGCAGAGATTGTCTTTTGTTCTGTGTTTGCACAGCACTTAGCACAATGGATTACTGGCCAACAACTAACGCTCCGAGGCATTATGGTAATATTATTTCTAGTAATAGTAATGACGCAGAAAAGAAAACAAGAAGGTTGCTGAGTCAGAAGAATGTAATAGAGCCCATTTTATGGAGTGCACTCATGAAACAACCTGTCTTAAACTTACCTGCATATCTAGTCATCTGCTTCCAATCCAATCTCCTACCAGCTTCATAAAGCAATTGTTCGATAGTATATTCCAGAGGTGAGCAACTACGGCCCACAGGCCACATCCACCCCTCCTGCCTAGCCCCTGAGCTCCTGGCCCAGGAGGCTAGCCCCCGGCCCCTCCCTTACTGTTCCCCCTCCCCCGCAGCCTCAGCTCACTGCACCGCCGGCACAATGCTCTGGGCAGCGGGGCTGCGAGCTCCTGGGGCAGCGCAGCTGCAGAGCCTGGCCTGACCCGGTGCTCTGTGCTACGCGGTGCATGGCTGGCTCCAGCCAGGCGGTGCGGCTGAAGCGCCACCAGCCACCAGTGCTCCAGGCAGCGCAGTAAGGGGGCAGGGAGTGGTGAGGTTGGATAGAGGGCGGGGGAGTTTGAGGGGGGGGGTGATCAGGGGGAGGGGGTGTGGATAGGGGTCAGGGCAGTCAGAGGGCAAGGAACAGGGGGCTTGAATGAAGGCAGGGGTCCGGGGGGGGGGGGGCAGTCAGGAAGTAGAGGGAGATTGGATGGGGCAGCAGGGGGCAGTCAGGGGATAGGGAGAAGGGGTGGTTGGATGGGGCAGGGGTTCCGGGGGGGCAGTCAGGAAGGAGAGGAGGAGTTGGATGGGGTGGTGGGGGGGTTCCGGGGGAGATCAGGGGACAGGGAGCGGGAGGGGGATGGATGGGGCAGGAGTCCCGGGGTGGGAGGGGCCAAGCCTGGCAGTTTGGGGAGGCACAGCCTCCTCTAACTGGCCCTCCATACAATTTCCAAAACCCGATGCGGCCCTCAGGCCAAAAAGTTTGCCCGCCCCTGGTATATTCAGTTCAATGGTGGGGAGGATTAAGGGAAGCCCAAATAACATGCAGTTCTGGGACTGAAATCTTTTGACATTCTGAAAAATCCTATCTTGTATTTGTTTCCTGGTATAGGTCATGGAGGAAAGCACCTATTACTGTCAGGCAAGCATAAGCAAAGCAAGCAGCCAACGTGTCCCATGCAAGCTCTGTAATGGACAGGCAGGTCATATTACCCTCTTCAGCAGCAGGGCTCATTGGGGAAGAAACAACTCACTGCCAGATCCCTTACTACCTTCAGCAATGGGACCAACGGAGAAACCAGTTCATGACTTGATTTTCTACTTTCCTGTAGTGTACAGGTCCCTCAATGTTATCCCTGTTCTACTGAAAACAAATGGCCTGTCTTCAGCTGGAGTAAATCAATGTAGCTCCATAGACTTCAGCTGAGGATCTGGCTAAAAATATAAAGGTGAAACATGGGCATGGTAATGTGGTACAATAATATATATTGAATACTCTAATTTATTAAATATTAGACACAAGAAAACTGGTACAATGTTATATAGACATCTGGGGAGGCTCAGGGAATAAAGTTTGACATTCTGAAGGCAAATTTATGGTCCTATTCTGATCTGATATACACCAGTTTTATACCAGACACCATTCTAAAGCCATTAACTTTAAGAATGTTACTCCTGACTTACCCCAAAGTAAGTGAGATCAGAACCAGCCCTAAGTTTTGCTTACAAGGTATCAGTAAATATTTCCATTATTTATTGTTTACCTTCAGGTATTTTGTTACATTCTCCACATCTGCCAATATCCCATATGGTGCAAAGGTAACACCAGTGAAGTTTACCGAAAATATGGCTTTGTCAAGGTGATCCAAGTCATTTAATAAAACACCTGTGCAGTCATCATTGCAAGCTGAAGAAATCATTTTAAAAAAAAGGGAGTAATGTTACGATAAAAAGGCATTCGTTGAAAAGGAAACATTAATTTACATATAACATACATTTACTTTGTGTGTTAAGAAAGCCTACAAATAATATTGATAGTATGCAATATTGTACATTCTGTAGTATGTTTTAAAAACATAGCATCTGATTCTGACCACCCCCACCACACCAGTTTAACACCAGTGTAAGTCTGAGGGGTCAGATCCCCTCACTTACATTGGTGTAAATCCAGACTAATACCATTGAAGTTGATGCATTCATACTGCTTTGGAGAGAGAATCAGGCCCAACGAAACATATTCTATGCTGCTGTAATTTCATTGGCTCCTTGCACCCCTCTGCTCCACTGACCAGTCAGTAAAGTAAAAGTCAGACAGAAACTGACCTTACATTAGTAATTCAGCATAAAAGTAGGTTAACGTGCAAGCCTGATCTCTCTTTTTTTTACTACCAAGCACTTCTCACCCACACAAATGCCACCTGACCACCACAAACCCAGTGAGAGACAAGAAAAAACACCTACAAACACATTCGTTTTCCACAAGGATGTGTCTGGGTTCACATGCATCGCACAGTTGTCCTGTCACACCCTGCTTACAAAGGCATTGTCCAGATATGTGATCACAATTATTGTGACTCGAGCCACTTGGATTGCATTGACATTGTTGACAGCTGCCACCAGGCATTTCAGGATTACCATAATAACCTAGAGAACACCTACAAGGGACAAGGGGGACAAGGGATACTGAAAATTATTTTAAAATCTATTAGCAAAAACCCCTCTCTTTTTCATTATCACTAGCTGATTTAAGATCATGTATAGGTGATTGAGGCACATAATATATTTGTAATTATCAGTCTATGTATAATAATCTACAAATCACTCTAAGCAATTCCATTTTTTATAAAAAAGCATCACATGCAAATTGAGTACTCCATTAAAGGTACAGACACGTGTAGGGCTTGTCAAAAATCTCCTGGAGCGTAAATGTATCTCACCTTTCACAGTATTGCCCTTCATATCCAGTGAGACAAGCATCGCAGTGGAAATCATGACCATCTTTCAGAACACAAGTGGGACTAAAGCTAGAGGAAGAAAGAGTTGCTAAATAACAGATACAACCCAAATGCAAGACCATACAAGTTCAGACATCTGCAGTCTTACCAGGTGAACACGACATTTAAAACACAAAATATTGTACGCTGCAGTGTCGTTCATTCACTGTGATGTAGTGTAATAGAGTTTGTGCTGTGAAATCTTTGTGTATCTTGGAAATATTTATAAATTCATTGCTCTTTGGTAACTGTGTACTACGTTAGAGTCTCAACCTATATACTTCACTAAAAGGTTAAAGCCCGTGTTATGTATTCAATATAAAAGAAGCTCACTCAAACAGCCCGATATTAAGCTCAGTTCACCGTGATGGAGCTGCTTAAATCTTGCCTCTTGTCCCCCCAGAGGAATTTCATCCCTGCTTGAGGGAGGACAGTGTTTCTGCTGTCATCCTCCCTCAGTTGTTCTGCTGTGGAAAGACATGTTTAAGTTGTGATCAGGGCTTCATTGGAGCCATGCTGATGAAAGACGCCAAAGGGAAGCTCTAAATCGGTACCTATCCTGTCTTCTTGAGCCAGACCACACTAGCTGCTCTCTTCTTAGGCAGAGATAATATGCTGCAGGCTCCCTAACAAGAAGGGATACTCTGTGCCACTGTGGGCCTTCTGCCAGGATCTGTGCCAGCACACATTGATGTGCAGATCCTAAGTCATTTTGGACCATTATCCCTGCCCATTTTACAGGTGGGGAAAGTGAGGTAGGAGGTTGATTGTCATAGCCAAAGCCTCACACCTCACGAGGACTAGGATTAGATTTCAGTAGTTCCTAGGTCCCGGGCTTGAGCTCAGTCATCCGTACATATTGCCTTTCAAGCTTGAGGTTTCTGGAAAAAGAGCTTGTGTGTATACACAGTAATTTCTCTTTCAAAATAAGATGAATTGTCCCTCTGTAAAACAGATAATGGTGAAACCTCATACAAAAGGCATTCATTCACATTTAGAAGCTTAAAGTACCAAGTGGGACTAGGCTTAAATTAGTGCATGTCAGAAACAAGACCTCTCCAACAAACCCTTCTATTTGACAGAGCATGGATCTAGCAAGCAACTTAACTGACTTATTCTATCCCACTTTAACAATTCAAAATCCTCTGAGGCTGGATAACCCCAAGTACAAGGTTCAGCCCTATACAAGGAAAAAAATAGATGACATGCAAACCCCTGCAAGCAAGGAGATATAATAAAGACAGGTCCCTTTATTGTCAGGGTGCTAGCAAGCATCAGTGTAGTGATCAAATGCACATCAGAGTTCAGAATGTTTGGTTACCTCGTCAGGTTGGTTCTGGGACAGGCACAAAGAGAGCAGTCATTGACAGATCCAATTACTTTCCCATAGTAGCCTGGGGCACAAACACTACAGTGCTCACCAGCTGTGTTATCTCTGCAGTTCTGGTACACAACAAGAAATTCACACAGTTTAAAACAGCAACAGGAATTTTATCATCTCTCCAATCAATAAATTGGTGCAGTCTTTACTAATCATCTTTAATATCACCGTTAGCCAGCATTTTCTGTGCTGAAGATCATTTTGTGTTTCCACAAATGAGCCGATCACAAGCATGCTTTATTTCCCCTCAGTGCCCTGCCAACCATGCTGACCTAATTTATTTCCTGATCCTCAGACGTTTTTGATATAAACTACTATTAATTCAATTAGGGCCAGGAAATGACGGTACTAGGGAAAAAAGCTATTAAAATAAATGAGCACCTGATGGAAAATTCAACTGGCTTACCTAGAACTAAAACAAAGTTTCAATAATCATGATAACTGTGAACGACAAAATATTCATAAATGAAGCCTGCACACCCACTGTTTAATTAGTCCATACATAATTAGATAGCAAAGAAAATATATTATTATTATAAATTATATAGTGTCTTCTTCTACTAGGCAATGCTAGACAAACCCTTCTATTTCATAGAATCATAGAATATCAGGGTTGGAAGGGACCTCAGGAGGTCATCTAGTCCAACCCCCTGCTCAAAGCAGGACCAATCCCCAATTAAATCATCCCAGCCAGGGCTTTGTCAAGCCTGACCTTAAAAACTTCTAAGGAAGGAGATTCTACCACCTCCTTAGGTAACGCATTCCAGTGTTTCACCACCCTCCTAGTGAAAAAGTTTTTCCTAATATCCAACCTAAACCTCCCCCACTGCAACTTGAGTTTGACAGAGCTGGATCTAGCAAGCAACTTAACTGACTTATTCTATCCCACTTTTACAATTCAAAATCCTCTGAGGCTGGAGGACTAGCATTGTCTAGTAAAAGACTAGCTAGAAGACTAGTTGAGGCTAGTGAACAGTAGTAATGCAAGATACCCCTCAGTCTGAGACCAGCAGAGGTCAGAAATGGCCTTAGGGATCTTGCTGCTTGGGCCAGTGGAGATCAGGTGTTTTAAAGAAGTGAATTGCTTGGGCTTCAGAAAGAAGATGAGTGCCTTTTTTTAATTTCTCCTTCTGACTGAAACTCAATTAACATTAATCTTCCAAGAGGGTTACTTGTACACACAACCGGAGGTTGAGGGTAGGAATGGCTGACATTTACTGGAGTAACAAACTTTGGACCTATAATTTGTGGTCTTAGACTAAAAAGACGGTGAACCCCAAGGTGCTTTCTGACTCAAGCTTTAGAGTTGGGTTAGGCCTGGCAAAGCAAGAACTGCTAACAAGCCTGAGGGACTGTAGGAAATATTTTTTGTAAATGTGAATTTAACATGCAATTCAAAGAAAGTAAGCCAGCCTTGAAAAGAAAGCACAAGTTACTTCAAAACCAAACACAACAGAGAAAATTATAATTCTTACAAAAGACTGTCTGCCCCTTGTACAGTTTTGGGGGTGAGGGCCAGTATATTGCTACTTTTCATCTTCCACCTTTAGGTGCCTATGCTCAGCTCAGCAAGACCCAAGGACTGGACCTTTAAATCTCAGCAGCAAAAGAGAAAATAGGTAAACAACTGTCTGGGACATACTAAAAAACAAGACAATAACATATAATAGGAATTTCATAATTTTGAGGACATTCAGTGATTTCACTGAAGGAAACAAGTAGTATTACTGAGGGCTGGTCTTCACTACAGGTAGATCGCACTGCTGCAATCGATGCAGCAGGGATCGATTTAGCAGGTCTAGTGAAGACCCACTAATTCGACAGCAGAGCACTCTCCGGTAGACCCCAGTACTCCGAGAAGAGTAAGGGAAGTCAACCGGAGAGCGTCTCCCGTCGACGCAGCAGAGTGAAGACTCCAGGGTAAGTCAACCTAAGCTGCATCGACTGCAGGTATATTATCCACGTAGCTGGAGTAGCGTAACTTAGGTCGACTTAGCCCCATAGTGAAGACAAGTCCTCTGATATTTTCCATTATTACCTTTAAATGTATGTATCCCACTGGAGTGTCACAGCCTCATATGCTTTAGAAATTCTTTCCTGAGTGGATAGACTATGGACGTTGGATGTTCTGGCAAAACCAACACAGCAATGGAAATGTACGTACCAGGCACTTTCCTGTTTCCAGATTACAGGTCTCACTGTGGTTGTTGCACTGACATGGCACACAAGGTGCAATCATTTGGCGAGGCTCTTTTACATTCAGATCTACATGTTTCGCCCTGTAGTACCCCGACGCACAGCTCTGCATGGGCAGATGTGGGGTGGAGCAGTGAATAAGAAAAAAATATGGGGATATCTTTTAAGATGTTTTATCAGAAATAAAGACACACCGAAAGGTACTTTGTTTGATAAGCAGCTGCGTACCTGACATGAGAGTCCAGCGTAGCCAGTAGGACACTCACATTGCTCTATGAGATGTGCTGTTTCTCTGCCCAAATGCATCTCCTCAGCCTTCACTGCAATTTCCATTGAGATATTTGCAATTCTACAGGAAATGTTTAGATGAAGAGTAAGATAACATGAATATATTAGTGAATAAAGCTGAACCCTAGCTATAAAGTTCAGATCCAAACTTTTGTAAAGTTCAAGGGTGTTTGGATCAGATATTTTGGTTCGGCACGTCAAAGCCACAGAGTTTTGATGCAGAGATAAATTTTTTCAAAATTCAGGAATGTACTGATGCGGGGGTTTGGTTAGGGCCCATCTCTGTTAAGTATGCTCTTATTTCCTAGCAGACAAATGCATGTGGTAAAATATCATCTCTCTACCATTTTTAGTTCAAAGTGAATGCAAAGGGGGGGGGGGTAAAATGCTATCATTCTGATTTGGACGTGTTTTACACTGGTAGTGGGGCAGCATACAATCAGGCCCAGCGTTTTTACATTCAATAAAACTCATGTTTTATTTTCTCGTGGAAGGGCTTGTTTTTCATTTGAAAATTAAAAGTATAGCAATGCATCAGTACTGCAGTGAGTCAGTCAATAACCATAAGAGTAAGATGGGAGACAGTTCATTTAGGATAGCGATGGGCAAACTTTTTGGGCCAAGGACCACCTCTGGGTGGGGAAATTGTATGCAGGGCCAGGGCAGGGGGTTGGGGTGCGGGAGGGGGTGCAGTGTGCAGGAACGGGTTCGGGGCAAGGGACTGGGGCAGAGGAGGGGTGCAGGGTGTATGAGGGGGCTCAGGGCAGAGCGTTGGGGTGCAGGAGGAGGCTCAGGGCAGGGGGTCGGGGTGCAGGAAGGGTGCGGGGTGCGACAGGGGGCTCAGTGCAGAGAATTGGGGTACATGGGGGTGCAAGGTACAGCAGGGGGCTCAGGGCAGGGAGTTGGGGGGCAGGGGGCAGGAGGGGTTCGGGCTCCAGCCCAGCGCCACTTACCTAAAGCGGCTCCGGGATGGCAGTGGCGTGCACCGGGGCCAGGGCAGGCTCCCTGCATGCCTGCCCTGGTCCCACACTGCGCCGCTCCGGGAAGTGGCCGGAACCACGTCCCTGCGCGACTCCTGGGGGAGGGGGGGCACAGGGCTCCATGAACTGTCCTTGCCACACCTCCAGGTACCTCCCCCGAAGCTCCAATTGGCCACGGTTCCCCGTTTCCAGCCAATGGAAGCTGCGGGGGGCAGTGCCTGGAGGCAAGGGCAACGCACGGAGCCCTCTGGCCTCTCCTCTCACACAAACCCGGGACCCCAGGGATGTGCTGCCGGCCGCTTCTGAGCACAGCACGGGGCCTGCGGCACCACGGAGGGGCAATCCCGCGGGCCAGATCCAAAGCCCTGATGGGCCGGATCCGGCCCATGGGCTGTAGTTTGCCCACCCCTGATTTAGGAGATATATAAGTGCCTCTGCTGTCCAAGTAGACAAGTCATTGTGCTTCTTTATGAGCTTTCGTACTAATACAAGCAACAGTGACACTTAGCACTTCACAGAAAATGAAGGAATTTAGAAGAGATCCTGCTTCTATTCAAGGCAATAGGTGCTTATGCTTTATGTTAAAGCTTTAACTTTTTGAATCTCATTGTCTACTGTTATTGAATAATTAATGTCTGACCACGACCACCCACAGTCTGACCCCACCATAATTTCCCACAAACTAGTAAAATTGTAATCAATGACATTTTAAAAAGTGTTTTAAACCCATCAGTTTACACAACTGTGAAAATTTTAATTTGATAAAAAGTGTAAAATTATACATCGATGTTCTCCATAGAAATTATAAAAAATAAAAATTGAAATCTGACAAGCCTTGTTAGGACTGTTCCTAGGTTAAGCTAAAATTAATACAGCCGGTTCAGAGGATGCTTTACCTGCTTTGCTGTAATCCTTGGCCATATGATGCCTTGATAAGGATATACTCAACGTTGCTAAGCACTGACATGAAGTCAGAACGTGTGACAGATTGGTCAGACACAGAGTTAAAGTATTTCCACACATGCTAGGAGGAAGAGAATTAATTTACATTAATTAAAGCAGAAATATTCATGGCCACATACTTGTTTAAAGGCAACAATCTCTCCCCTTCATCCCTCCACCCTTTGAGAAATACAGTCATTAATCGCGGTGATCTGGTCGAAGGAAGCTGAGTGCATCTCATTCTAGAACATATATGCAGCAAGAGATTGCCAGAGAGCAATATGAGGTGTTCCTTTCCGCCCTTTGGACTTGGCATACTGGTCCCAACACATTCCTAGTCCCTGCCAGGCTATGAGTCAAACCCAAATGTTGATATCCTTTCTGACAGAGCAACACAATAACACTAAACTGCCACACTGGCCCAGGAAAACAACATTCAAGGGCATTTCATTTGCTAATACAGATCTCAATCTAATTTTCAAAAGCTTCCCATAATCAGCATTTTCAAAGCATTAAATAAACAAGTGAAGAAACTAACTTTCAGTTTAATTCCCCATTTATTTTCATGAAGTGACATTAGTCAGCCATTTTTCTCTTAATGTGCATTTTACTTCAAGGGCTTTATTCACTGTTTCATTTTAAGTCAGATATTCATTTATCAAAACACCCACATAAATATTTTTTTCTGGAAAAGGCCATCTTTATTCACCTATATAATCACCCCTATATCACGCCATCTTTGTTCAAATTGTTTTAGCTCACCTCCTTCATTTCTACTTCCTCCTCACTTCTTACTCCATTTTGTGGGGCAGAGATATCCACATAGATGACCAATTTACTGGTGCGACCCCCCTTTATCAGAATCTGTGGTTCAAAGTTTGACGTGCCAAAGCCATCCAAAGCATAAAAGGCAACAATATACTTCAGTTTTCCTCCATAGGCCATGAGCTGTTTGGATGATACATTACTGAATTTATTCTCTCTAAGGATACCGGTTGAAAATAGATCACTGCCATCAGAAGACTTCAATCTGTCAGTTCTTTGAAGAATTTGCTATAAAACCTATAAACTTAAACTCAGAAAATCCTGCAACAAAATTAAATACGCATTTCTAAAAAGTAGTCATATGTGTCTTTGTTAGGCTTCCGCTGTTTCAAGGTGTGCCATGAAATTTCATTTAATTCCTCAGTTTTAAAAGTTTATAGAATCTATTTTCTGTATAAAATGTCATGGTTGAAGTCTCTTTCAGGTTATTTATCAGCAACATTTCTTCCGCATACTAACCCTGAAAAATACCACAGTGATAAAGTATTGATGCCCCCAGACTTAAGAGACAAGTAAAACCCCATGGGAAGATGTACAGTGTGAATTGATAGTTATATATGCTACAAATCTGACAACTTTAAATTCAGAATGTTTCAACTCTTTAATTGCAATAGTTGATTTAACTCAGAAACATGTGCAATCAGGATAAGACACCATTATGATAAAATGACACTTACTCATGTTCTTAGCTGAAATATCTCACCTGGTCTCCCTGGAACTGGTCTGGTAACCTCCAATAAAATGGCTCAGTTTTCAAGTGTTCTCTGACAGTTGTGGCATCCAGTAAAACATCAGAAAACTGAGAAAACACACCCTCAACTGTTCCAGTGAGGTTACTTTGAGAAACCACATGCAGAATGGACTGATCTGGAGTTAAGGTTACCTACAACACCAGAAACAATAGAAGCACCCCACAATATTATTTCATCTAAATTTAATGTACTATAAACAGTTTCAGCTTATGTGAGATTTTTAAAACTCTGTTTAGGAGGAATAAAAATACTATAGCCATGTTACAAAAATGGAGACACAATCTTTATAATTATCTTTTAAATTTTTGCAGAAGTTTAATATGTGCTTTTAGAAATAGGAATACCAATGCTTAGCTTTCTTAACTAAACTTTTTCTTCTTCCATACTCTCCCCACACCTTTTACATACATGAGAGAGTGAAACAAATTCAGCTCAGAATGACAGAACTATGCAATTTCATTCAAGTCACTGTGGTGGAAGAAAATTGGACCCAAAAGTTTAAACTGCTTTACTTACCGGAATTCTCACATGGTCTTCTAATTCTGAGCAAAACTCTGACAGCCCAAAACAGAAACATGGAGTGCATCCTAAAGGATTGCTAGCACGGAGAGCAAAGGTTCCAGTCTTGCATTCACTGCAGTGAAACCCAAATACATTTTCCTGGAGAAAAAATACATATGTTTACATTTTATTGCTCTGCAAGTTGAATGAAAGATGATCTTTTAAGAAAGGCAATGCTTCCCTGCTGTACAAATGGTGTAACAACAAGTTTATAACAAGTATTGTGACTGTTCAGTGTTACTAGTAGCAGTTGTGCAGTAGATGCAATTTTTCCATTGCTATACATTACTGACATTTTTTTAAACACAGCTAATTTAATTTCAAGCAAAAATAAAACATTGGAATATTCTAGTAAAAATTAGCAGCCACAAATTTAGAAAAAGATGGAAAAAACTGACTCTCAGTTAATTTTTTGTTTCTAATAAACGGGATGACTCACAGAGGAGAGTATTGCTCAGTGTGAGTTAGGATGGCAGAATCTGACCCTGGATGTGCTTCTGTGAAATGAACTAGTGGGGTCAATCTGCTTCCTAACGGATAGAGTTCACTTTAAAAATAAAAACCAACACAACTTACAGTTGGCACTGATCAGCCCCCTTCACAGCAGCCTTCAGAGAGAGGCCTTCTACCCATTTCTACAGCTCTTTTGAGTGTGGCCACTTTCACTTATATGGAGAAAAACTTTTTTCTATCTTTACTGACTTTTAGATGTAGATGTTCACCTCTTCGGCATATTTATATCCCTAATTCTACTGGCACAGGCACATCTTTAACATTTTGGGGATACAGGGTGATATCATAGATCTCACTAATATCTATGTACAGGTGAGCCGCATCGTACGCACATTTAACTTACGTGAATTCAACTATACGCGCTCGTGGGGGGATCAATCTAAGTTATGCAACTTCAGCTACGTGAACAACGAAGCTGAAGTCAACGTACAGTACTTAGATCTATTCAGCGCGGTGTCTTCACTACAGTGAGTTGACTGCTGCCGCTCCCCCGTCGACTCTGCCTGCGCCTCTCGCGGCGGTGGAGTACAGGAGTCGACGGGAGAGCACTTGGGGGTCGATTTATCGCGTCTAGACTAGAAGTGATAAATCGATCCCCGCTGGATCGATCACTGCCTGCCGATCGAGCAGGTAGTGTAGACAGCCTCTACGCGTTGTTCAAACCTCCCACTGAAGAGGGACAGCCTTGTGATGAGAAGGAATTCAAAGCCAGACAAGGTTGGCTTAACAGTTTTAGGAACCGCTTCAACCTCAAAAACGTGCAGACTACTGGTAAAGCTGCATCTGACAATGAAGAGGCAGCAAAAGCCTACCCCGAAAAATTAAAGAAAATCATAGAAGAAAAGGGCTACCTTCCAGAACAAGTTTTTAATGCTGACTAGACTGGGCTCTTCTGGAAAAAGTGCCCAAAATGCCCAACCACACTTACAGTTCAAAATCAGAAAAACAAGTCCCTGGCTTCAAAGCAGCTAAAGACCGTGTGACTGTGTGGTTTTGTGGCAATGCAGCTGGGCATTTAATAAAGCCGGGCTTGCTCTACAGGGCTGCAAAGCCCCGTGCCCTAAAAGGCAAGAACAAAAATCTCCTGCCTGTGTTCTGGCAATCAAATAAAAAGGCTTGGGTGACGGCAGCATTATTTCTGGATTGGTTCCACAAGTGTTTCACTCCGGAGGTCAAGCGGTACCTTGAAGAGAAAGGACTTTACTTTAAAGTGTTGCTGACCGTAGACAATGCTCCTGGCCATGCTGCAGCACTCCGGTTTGCGATTTAAAGGATTTTCAAGGGTAATTTTGACTATACGCGATTTTCACCTTACACGCTGACTTTAGAACCTAACCCCCACGTAAGATGCAACTCCACTGTATTTAAACGTATCTTTTAAGGAGTGCATTTGGTTGCAATGGAGAAAGCTTAAAGTTTTACATTTGCCTAGTAGCTTTACATCATATGAAAGGATTTGGGTTTACATTAGTCAGTTTCTCCCAATCTTTATAAAGCTTTTTTGATCTATTTCTGAGGGGGAAAGCTTTTATGGTAATAAAACAGGTCTAGTAGTCAGAATCTTTGTTGTAGTCCCATCTCCAATAAAAACTTCCTGTGTACAAGTAATATAATGTTTCTGTGCTTCAATTTTTCCATCTGTACAAGGAGGATAATACTACTTAAGACACCTATCTCACAGGTATTTTGTGATGCTTAACTAATTAATTTTTTTATGTGCTTTGATATCCTTGGATGGAAGGAAGTTGTAGAATTGCAAAGTCATAATAGAGGACTATATATTAAATGGATTTTTGGAACAAGGATATGGAATAGGAGCTTGCTCCATCCATTTCACTCATCGACCTGGTATTGCAGTACCTCCAGGAATGGTGCATCTTCCCTCGGGGGAGACTATTGTGGTTAAAAAATAGAATCAGTTGAATTCATTACACCAGTACTGACTTGCACTCTAAATATATTCTATGGGTAGCATACCCGAGATCACGTACTCAGAGACACTTTAAAAACTCTTGCACCCCAATCTGGGTCTATGCTGGTTATATACTATGTATGTATCTTGTGAACCTTGTAACCGATACTTGTAATCTCTCATAACCCAAGCCTGACCCCAGATGTATAATACCTTCCTTCTTAACTTGTGTAAACTTTGATTTTAAACGTTAGTTTTAATAACAGTTTTTATTTTATTAGACTAATTTGTTAATCAAAATAAGTTATTTTTGATTCAGGCTTGTATGTATAAATGCTTTCTATGCAATAGCTATCTCTACAAAGTGGGTAAAGCAATAATTATCTGCCAAAATGGAGAATGGAGGGGGGGATGTACTTGTATATTACTAAACCATCACCTTCATCAGAAATTGTTCTCCCAACTATATCCATTCAGGTGATGCATTCTGAAGGTTTCATACCAACAGCACAAACTCCCTAGAGTGTCTTGGAATGAGACAATGTATTTTTCTCTGGCCTTGGGTTGAAATGTTATCTCTGCACTACTAATGAGGTTAGAACAATTTTTCTGTACTGATTTGGTTCTCTCTTGTGTAATACACCTCCCAGAGATGCTCTGACAAAATATGGAATAAAAAATTATTTTCAGTTATTGGGTAAAAATTGTTATTATTTATGCTATTGATGAGGCAAAAATCACACAGGAAATAAAACATTAAATAAAAATGGAATACAAGGAACTTGCATAATTAAAACTTTTTGGTGTGATATTCTTGCTATTGAAAAGCTCATTACATAGATAACAGGTGAAATCCTGGTCCCCATTGAAGTCAGTGGCAAAACTACTATAAGCTTAATAAGACCTACAAACAAACATTCTCAGAACTCATAGCCAGCCTTCTGTCTTATGATAATGGGCTTTTGTACCCATTATGAAATAGAGAGGAGCCTATTAATGAAATATGAAAATAAAACAAATGTACCATCATTCATTTCTGATCTGCAATACTAGCTGATGTCCCAGAGGGCACTGTGCACCATAAAAAAGATTGTCACAGAAATCTTCTTGACCCACATTGTAAAATTTACTTTTAGAACACATGGATTTGCCATTCACCCAGTTGCAATAAATAAAGAGAACAAACCTGTGTCTGTGTATGTGAATTCAGTACTGCAATTTTACTGCAGTTGTGAAAAATTCAAAATCCTATGCAAGACTATAAAGAATCCAATCATTGTTCTGTCGGAATGTACTGTGGGAGTTTTTAAGCTTATCAAGGATTCCTCATTCCAGCTAGCTAGAATCTACCTTTTATGGGTGACCATACATATGGACCTGATCCTGGATTCCTAATACAGAAAAATCCCCATTTATTTCTTTGAGAGGTTTGCCTATGCAAAGGACTGCAGGATCATGTCTAATAAGCTAAAAATAAAGTTATAGGGCAATTTAAAACAATGGAACAAACAAAAGACAGCAATCTCTCACTCCTGTTGAATATTATACCTTGCAGGCACAAATGCCAGTTTCTTCTTCACAACTACAGACTCCTTGACTCTCATCACATTTGTCTGCTTTGGTGCCACTCAAGTCACAGTCACAGGAAACACAATCTGGATAGTCCCTATAGCCTAAGGCACACTTAGAACAATCTTCTCCTCCAAATTCATCTTTACATTGGCATTGACCTGTCTGTAAGTCACACTGGAGACTGGTTGAACCGACATCACTGCAGTCACAGGCCTAAAAAGAAAAATAAGAAAGAATTTTAAGTTCTCATAGCTCATGTACAGTAGATATTTAGAAACAACTTTGTTATAACAAACTGCATGGTCAGTTTACAGTGGCAAATAAAAAGAAAGCAACATTTGCCAACAGTTATTACACAATGATATCTGATATAAAGCAAGGGTTCCTAAATGGGGAGCAGTGAAAAGAAAAAACCTGATATTTCTAATAATATATGGTAAAAATTGAGAAAAGTTGTGTTTAAATACAACCACTAAGTTTTTTAAATACAGGCACCAATTTGCATTTACTTCAACCTCTACCTGTATGGCAAAAGTATAAGAAAAGGAAGCTAAGGTATAAATCACTACACTGTAGGAAAGAGAAACACACTGTACTCTTATAACTTGACTATGCTTTTACTCAATCCTTGACCCCTCTTCTGGCTGTTTAGTGCCGCTGAGCACTGCGGAAAGCTGCCCTGAAGGGGAAAATGAAGATTTCCCCCTAATATAGGGGATTCCTGGGGTAGGACAAAGCCAGCGCTGGCTGGATGGCCTTCACTCCCTTATTCCACCTCAGGGGTGCGTTGGAGTTTACCTGAGGTTGGAAGGGACCAGGAGGAGTGAATGGCATTGCACCAGATCCTGGCCTGGAGCAGGGATTACCTGCAGCTGATGTAATTTAGCTTGCACTAAATTATACCAGGGGCCATTTTAGGCCCAGGCTGGCCTACAATGGGGAGCAGAAAGGTGCTTTACAGCTTAGCTGTGCCACGTGTAAACTCACTGCTGCTGAGGATTGAGCCCAGAGTGTATTGCTTGGTGCCAGGACTAAAGTAATTTATAAAATAGAAGAAAGAGAAATGCAAAGAGTTTAGCAGAAAGGAGTGCATAATTTCTGTGATGGTTCTATGAAAAGGCAACATTCCATTTTTGTAGCCTGGGAAGTCAGAAAACTTCCAGGGTTTGCTATGTGTTCAACTGTATCAATAAGGCACTGGCCCATTTGGCGGGGTGTGAAGTCACACCACTCGACGGGGAGACCCAGGAGGGTCTGTGCCTCCCAACTCCTCCTATGGCTCAGCAAACACACACAGAGGTGAGGCACAATCCTGCACCAAATATTCAGAATATTAGCTGACGATGTAGAGATTTAAAACTTGGTTGCCAAACAAGCAAGCAAGAACTTGTTATAAATCAATGAGATTGCAGGCTTTATTGAGAGATTACAAAAGAAAAGGAGTACTTGTGGCACCTTAGAGACTAACAAATTTATTTGAGCATAAGCTTTCATGAGCTACAGCTCACTTCATCGGATGCATTAGTGGAAAATACAGTGGGGAGATTTATATACACAAAGAACATGAAACAATGGGTGTTACCATACACACTGTAACGAGAGTGATCACTTAAGGTGAACTATTACCAGCAGGAGATTCGGGGGGGAAAGGGGGGGCGGGCAGAGGGGAACCTGAGGGGGAACCTGAGGGCCCCTCAGACAGAGACAAACACCTACAAGATCTCTATCAAGCATTCTTACAACTACAATACCCACCTGCTGAAGTGAAGAAACAGATTGATAGAGCCAGAAGAGTACCCAGAAGTCACCTCCTACAGGACAGGCCCAACAAAGAAAATAACAGAATGCCACTAGCCATTACCTTCAGCCCCCAACTAAAACCTCTCCAAGGCATCATCAAGGATCTACAACCTATCCTGAAGGATGACCCATCACTCTCACAGATCTTGGGAGACAGGCCAGTCCTTGCTTACAGACAGCCCCCCAACCTGAAGCAAATACTCACCAGCAACCACAAACCACACAACAGAACCACTAACCCAGGAACCTATTCTTGCAACAAAGCCCGTTGCCAACTGTGTCCACATATCTATTCAGGGGACACCATCATAGGGCCTAATCACATCAGCCACACTATCAGAGGCTCGTTCACCTGCACATCTACCAATGTGATATATGCCATCATGTGCCAGCAATGCCCCTCTGCCATGTACATTGGTCAAAGTGGACAGTTTCTACGTAAAAGAATAAATGGACACAAATCAGACGTCAAGAATTATAACATTCAAAAACCAGTTGGAGAACACTTCAATCTCTTTGGTCACTCGATTACAGACCTAAAAGTGGCAATTCTTCAACAAAAAAACTTCAAAACCAGACTCCAACAAGAGACTGCTGAATTTGCAAACTGGATATAATTAACGTAGGCTTGAATAGAGACTGGGAGTGGATGGGTCATTACACAAAGTAAAACTATTTCCCCTTGTTTATTTCCCACCCCGCCCCACCCCCCACCGTTCCTCAGACATTCTTGTCAACTGGAAATGGCCCACCTTGATTATCACTACAAAAGGTCTCCCCCCACCCCGCCGGTAATGGCTCACCTTAAGTGATCACTCTCGTTACAGTGTGTATGGTAACACCCATTGTTTCATGTTCTCTATGTATATAAATCTCCCCACTGTATTTCTCACTGAATGCATCTGACGAAGTGAGCTGTAGCTCACGAAAGCTTATGCTCAAATAAATTTGTGTCTCTAAGGTGCCACAAGTACTCCTTTTCTTTTTGCAGATACAGACTAACACGGCTGCTACTTTGAAACCTGAAAGATTACAGTAATTTGTTACAATCCTGATTTTTAAAAAATTAAAATTAAATAAATGCAACAATTGGACTGACTGCTGTACTGTCCATAAATTCTATGAAGTACTAAATTCTGGCAGTACTTTTCAGGTTTATTGTCCTTGCAATTCATCCACAAGAATCACCACTGAAGTCAACTAGTACAAAATTATGGGACTGTGTTTACTGAAATCCCAGACATGTTATGATTACATTAAAGCTTGGCCCAGTGCCTTTTCCGAGGGGTGGAAGGAATTAACTGGTTGAGGTTAATTGCCTAAAAATGAATACTCTCCCAGTTGGTTACTGCTCCACGGGAACTGCCCTGAGCTGGCATTTGCACTGCTTCATTATAAATTTTTAGCTTACATTATTGGTCCGTTGAGAAGAGGTCCTTCCTGGAGCAATAAAAAGACTAAAATCTTCTGAGCTCAACATTCCATGCTGTGCCATTCAAGCTAATCATCACCATAGCACTTGGAATGAGTTACTTCTCCAGGCATGAAACAGGAATCATCCCATAACATTGATTTAAATAGAATGTTAATCTAATTTTATGATGGCAGTAATGACATTAGTCAGTCTGCACTGGTCACTGGACTAACTCGGCAACAGAGACCTCTAAGCAAATTATTAATGCTTAAATAATTCGTTAACAGACAATAATATTTATATAATGACCTGAGTGTGAAACACACAATATACATTAGCTATTTTAAAAATGAATGAAGTCAGACGTACTAGATTTGATTGTTCTTAGAAGCACAATATCATGTCTATTCTATAGCACAGTAACCAGATTTCCTACTGACAGTAACTATTGTAGATTCCAAAGCTACGGCACCATTGGCTAGAGACAAAAAGCATACGGCAAACTTTTAATAGGGCCTGTGCTGTAGTCCAAAGCACACACTCTGACCAAGATTTTCAAAGATGGATGCCTAAAGCTTAGGGTTCTAAATCCATATGTAGGTGCCTATTTACCGATTTAAATTGTTGAGTGCCCAGCAGTTTCCACTCAAATCAGGCAACCAGGAATGAGGCATTCAAAACTTGAGGCCACTTCTGACCAACTTACTTACTGGCAAATCCCTTACTGCAATGTGAATTTCTTAAAATAATTGCAGGATTTTAGGAAGCATACAATACCATACAGCCATGTTTAGGATCAAGACCCCAGTAATTGTCCTCGCAGAGTTCACATTTTGGTCCTTGCGTGTGAGGGGGACAGATGCACTGACCAGAATCCTCATTACAGTTGTTCTGAGTATGAGCACAATCACAAGCTGCAAGAGAAATAGGCCCAAATGATTAGTTTTGCCATTCATTGGGCTCCTCTCACCACAGCTGGGCAACAAGGTGAGTTCCAGCTGCTGTGACTACAGTTATACTCTGCTTGATGCACCATGAATAATACTATTCATAGGAGTGTTGACAGCAGAATAGACTCCATAGCCTTTACTTTTTCAACTCTTTTCCTTCATCTGCTTAAGCACTCAGATACAATGATGAACCCTATAGAATTTCCTATGAATAAATTTTTAAATAATGGGCCAGATTCTCTTCTGTATCAGAGTTCTGCTTGGTGCAGGGAAGGGGAAGAGGGGGTGGAAGGGAAGCATCAGTGAGCCAGTTAGACTGTGGGCAGGTCTGCACCAGTCCTAGGGGCTGTTCTGACTCACATCATGGGCATATGGTCCCTAAAGGACTATATGCTAGTAGACGATTGGTAGAATGGAGTGGTGTGGAACAACTCCCCACGCCCAACGCAACCCCCTGATCTCCAATGCAGAGCAGCTGGCGCTGCCAGCTGTACACCAGTGCAGTGTTCCACTCCACTCAGAGAATTCTCCAGTGGCCTGCTGCTGCTAGATTCTGATCTGTGTGGTGTGGAATGGAAATCAGTATGTGGCCCAGTAAATCTGCCCTAGGTTATTCAAATATTACAGTGATAGGCATCAACAGAAGAACCTGGACTGACAGATAGAAAATTGTAGATTATCAGGAGGTAGGGTAATGTTTGAAAACATACTATAAAAATTGGAGGGACTGTTAGACATGCATAATTTAAGGGACTATAATAATGGGATTTTTTTTTTTTTTCAGAAAAAATTAGTATCAGGATAGGTTACTTGCATATATTAACTATCCTAAATATTATGAAAAATGTAAATTCAAACTACAAAAAATACAGAGTTTAAGAGATCCGTTTGAATGTTTGTGGGTCTTTTAATATACAAAGATTTAAGTCTGGAATTTTCAAAGAGAGTTAGGTCCCTTTGAAAATTCCAGCTTTAATTCCTAAAATATATACAGCTACACTATCTCCTCACATTACATATTACCCACTATTGTATTCTGTGAGACACAATGGTGCTATTTTCAGTCAGATACAAGGAGACTTTCCTTTGGTTATGGTGTATATGAAATGAACTGTCTAGCATACTGGTCTGCAATAGGATTTGCTTACTTTTGGATTAACATTTTATCATCGTACTATGGCTAAAAGTTGTTTTACAACCAGGTGGTGATATTGGAAATATAATGAGTGATGTAGCCTCACAAGTTGTGTAACACATGAAATGCAGAAAAAAATTAGGGAAGAGAAGAAGTGCAAACAACTATATAACATTATTCACTTTTAGCGTTTACATTTTGGGGGCAAAGAGGGAAAAGGGGTTTGTTGCTTTCTGTTTTCTCTGGAGGAGTGGAGACATTTTGGCAAGAGATTGCCGAATAGTTTAAAACTGTACATTTCTCTAGCAATTTTTTTTATTATTATTATTTCTTGATATTTAAAAGTCATCTCTTCTTACAAAGACTCCAAAAAGGTTTTTTTTTAAATCTGTTTAGCAGAAGTATGAGGGGACCATTCCATTGTCAAGGATTTGTGAATATTTCTTAAACTGACCTTTCCTGAAGTGTAACATAAAATACTGTGTTGAAAGAAATCCTCAAAGTGAAACAAACTCTGAGGAGAACACAGATTACTGCTTACGTGTACAGCCACCATCCTGGAATGCATAAAAGCCATGAGCACAGTGATCACACTTCTCCCCAGCCACTCCTGGTACACAGTGACACTGTCCTTCATCATTACAATCCTCGGAGACTGAGCCATATTGACTGCAATTGCAGGGAAGGCAGCCAAGTCCAGTATTCAAGCCATAATAACCATTCTGTTGGACAGGAAGGAAACCACGTTTCAGCTAAATTTCCAAACACACTGAAAATGCAAAAGTATTCTCTCCCTTTGATCACTTCATATTATCCACTCCTGCTGCTTGACCTGCATGAACGTTTGCAGGCTTTGTTTGGCTGCGGGAGGGGGTAGAAGAATCCCCAACATTACTCATTTACTGTTCCTCTGTATGTAGGAATGTTCAATGATCCCACCTCCTTCAGAAGACCCAGAGGAGGGAAAGATTCTTTACCTTACAGGACACAAGGCCTAACATAGTATGCTCAGGGCCAGAAATGCTCTAATATCTTCTAACCTCATCTGTTAAAGAGATATTCCCAAGGTTTTTCAGTGTACAGTTTTGGATTTTTTTTTTTCATTTAAACACTTCCCTGAAGTGGTGAAAGTCCAGTCATAGCACAATTTTGTTAATGCATCAGGACTATACAGTGAAATGGCCCACTCCTGGTTCACTGTCCAAGCTGTAAAAATGCAAACAGTGAATGAACAACATAAAAGGTGACAAGTAAATTAAGATTAAAGTTCTCTCATTAGGTAGGGCTCTCTTAGGTGGAATGCCACAGGATTCTTTGCTGTCACCACTCTTATTCAGTGGGTATGTGAGGCTGTTAGGAGACTTAATAAGAAGAAATGGGCTGAAGTGTTTTTAGTATGTTGACAATGCTCAACTTTATATTTCTATGTCATCCAGCCTAGAGAATGCAGACATCTCTTCCAGCATCACAGCATGAATGAGAGCTAGTTGGCTGAGACAAGGTAGTTGAGGTAATTGCTTTTATTGGACCAATTTCTGTTGCTGGAAGGCACAAGCTTTCAAGTTACACAGAATTCTTCTTCAGGGGTGGGGAAGGAAATCAGAGTGTGTGAGCTAAATACAACACTGTAAACAGCTAGCTGGCTGAAATTCAATTCAACTTTTGTCAAAGACATCACCTTCCCCTTCTGACCTCCTTTATATGCAATGATATTATTCACTTTGCATTTAACTAGGCCAAAAATTTCCTCTTTGCCATTGCATTTTGAACCTGATGTTAAAAAATGTATATTGGTGATAGGGGGTTTCATTTCTTACCACGCATGTATCACATCTTGGTCCAATCACATTTGGTTTGCAGTGACATCGGCCAGTCTCACGATGGCAAATGTTTGAAAGGGAGCTATTCACATGGCACTCACAGACTTATGTTAAAGAAAGAAGAATAAAAGTGTATTAATGCCTATGGATATGAATTCATTATTATACAGAACAACATATCTCTATATAATGGACAAATCCGACTGTTGTCTCCCATGGGTTAATACATTTATGTGCACATGGGTCAAACTAAACAGAAAAAGTTGTGTAGTATTGAGCAGAGATGCACAAAGTAAACCAGAGAGATGTACCCTATTGAAGAACCCAAATACTAGACGTAAAATTACAACTTTGTGCTCATTTACATTTGCTCTCTTCTCCCCACACCAGGAATATATTGTAGGGAACACATAATCCTACATTTGCAAGGGATGGCCTATCAGATCATGTACATTTCAAATTTCTTTGAGTTAAATTCTGCCTTCTATTATACCAGTGTAAATTCAGTTTAACACTGATTTCAGTGAGGTTATTCTGGATTTACACTTGGGTAACCAACAGCAAAATCTGGCTTTATGATTCCCAGTTTACACAGTTGAGTTATGTTGGTGCCTGTATTGAGCTCTGTGAACACAAAGATATATTTGACATGTATGGAATGTATGCAATGAATCTGCATTCATAATCAGAAAGAACATAGACTTTGCACACTTACATGTTGCAAAAAATATTTTTCTGATACTATTTTTTCTTACAGGGTAGGGGCAGTTTATCTCTGCTTGGAAATTTTAGATGTGTGTAACTTGCTTTGTAGTCAGATCTCTTATTACTTTACTGTAGTTTACATACAGTATTCAAGCTATAGTTTTAACATTATTGCTTTGAAAGTGGACATTACTTTTTTAAACACTCCCCCTTGCTGTACACCCACAGCATTCTGGCCAGGTGTCTGTCATGGCCAGCATTCTTGTGACAGAGGAATACCACTGTCCACAAGTGTCTCTTTGATCCAGTCACTGCTGTTGTTAAATCAGCCGGAGCCGTTACTGTTTAGCAACGTGAGTGTCTCCCATCTCTAGGAAAGAAGTATGCCACCTCTACAGCTCTTCCAGTTCCACAAGCAACACACCAAGACAGGAAGTGTCTGGTACGGGTATCTTGAATGTCAGTGCTGAGTGGCCCACTAACTGAATACAAACAACAGCACAAGGTCAGGTGCACCTAATACATTTTGGCACTGCCCATTTCATCAAATTCTTATGTGATGACCCCCAGCAGTGAATCAGCCAGACATGCACAAGCTTAAGTGTAAACTGGGTAACAATGTAACCTCACTGCTGTAATACTTGCTCACTCAAGCCCTCTCTACGCTTTGTTACCCTGACTTGTCAAATCACACATCTTATGCTAGACCATAAGCTCTTCAAAACAGGGATAATGTCTTTCTGTCTGTTCTGTGAGGTGCCTGCTACATTTCTGGATGCTTTCAATTATAACCATAATAGCAAGAACTTACCATGACAGCTTTTAGCAATCACGGCATCCCCATAGTACCCATCAGCACACTTTTCACAGTGATGGCCCTGAGTGTTTCTCACGCATTTCAGACACTCTCCTGTGAGTGCATCACAGTGGCCATCTTCTGTTGGATCTATATTGCCATTGCAGTCACAAGGAACACATGACTCTCCAGGCACCAGTGGATTTCCGTAGTAACCATTAGCACATCTGTACAATAGGTTGAAAGCTGTATCAGACTGAATGCAGGCATGTCAAATAGTTACCCCACCTAGCAAGTTTTACTATTGATCAATATTTATCCAAAGATCCTCTGAATAAAACCAAATGGAGATATAATGAGAGGGGAAAAATCCATATTTTCTCAGGAGTATTCTCATACACTTGATGTAAACACTTCTTCCCCAGATAGATAGATATCTGTCTGAGGATAACAATGATACAGATTTTTCCCAACATTGCAGTACATACCTTTCACACCGTGATCCTGCATAGCCTGGTAGACACTTGTCACAGATAACTTCACCTCTATTGTCCATGTGGCAGGTGGGACTGAAACTATCAAGAATATTTTGAGGGGGGTCATTATCAATGCAAAGAGTTTCAAAACTCTGTAATTTGTTTTCAAATGAATAAGATTTACGATTTTTAGCTTCCTAAAGTCTGGCCCTTTCCTTATTAAACCTATCATGTCCCTTCACCTCACGTAACTTTTCCGATGCAACACTGATTCTCAACACTGATTTTGTCCTGATTCTCATTTATACTAAGGCCTCTTTACTCTGCCAGAATGGAGTAATGTGGCCCAAACGTAAACAAGAACCAGGGCCTTCCTGCCACAATCCAGTATAAATCTAAGCCCGTGTAACTTGCATCTTCTTCCAGTCCCCTCAATGTGTAAATTACACCAACATAGGTTCTCCGAGCTTCACCTATGAATTTGGCCTTCCTCTGTCTGCCTGACACAAGGTATTTCTAATGGGATACATTTTTCCTCTACTTTCATGTCTTTCTTACCTCCCCTTTGGATTTCATCCTCCTTTTCTTTATCCTCCTTTCTGTGTCCACCATCCAGCTGATGTTGCTGAAGATGCAATTGAAAATCTTAGGCAAGCAGCTTACTTGTTTGTATCAGTTCTTAGTGGGCAGGCACATGGCTGGCAGTCCTCTGGCATTCCTCGGGATGGAGTTCCATAGAACCCTGGCAAGCACTGATTACAGGAAAGTCCTGTAGTGTTGTGTTGACAAGCCTGTGAGACATGGAAGAAATCTTTTCATATTTGTTCTTGATGGTTTTTCATCCCCAGAGGGATCTCGGCATAAGTCTTTATGCAACATTGCATTAAGATTCAAGGAGAGGACATGAAGAACAGAGCAGACCATTGAAAACAAAGTTAGTTTGTCCACATCGATAACAACAATTTCTAACTAAACCCCCTCCAACATTTTAGAATGCCCTAGATCTCATTAGACAAAAGCATTACTTATACACAAAACTAAATCTATTCTGATAAATGTATACATGTGCAACAACAAGCCTATTACATATTTCATTCTTGTTTATAGCCATTATATATTTTTTGGTTTAAAATTCGGAAAAACTTCTGAATGCTAAATCCTCCCCCTACAAGGAAATGCTTAACTCCCACTAATGTCACTCAGTGGACTTGCAAATATATCTGAGGGCAGAATCTGCCCTACATTGTGGCATAATTCTATTCCCATTCAGTTCAATAGGAGTTTTACCATTGACATGAATGGGGGAGGGACTGATCTCTTATTAGCTAACACACAGGGGGAAAGGATTTCTTTATCTTAGTTATGATTCTAAAGCTATTACCAGTTCCACCGATATTCTTCATTTCAAGTATAAGACTGGAATGGACTGTGTAACTACACCCATTGAGAGCACCATTCAATAAACAATGAAGTAAATTCTGCAATGAGAATGTTCTTGTGACCATTGCTCTATCTAAATATACTGTAAAACTGCACATTCTGCCATAGCCAAATGCTCTCATAATTCCTAAAAAGATGCTCAAAACACAAACACATTGAAAGATGACTTACAAAGCAAACACCATGAATATCACATTCAGATGCATGGCCATTGCATTCACAGGGTTGACAAATACCTCCAAAGAGTATTCCACCCACACGGTAGTACCCAGAGAGACAGGACTGAAGAAAAAAAAATACAGCATAGTATGTGTTAAAGAACATGTTAGAGAATTATTAAAGAAACCCCTTCTGAAAACATACAGCCTGCTTCTGCTCTCACTTACACTGGAAGTACTGTGGTACTATATACGGTTGTAACTCCACTGATATCACTGATTTGCACTGGTGTAAAGAGGATAAGAATCAGGTCTATAAAACATTGATTCAGCCCTTCATCCACTTGAAGGAGGTAAAATAAGTTCTGTGCAGTTACATATGTAAGACTCTTTCTTATGAGACAATCGAAACAGACGTTCTGTCTGCTTTGCATAGTCATTGAAGTTCCAGTGGTGCTTTTCAAAAAGACCAGTGCTTCGCACTGGCATTACTTGCTAAAAAGTTCCCCTCTGCTCTGCCACTGATGCCATCCTCAATAGTCTCCTGTTCCCAGGCGGTATGTCCATGCCTTCTTATATGATTCATCGCATGCTTGGAATGTTCTCACCATGCCTAGTCACCAAGCTGCCTCCCTCATCACATAATGCTCTCCAATAAACTCAGCGCTGACAATTCAATGTCACAAAATGAAAATGGAATTTTGTATAACTGCAGGCTCAATTACCGCACCATAGCAAACTTAGGGAAGCTTATACAGCTACTTTCAGCTCCATCGTTGATGTTCTCCGGTACATCATTAACCTTTAGTGTTTCCAAATAAAATTAAGGAAATGCATTATGATGCCATATAGTGCCTCTAGACACTAACACTTATGATGTATATAGAGTAGGCTGCTGACCCCATGTGAGAAGTTAAAATACAGTATGTATGTCAAACTGGATATATAACGTTTTGCCAAAAACACATTTTTCCATGACAGTGTAATTAAAGACAATTTGTAATAATTAGATGGTTTTAAAATGTGCACACTTTGGGCACACATAAAACAGTCTGAGATGTTACCTCGCAGGAAATCCCTGTGTAACCTTGAGGACATTCACACTGTTCCACCTCTGCTGCTGATGACAGATCGATAGCATTAGCGTTTGCTGTATCCAGAGTGACAGAGTCCAGCCTGTGACCAAACAGAAAGCCATCACAGCACTTGCTTCCCCAATGTTCATTATAAACAGAAGGGTTTGCTCTGAACAATAAATCTTTTGGAGAGAACATTGCTAAGTGCTGTTTCAGGATGATGTCAAATAAAGACCAGACAAAAATCCCTGTTTTTAAAGACTCAGACAAGAACTTTATTTATAAATCGAATAACTTCAAGATGGGAATAAGAGCTGTTAACTGAAACACAGTGGCCAAAGCCCCCGCAGTGGTCCCATTATCTGTGTTATCCTAGCATTACTACTGCACCTCAGTGCCCTCTGTTGTGGGGAAACGGTATCCTTAACTGAATATTTGCATTTCAGTTTCTTCTTTGCTCAGGAAAACCAGGCACAACTGTTTGGGTAGTCTCAGATTTTTGCCCAGTAATTAAGATAATCCTCTTCCAGTGTTAATAACTTTAACCTGCCCCATTTTTCCAAACTAACCCAGGAATCTGGGATGTAAGGCTAAGATAATGGCTTCATCACAGAGTTGAAACAAAAAAACCCAACATTTGTATGTTCGATCTATTAGACCATGCCTCAAGTATTTACACATCACTAATGTAGTATCAGCCTTGCCCGCTGATTCCCACCAATGTGTAAAGAGGAAGGCACAACCCCCTAATGCAAACAAAGGCATTCTGCCACAGGGAGGCACTCCTTCCCAACCACAAACAGGGTGATCAGAACAACCTTGTGTAGCCAATCCAGAATCATGAGTAGGCCAAGCCTTGAACACATTTACTACCACTCCACAAGAGCGGGTGCCAAAACAGCTTGGCCTGCTTCATGCACAACTAGCAAACCCAAATTTGGTGACTCAAAAATACTACCATATTAAGGTAGGAGGGAGGAAGGCCATTGGCTGGGCCCAGGGAAAGAAGCAAGTGCTACCTTGCAGATGGGTCTCCTTTAACATCCCTTCAGATGCCATGCCATGCCAGCACCTTAAATCAGCCAATGTTGGGCTTGCTTCCTACATCCCAAAATAAAACAACTCTATTGAGTGTTCAGAAGGTGTTTCCTTCTAACAAAACACCCTCCCTCCTAGAGACAAGTGTCACTGCAGTGAGGCTGTAGGCTATTCTTTATAACACTGAAAACGTTTCCACTACAGGATAACTCAGAATCAACTGCATATTTTTTTTTTAAACACATGACAGAAATATTTATTTTGGGATGAGACCAACCATGAGACAATTCAGCTCACAAGGAATTCTTTGGGAGGAAATTAAAATCAGGTTTCAAATGGAATATCTTTTGCCAACACCTTAGGAATAGTGCCAAAGTCAATGATGTTTAATATACCTAAAATTATCAAAGGCATATGAATGAATCTGAATTTTCTCTCTTCACTCACCTGTATATGGCTCTTTTTGCAACGTTGTAATTGGCCCTGATCAGAAGATGAGTCACATTTGCTAAAACAGTCATCAGCCTGTCCCGATCTATAGCCTTTTTTGTATTAAAGTCTATTAAGTTCTCAGACACAAGCTTCACTGTATTAGAGTACTCCTCATAGGGTTGCAATGACAGCCCCTCAGATCTGGTGCTCAAAATCTGTCCATTGCCCTGAAATCAAAACAGATACATTAACGGACAGGGATAGGTTTAAGTTTAGGTGCTAGGGTGTAAGTGTTAGTTAACAATGATGTTTATTTTCAGTCCACACAATAAGCTACTACTTTCCATGCACTCCGAAAAACCCTGTAAAGTAACTGTTTTTTAAACTTTTTCAGTGCTCACTTCACAGGTAAACATATTCATAAACTGCAAGGTCTCTGTAGAGATGCCTGACAGTATGACATGATTAGGGTGACCATATTTCCCTATACTGAACACGGGTCACCTGGTAAAATTATTTGTATTCAAGTGAGTTCAATGGCAATCAAATGGAACTGTGCAGTACAAATGTTCACATTACCATCAAGTTGACTGAAAAGAAATACTGCATAGCTGGATTATTTTTATTTACCTTATCTTTAAGGCTTTAGGGTTCACACAAGGAGAGGTCACACACACACACACACACACCCCTCTCTCACAGGGTGGCAGGGGAGAGAAGCGACCAACCCTCCCTGCCCAGCACTCTCCACCTTCCATGCTGGGACCCCAGGACCGACCTGCCTCTCCTGGTACCTGGCACCATGTCTTCCTGACACAACACGTGTGTGTGTGGGGCGGTGGGTAATGTATGCCCAGATTTCTGCCAGGGTTCACACCAGAATGTGGCCAGCAGCAGCTTTTGGCACTCTACGGGAGGGAAGGAACAGAAGATGCTTCCAGACACAGGGGAGAGGGATGACCTGGCCCATGTCTTTGCTGAGCTCATCTCTTCTTTTTCTCTCCCCCTCCTTCCCCCCACTGGAAGTAGCTTGTCCCTTCCTGCCCACACAGTGTGGAAAGGCAGCTAACACCTCCAGGCTGCTGCTGGCCACTGACATAACCCAGCCGCCTCCTGTCCCCCAGCTACAGCACGGGGAGGAAGGGGTTAAGCTCTAAGGATGCATTGTGCACCAGGGCCCAGGGAACCTGACTGCAGAGGCTTCAGCAAACCAGCCAGGCGAGAGTACCTAGGGGACAGCACAGCCCCATACTCCCTAGGGTCAGGACCCAGGGCTGGGGGGTAAGAGAAGAGGGTGCTAAGCCTCTGCCTGGGGGGCTGCTGTGATGCCGGCAGGGTCGGGGGGTGAACAGGCTGTAAATTGCTTCCCCTCTCCACTCCAGAGCTTAGCTGATGAGCAGAGAGGCTTCCCCATGCCAGCGCTGTGCGGGGGTTTGACACGCACAGGGCTCCACTCCTCCTGGCCAGCGCCCCAGGTCAGAGGGTCTTGGGCTTTTCCAGGGCGTCAGCCCAGCCAGAAGCAGTGGGGAAAGGAAGGAACCTACTGGCCAGGCTGCTGGTGAGCTGAGCACTCTGACCAAGGGCTGGTTCTCCTCACAGCACTGGGAGCAGGATACGCCCCACCCGGGGGGTATGGAGGTGCAGCGGGGTTTGGTGGGGGTGAAGGGGCAAAGCAGGGAGAGGACAGCAAGAGGGGGGGCATGTAAAGGGCCGATGGGTGGGCAGCAAAGGAGACACATAACTGGCCACTGCCTGGTGCCTGTCCACACACACCAGCCACTGCAGCTCGCAGTGCGCAGTCAGCGTTGGCCAGAAGCAGGATGGCAGGCAGGGGCCTGCTGGCTGAGAGACGAAACACAGCAAGAGCTCTGCTGATGGACCAGCAGAGAGAGCGGCCATCCCCATGCACTGCATCTTTGCCCCGCCACCAGCCTTGCACACCAATTTATACCCCATAGTCAGCCACTGGACCCCCCCACTCACTGCTGGAGGGCGGGCGGTTGGCAAACAGGGATCCAGCGAGTAGCAGGACCCGCCAGTACTGATGGGGGAGAGATGAAAATACAGGACAATTTGCCTGTTTTTAAGAAAAAGACAGGACACCTGCAGGAGGGCTTAAATAAGGGACTGGCTCTATAAAAACAGGACGTCTGATCACCCTATGTGACATGATGGGCATGCATCTGTCCACGCACACACTACACTTCGTGCATATAAGCCAGCAAAAAGCCACAGATTTGCCATTCTCAACAATTGACCATGACACATTCAACCCTCTGCAGCAGATCCTGTGGACACTTTTAAAGAAGCTTATTCTAATCTTATCTCAGGTTTTACACAATCAAAAATGTAGCTAAATTGAAATGACTATTGCAATGTGCTTTACATGGAGATACATCTTTAAGCCAGTTACGGTATGTCTATACATAGAGCCCAACACAGATACAAATTTATATCCGTGGATGAGGATATCCCTGACTATAAATCAGTATCCACAACCGCAGGGCTCTCCCAGGAACCGCAGCGGTGAAAGGAGCAGAACATGGGGCTGCTGCTCACAGGAGCCAGTGCCCTGCGCTGGCAGCTTCTCTGGCGCAGCTGTACCATCCCCAGCGCCCCAGCCCTGCCCCTGTCCCTTCCACGCAGCTGCCTGCAACTCCTGTCTTAACACAAGAGTGCAACCAGAGACAGCTGCCAGTGAACGTGGAGCCCGCCCCAGTGGGTGGGGCTGGGGGGTAGTACAGTTCTGCTACTTTTGCTGCTGTGATTCCTGGGAAAGCCCTGCGCTTCTGTGGACACCAATTTATATCCGCAGATATCTGCATCCACAGGTATAAATCTGTATCCACACGGGGCATCTATACAGCAAGCAGCAGACTTGGGCTCACTAGGCTTGTGCTACGGCGCTAAAAATAGATGTGTAGATGTTCAGGCTTGGGCTGGAGCTTGGACTCTGAAGCTCACCCCCTTCGCTAGGCTTCAGAGCCCAAGCCTGAACATCTACTCTGTTATTTTTAACATAGAAGTGCGACTGTAGACCCAGGCTCTAAGGCTCACTGCCACGGGCTTCTCCTTGCTGTGTAGATGTTCACTTAGAGACTGCAGCTCACTTACTGAGTGGAGCACTTCGCTGCAAACATTTATCACCAGTGGCTCAAGAACTCAACTGGCTACCTACTAGTTTCTGGGGTAGAGTTTAAAGTGTTGATTATGACCTAGAAAGCTTTACATGGACTGGGACTTGCCTGAAAGACTGCTTTACTTCCCACAATATAAATCCACAACTGAGAACAACTGAGGTGCTTCAGCTGGATATCTTATATTGTAAAGGAGATGGAGCTGCTCACAGGGCATTCTCTATAAGGACTTTAGAGCTCTGGAACTTGCTCCTCTCCTTCATTCAAAATAACCCAAATTTGGTGAACTTCCAAGCAGGCTTGGAAGAGCCATCAGCTTGATAGGGTTTTTGGAAAGAGCTGAAGGTATGTTTCAAGAATGATGGGGGATGGAAAGCACAATTTATTTTAGCACTGCTGAGTAGAGCTGGTTGGAAAAATTCCAATGAACCATTTTTTCCATAAGAATTTGCTGATTTGTCAAAATCAAAGAGTTTCATGCAGATGCCTGGATTTCAGTGAAGTTCTGACAGAACCTGTGCAGGAAGCCGATGGAACACTGTCTATCAGGTTTCCTTGGCTGCCTACCTTGAGGGCTGATGGACAGCCAAGAGCCTGGAAGCCCTGCGAGTCCCAGCTGCCGGACTTGTGGCTCCTTGGCAGCCTGGACTCCCAAGGTCCACATGGACTGCCTTGGAGTCAGGGTTGTCAGGGCTTCCAGCACCATGTGGACTGTCTCATAGCTGGAGTGCCATTCCCTTTCAGACAATTTAGAACTGTTTGGTTTCCATTCTGAATCAGAACGAAACCAAAATTTAAATATCAAAATCCTCTGCAAAACGGAATTAACTTTCCCTGCCCAGCTCCACTGCATTATGCTCTAAGATTCAGTGTGTGAGTGCCTAGAGATCTTGTGTAGGCATCTTGTTAATTATTACATAAATCTAAACCAATAAACAAATAAATCTCTTTTACAAATAAGAAAACAACCTATTTTAATTCCTGGTGTAAACAGAGCTCTGTACATGTAGTAATCACCACTTTTGCTCAGCTCCATATATTTTATGTTAACATGTACTTATTTAAAGGTAGTCAGAGACTGAGTGCCCAGGATTAAAAATAAATGATTGGAAAGATTAGGAAGTTGAGCAATAACATTTTGTTGACCTTTAATAATTAAGCTAAAAACTGGTGTAAACATTATTTTCTTTTTTTTAATCTAGCATTGCATACCATCATTCCTCTATATTTTTGGGGAAAGCCCAGTTAAATAAAAAACTTACCGCAATGATAACATCCACATTAGATACCATATCACTGTCCACACTTTCCATTGGAATATCATAAGACACAGTGTACTTCAAGTACCCACCAAAGGCAGTGAGCTGAAATTATAAAATCCAAATCTTAAAAGAAAATTAACAGCAATCAATGTGGGAGGATAGCTGCTGACAAGCACAACACACATGCAGCAAACTAAACAGAGGATATGGCATGTTCTTTTGATCACTTCAGCAGTGTTTACACAGTAAGGGTTTGATCCCCATCTCACAACAGTGAAAGTCACTGGAAGTGTAACGTGGCATGTCCCCATATCTACAGAAGTCTTGGATCCCTGCTGTGCAATTTGTGAAAGCTAGCAGCAGGTTCTATAGAACTGCAGTGATGCATTAAACAGTGCATTGTAAAGCCTCCAGTATGAATTCCAAAAAACATCACAAGTTCAGACTACTTTTTAGCAAATGGGCACAGTGTACTGAAGTTATTCAAACTTTTTGAAACATTCTCTCTGATAGATCTTCAGCATTCCTATTTCTTTTTTAAACAACATTTGGACCTTTTAGCCCTGATTCTGCTGTCACATACACCAGTAGAAACGGAGAATAGCCCCACTGAAGTAAATGGAGTTTCATCAGTAGAAGACTGGTGTGAGACCAGAATTTCACCAACCATTGAATTAGACAAAATGTATCTTCCAGCTAGGCACTTTTGGGTCATTATGCACAGGCACTGTGTAGTATAGCCATTTATTTCATCGCTGTATGAAGAACGTAATAAGGTCGAGGCACAGAAAACCATTGTTTTAATATGGATGACTGGGTGTACTTGCCATAGTTTAATAAAATAAAACATCAAATAGATGTATGTGTCTGGTTTAATTACTTAAAAAGATATATTGTCAGAGGTTTTTTTATTTTGGTTTTTTAATAATTTATAAAAATTCCAGTTTCTGACAGAGACACTTTCAAATAGTATGTCCATAATTTGTTTCCAATTCCATTTTTTAAATATTAGTAAGGTGTTTTTTTCTGTTATTTTGTTTTTAGGTATAAAAGTGTCTTTTCAGCAACAGAGAAACTGCCTATACACAGGAAACAAGGAAACTGCCTACACACAAAATGCAGTCAAAACAGTGGGGTTTTGTTGGTTTTTCGTTTCCTCTTTCTTTAGCTTTCTTTTTCTTTGTTTCCCCATCACTGATTTATTTCAGTTTTAGAAATCTTATGTTGTTATTACAGGTGGGACTGATAGCAACATCTGTTATAAAGGTTGCCTGACACTTCCCATTATAAGACTCTGTTTTTAGTTGCTGATAATTTTGCCAAACTTTATCTGTTTAGGCAGAAATTTTACATGTTAGACATCTGCATCAGGTTGCCTTTTTTTTATTTCAGTCAAAACAGTTCAGCTGTTTCCAAGAATGAGGCTAGGGAAAAATATGCCATTTTGCCTACATCAGTTCTGGAGTCCTTTCATTTGAGGAGCTATAACATCCCCATGCACTGGAGCTGGGACTTGATATTTATCATGAAAATTACAATTTTGGTCTCAATATCTTATACCTACTCCAGTTATAAATTACCCACACAAAAAATTAGATAAAAAGTACATATTATTAAGGTTGCAAAGTCAAACACTCAAAAGTTAGGAAATGCCAGGATCAAGGTTCCCTGTGCAAACTTAATTTGGCCCCTTGTGTGTATGCAATTTTTAATTCCTATTGTCTTCACAAGACCTCTTGCATGAGTGCTTGACTTTGCAACCTTAATAACATTCTTTTAATATATTTTTGTTTGTGATTGCTTAGGTTTTTAAAAAGCAAACTGAAAAAACAGAAATTTCATCATGTGGAACCAAAATGATATTCATGATTAGGTTTGGCAAAATGTGTGTGTGTATATATATACATACATACATAATTTTGACTGATAATATTGATGTTTCTTTTTAAGCATTTTTTATTTTTATAGATTTAAATTTTCACAGTTGGGTAATTGGGGGGGTCAGAGACAGTAATTATTTAATGATGGCAACAATGAGATTTTAAAAGTTAAAGCTTTATGATCATTAAAACACAAATTGTCAACATCACATGTCAAAATACACAAAGTAAAAAAATCTTAAATCAAACTATAATCAGCTCTCAAGCAGTATTTTGCTTACTGAGCCTATATGTAAATTTTGATTATTATCAATGGAAATTTTTTTCATTGGTGTGCGTGTGTACGCGCGCGCAGTAAATCAGCATTTACAGATAAAAATGTCATACTTCCAAATGTACACGATTCATCGGCAGGAACCTGTAGATCCACTTCACTGACCTCTAACATGTAATTTTCAATTGTTTTACATTACATGACAAAGTCTCTTTGGGAGAGGGAAGGTGGGTGAGGTAATATCTTTTACTGGACCAATTTCTGTAGGTGAAAGAGATAAGCTTTCATGCTACACAGAGCTCTTCTCCTTCACCAACAAAGGTTAATCTAATGAAAGATGTTGTTACCTCACCCACCTTGTCTTTCTCATAACCTGGGACCATGACGGCTGCAACAACACTGCAAACAAAGTGTCTGTAGAACAATTACAGATTGCATGAAATGACAAACTACAGGTGACAATGTTTATTAAACAAACATTACAATTGAAAAATAATAATGTTCCATATTAAAAAATAATGGAGAAACTAAAAAAAAGTTGTTGAACATATTTAGGTGAATTTACTGTGTATTCAGTGTTCATTAAAGGTGAAAACTTTCTTTTCAGTATTGATAGTTTACAACTACTGTTAATGAGCAACACAGAGCTTTTTAGAGCAATACGGCAAGAAAAAAAATATGAAGAGTCTGGACTAGAAGTCAGCTTCTTTTTACTTGGGAACTTACTTTATTTCCTAAGTATGGCTCAGGTGCTGACCAGTAATAAGTGGATTTCAGTATTTTCACAGCTGCCGTGTTGTTGACACTTATTTGATGGGGTCCAGCAAACTGGCCTTGTTGGGGCTCCAACCTCTTTTCAGTGTACAGATCAGTCACCAGCCACCCAGCCATATCTGACACCTTAGAAAAAGAAGAAAGCTAAATTAATGAAGTCAGACCTACATCACTGGGTAAGTCATCACTATATGTAAAACTTCACTTGTGACAGTAATACAAATATGAAGGGCCTGATTCTGCTCTTAGCTAAAGGGGTTTCTAGCCAGTGTTAAGCCGCAGACTTCATTTGGATTGGGACAGAATTACATCAGCGTAACTGAGTGCAGAAGCAAGTTCACTGTATTAAGAGTATAAACTGAATGAACAAATGATAATACTTTTCACTGATGTAGCACCTTGCATTCAAAGATCTCATTAACACTTGACAAGTACTGCACCCACAGTTAAATACAGGTCCATTTCCCCCATTTTACAAACAGATAGCTGAGGTACCAAAAGCTACTTGCCCAAGGACACAGAGGAAGAGTCAGGAATAGGAACCAGTTCTACTGAGGGGAAGAGTTATACACACACATTAGAATTTCGGTCAGTAGAAAGACAGAGAGATGTGGAGAGAGTTAAAAAGAATATGATGTATTTTCTTCTACTGTTTTTTTAGTACACAAAACTTTTGGTGCTAGATTTTGACTAATCCTGCAAACTACGCAAGGGATGAAGGTGGGGAAAAGAGTGCCCAAGGAAGTTGTTCCTCTCGTTGCACTTCTGCACGGGAGCTAGTGGCATTTATAGTCCTTTTATTCCCTTAGCAAAAAGACTGCATGAGACTGACATCTGCAGTTGCAGTAGGCTCCAATCAGCAGGAGCGTCAGGGCATGGTTTTGGCTCCCCTCTTCACCGCCCGGACAAGCTCTTCCACTGCAAGGAGAGGGAACACTGCTCTCTTTCAAAGGGTGTAGCAGGCTCTACAATAGCCAGTAGTTCCAAAAGCACTGGGATTGAGTAGGGTATAATGACTCCAGCAGCTCCAATGGGGGCTGGGCTTCTTTATAGTCAGCAGGCCTCAGGATTGTGATTTTACAGCCACAGTCCAGTCCTCTGTGTGGATTCCAGAATTTTCAGTGAGATGGGCTGTATGTTAAGAGGAAATCAGAAACACATTTCTGCAACTGCCTGAGGGAATCTTATGGAACATTAGGTCACAGCCATAGTATTCTACCTGACTGATGGGCCATGCAAGGCTGTCACAGACATCAGAAACCCCAAAGCAGAAGCACTCCGTACAGCCCTGAGGATTCCTTTCTTGCAAATTGTAGAATCCTGGTTTGCAGCGGTCACAGTTTTCGCCGTCTACATTTTCCTGTGAATAACATTTGTTTTATATCAGCACTACATTGGTAGTAAATATTGTAGATTAGATGGAATTTAGGTATAACAGCATTCAGGAAGATATAAAACAAAGCAGACTTCAGCACACTAGGCATATGTTGAATAAGTCTCACTGAGCTTAAAACGAGAGCTGGTCAGAAAAATTCCAACAAAACACTGTTTTGCTGGAATTTCCTGATTTATCTAAATCAAAACATTCCACACAGATGATTCAATTTCAGCTAAGTTGCGAGAGAACCCAGACAGGTTTTGAAATCTCCCCACCAGCTCACCCATCTGGCTCCTTGGAAGTCCAGGTTTCCAGGGTTTGAGCCTCCAGGCAGCCCACCAGGTAGACTGCCCTTGAGTCGGGAACCCCAGGGCTTTCAGGAGCCATGGTTCCAGGAAAGCACACCGCATGGACTGCCCCAGAGCCAGGATCCATCCCACCATTGCCAAATTTCATGTGCTAAATAAACATCCCGACTTTCACAATAAGTCAAAAATCAAGCTAATCACATTTCAAAACAAGGCCAAAACAAGCCAATCCCTCAGAACCTCAACACTCTATGTGACTAGATCCCCCCGCCCTCCCCGGCATGCAGTCTGTGACTGTGGTAGGCCCGCTGTGCAACCCTGACTCTCTCCAGCCCTTGCCCCTGCTTGCCCCCTGCCCCTGCTTGCCAGGAGCCTATCAAAAAAAAAAGAAGCAACAAGCTACACGCCAACCAAGCAACAAGCTACCAGCCAAAAACTAGCCAATAAGCAATTCACAAGCCGATTAAGCCAAAACAAGCCCAATTTCTGCGTCTTTTCCGCTGGTTTGGAATGTCTGCTTCATCCTCTTTTTTACAGAATTTTAGACATTTCGGTTTACATTCTGAATCAGAATGAAACCAAATTTTAGACGAAATAGAGTATCTCTGTCCAGTTCTACTTAAAACATCTGGAGCAGTCGGGATTTGAAATAATCAGCATAGAATTCATTCGGTATTCAGTCAGGAAATGCAGTGTAATTGAATTTTGGCATTACTGATGTAGGAAAAGAAAACATCTGCTCCTACATAAAACATTGTACCCTAATGACAAGGTGTCATGCTAGGACTCTCTCATTAATGAATCAAACTATCAGTAGCCCATCACATAAACTCCCAGTTTTGAGGTTGACTTTTTGCAGATTTAACTGCTGTCATTGAAGTGAAAACTTCTGAGAATGGCAACTTATATGTATGGTATGAGAATGAGCATCTCACACCTGCAGCACAGGATTTGGGGCCTGATCCAGAGCCCAGTGAAGTCAATGGAAAGACTCCCACAGACGTCAGTGGGCTTTGGATAAGGCCCAAAGATTTACAAAGTCGGACCATACTATGCACAAGCTATAAAAAGGTTGTGATTTTGGGCCACAGTAGAAAAAGCCAGTTTAAAACAAGAACTTTTTCAGTACCATAGCAACAGCACTGAACCTTATAAGACATCTGGGGTATTGCACTGATAATTGCAAGTGTTGACACATTGGGCCGGGTACTCAGCTGCCTAAAGAAATCCTTGGGTACAGTGTTCCCTCTAATTTTTCCCACAAATGTGCGGAATGACACATCACCTCCATATTGGTTCACATAAAATTCATGTGGCGGGGTGAGCCGAGGAGTTTGGAGTGCGGGAGGGGGCTCAGGGATGGAACAGAGGGTTGGGATGCGGGGGGGAGTGGAGGGGGTGAGGGCTCCAGCTGGGGGTGAGGGCTCAGGGCTGGGGCCAGGGATGAGGGATTTGGGGTGAAGGTTGCCCCAGGGCTACAACCAGGAGAGAGGACTCTCCCCAGCTCTCTCTCCCCACAGCAGCACCTGGGCTAGGGGGGAGAGGAGCCACTCCCTGCCGCGGCAGATCCAGGGCTGGGGCTTCAGGATAGGCACCTCTCCCCTGGCAGGTCCGGGCCAGGGCTGGGCTGGGGCCAGGGCGCCTCTCCCCCGGCCACAGCAAGTCCTGGGCTGGGGGAGAGGCATCTCTCCTGCTGCAGCCTTAAGCAGCGCTTAATAGGCTGCTACGCAGCCACGCAGCTTAGAGGGAACTTAGCTTGAGCGGTGTAGAGCTGCCAGAGTTGCTTATACATAAGCTCTCCTCACAGCATAGGTGGTGCAGCTATGGCAAAAGGTCTATTTGTCAGGGCACCCCTATATCTCAATGATCCCCAGGCACCGGAACTGCCCTTTGGAGAATCATTTAAATATCTGCATTGATATGTTGGCAGTTAGCATAAAGTAGAGCAGCCCTGAGACTGATTGATTACACCATTGATTATCCCAGCAGTCACACCACTCCAGGACCCAGGTAGCATACAGCTGCCTTACAGCTACCTTAGCACACCACTTTCTCAACATGCAGCACATGTAGTTTAGTCAAAGCTCAAGAACTGGATCTGGGCTTTTATTTCTACTGTTTGCACAGACTTGTCATATGAAAAAGTCATTTTTATACATCCTACTGATGGAAACATGCTTCCAATAGTGAAAATATGGAAGATTCCTGTTCGCATTCTTCTCCCTTCACTCCCTACTATTTGTCAAGGAAGACGACTGCAGTAAATCCAGTTTGATATGCATGAGGTGTCATGTACACAGATACTGGTATACTGTAAACTAGGATATAGCTTTGAAAGTGAAGTCCTACTTGATTTTATATTAAATATTTTTATTTTAATTCCTTAATGTATTCCTATTGTATTTGTGGAACAGAGGACCCATTTTCTTCCCTTCAACTAAATTCCTATAGACCCTAAAAAAACACTGCTGAGCAATTTATTCACCATAGACAGACAATTTTTGTTGAAGAAACAAATAAAGAGTATTAAGTAACTCTGCCCTCAGATACGCTAGTTAAATCCAGATTAACTCCATTTCTGTCAGTGGAGTCACTCCTGATTCCAGAATTACCATGGTATAACTGAGAACAGAATATGACCCTTTGTAGTCGGTATTTAGTCACTCACAACCCTCAGCAAAATGCCTGAGCCTCCTGTTGGCCAGATCACCACCTGTAAATTCCCATGGATATGAATTAGTTGTGTGAAGTTTTCATAACAAACATTCTAAAAAGGCATGCTGCATGCTTTTGTTACTAACCTATGCCACTGCTGAGTTTTGCAAACCTTAGGAAAACCCAGGGTGATTTTCAGGCCATTACTTTGATCCAAATGTGCAACTACCTTCTTACTGTCTGTAAAATTGCCAAACCCAAGTGCTGAAAAATCATGAGACTGGCTTCAAAATCATGATTTTTTTTGTACAAAATAATAAATTCTGGTTTTTACATTGGGTTTCCATCTGGTTTCTGAGTCTTTTGGGTACATTTGGGTCACATTTTCAAGTTTTTCTCTATAAGCACGAGGGCTAGACATTTTGTTTTTTAAAATGAAAGCTGTGATACTTATCTATTTACATGACTCCAAGAGCTGGGCTGTCAAGAAAAATACAAAATATCACAAAGCTCCTGCTAAAACTGGAGGAGTTTGTCAATACTGTGTTTTCAGTCTCCGGGGAGTTAGAATGCAGTGGCCCTCCTCATCTCTACTTGTTTTCTGGGGCAGAAAACTCGTTCCTCTCACCCAGTTCTGGACCCCTGCTACTCCCAGTGCCCCTTGGCTAGTTGTCTGCTGCTCTCAGTGATCTAACTTTCCGAAGGCCACATGTTAAGTCCATTCCACCAATGCACAGAAAACACACCTGATTCTTGTCCAAATTTGAACCAGCTGACTTCATTGACTACATATGTTTTACTTCTGATTTATACCAGAGTAAAGCAGCCATTAGTGTTTCTTGTTTAACTTGGCCACTAAAGCTGCTTCCTATTTGCAATCTGACTTTCTGTTTGTTCATGTGTTCAATGTTTTAGATCAGATAAATTATGCAAGAGGTCAGAGCAGCTTTACAAAAATTGTCATGTCAACCACTGTTTTGTTGTTTGCTTGTTTTTTGGCTAGTGTCATACCTGGCCAAAAGAAACAATTTGCTACCTTTGCTTGCTGAAAATTAAGTGTAACGTCTTCAAATATAAAAACTTTCACATCAAAGTTCTGCAGAAACCACATGTGCATGAAACTTAATGGGAAGTTACATTCACTGATATTACAAATTTGCATTTGCCCAAGAAAATAGTCTGCAAACCAGGTCTCTAATTTTTAAACATCATTTTACAGTTTATGTTTTGTAATTAAATAATTAAAATAAAATTAGTTTTTAGGTATAGGTCTCAATTTAATTTTTCAGAACTATTACAACTTTTTTTCAAATATATAGAAATACATAGTATAAATTAAATGTTTTCAATATATCCTTTAACTGCTCAATAAGAATGATAGGTTTCAGAGTAGCAGCCGTGTTAGTCTATATCCACAAAAGGAAAAGGAGGACTTGTGGCACCTTAGAGACTAACAAATTTATTTGAGCATAAGCTTTCGTGAGCTACAGCATCCAATGAAGTGAGCTGTAGCCCATGAAAGCCTACGCTCAAATAAATTTGTTAGTCTCTAAAGTGCTACAAGTCCTCCTTTTCTTTTTAATAAGAATGATGTACTTTAAAGACCACCACCAACCTATCCACAAAACACACACACGTTGTTCTTATGCAGTCTGGCATTTGCTTTTATATGGAACTTTCTATCTGGAATATACAGAGGCATGCTACACAGCTTATCACAGCTTCTCTATGATAACAGAAATATGCTGCTAATTCTCATTCGAATCTCTGTCAGAAGGACAATGTTTAAATCGCAGTTACTTGCTATGAAAGTATGACATAATATACGACAAAAGTATGAAGTAATTTCCTTTATTAAAACTGCACTTACAAACCCAGCTACCGATTTCACAGTAAATCAAAGTGAGACTCAGCAGGTCACTTACCTTGCAAAGACAAGGTTCTGTGCAAGGGTCATCGCTAATGCTTCCAACCAGGCTGCAGTTACAGTGCACACAGCTTGGGTAGCCCTTGTAGCCAAATGCACAGCGATCACATTTTTCTCCTGTGTAACCTTCTTTGCATTGACACTGACCTGGCTGAGTCCCTTGAAATATAAAAATGATAATGAAAAAAAAAATGAAGGGTTAATAGAAAACTGGGGGTGAAATATGGAATAGTGGGAGAAGCAATGTAACTGTCTCTTTTATCAAGCTATACAGCTCTAGTCACATTTTGCACAGATAGCCGGGATATTACCAACCCCGTACATATTTTTTTCGTGTTAGAGTACTAGACCCACAGAACCTCTGCCAGGAAAAAAATCCACTGTATCAATTCACTGTTTGAACTAATATATGTAACAGTATTAGGCTCCAATCCTGTAACTTGTTATTAATGAGCAGAGGCCTCTACCCATGCACAAGAAGTTGCAGGATCAAGGCATCTTATACTCCTGTAGCATGTTTTATTTCCTGTCTTCCCTCCCTTTTTGGGTATTTACTGGCATTTTAATGTGATACCTTAACAGCACAATGTTTCCTCACCCTTGGGCACCTGAAGTTTACAGAAAAAGCATTTCATTGTCCCTTACCATGCTGAAGATCAGAATGATCATCATCCTTAATGCAGTCAGAACTCAGAGACCCAAATGGGTCACAGTCACAAGGATGGCAAGGGTTATCTTCATAGGGAGAAATCTGAAACAAATGGTACATTTTAACTGTCATATTTGTAAACTAATTAGTGGAAATAGTAAACATTCATCACTGTTTCTTGCCACTGAAACTAAACTAAAGCTTCGTATAACAATGAGATTTTCTCTTTAATGGAGGTTAAATTTCTCTTTGAGAGCCATCCCCTTGCTTCAAGGTGGCTCAGGGCCAGACTAAGGCAATCTGGAACCATAAGCACACAAGTCATTTACTGCCTAAGAATCAGACTTAAGCCGGTATCTCTTCAATGCTCTTTAGAATAAGGAAGCAGGGGTACATGCAACATGAGACTTACTTCTCTCTGTGAAGGACTGTGCCTACTACCTAACTATACTTGAACTATACATGGCCTCCACTCACACCTGTGCTTGAGAACATAGACCTGAGCTCCCTAATGTGCCCCGTGGATGAACTTGCTGAATCAATGCCTTATCTGGAAAACAGAAAGTTCCATACTGAGGAGAGTAAATGTCCTTGCTACAGGAGGTTACTCACTTGGCCACAGTACGTCCAGATGTAAGGAAACCTACCTAGATTGCTGGAAGTAAAACGAAATTAATTTTCTAGTGATGTTTATCCTTTTTAGCCAGATTGTAACAAATGTATCTATGTATCTGATGAATGAGGGCAGGGACAGAATTTCTACTTTAATACAACTGAACTGGAAAGTCACTATAAGGTATAAGATGTAGATGGGCCCAAAAAGAGCATATGCTATACATACTTACTAAATGAAATATTGAGAAGAATACTGTTTATTGCAATAGCTCATCACTTCTACAAGAATCACATATGACTATAAGAGTTATCTTTAATTACAAAGGAATTGGGACTGTCCTTTCAACATGCTAGAGAATCAGCCTAAATTTACTCGGAAACTGCAAGACTGGTATCTGAGCTACGAAGAAGACTTTACAATTTTTAGTCACACTCTAAGTGTGGAAATTAAATTTAATAACATTCAATGGATTGAAATACGCATATGACGACATTTATTATTAATCAAAGCAATCAGCTGTAGTTTGAGAAATCTTACTTTATATGGCCGATAGTATCCATCAGCACAGATTTCACAGTTGATTCCAGTAGTGTGTTGAGTACAGTTTATACAGACTCCACCTCCTATGAACTGTCCATGAATATTTATGCTCCTATTCTGATCTGCCACACCCTGGTTATAATAACAATCTTCTGCCTTGTTATGACAGTTGCACTCTAAAAAGAAATCGCAAAGAAATACATTTTATTTACATTTTCTAACAGTTACAGCATATCCAAAATAAAAAGAGTAAAAAATACAAGTAGAACAGTAAAGCAATCCATGTCAGATGCTTTGCTTTGGCTGTGCTGTACAAAAACAGTAATACCCATTTATCTCATTCCTGGCCAGGTAACTTTTAAAACAATCACAGTGTTAGCAACATTTTTTTTTAAATGGTGTTCTGTAGCTCACGTTAACCCAACCTTATCGCCCCTTAGTGACTTGTGTAATTACTAGTAAGCGTTCTTACATCTTTAGCATTCTACTTTACTGAAGACTATCAGCTTAATTCCTCTCCTCACTTATACCAGTGACTAATGCCACTGAAGTCACTAGAGCTACACCAGTGTAAAACATATTTAAGTGAGAGGAGACTTGGGCCTGTATACTAATAAAATATTCTACATCTCTAAATGCAGTTAGTCTCTAAAGGTTCTACTAGCCGGGCTGCTTCAACTGGAAAATGAACTATGCCAAATAGGCTCCTAAATGTCTGTGGCTTGCTCCAGGCATTAAAGATGTGAAGTAAGAAAATGTGGCTAACAAATCTTAGCAATGTGTGCCAATAGGCAACTATTGGGAGAGCCTATGCCATTTTATCAGACATTCAGCATAGTTTGCAATTTATTGGCCATTTAGATTGCTTTTTCAGAGTCTTCATGTTGTAAGAATGACTATGTTTAACTAAGACTGAATTAGGAATTTAACGATATTTAAGCAACAAGCAGCAGCCATAATTACCAATGTGAAAGTGTTAAATTTCATTGTAGCACAGTCAAACACTAAGTCTCTTCTGTCTGATCATCTACGAATGTCATTTCCGCAGCCTCAACATTATTATTGATCTATCGTATCTAATAAAATATTATTATTTCAAAGGAAATCCAAATTATTATCATCTTATGATTTTTGACCATACCTTCCACTTCTAGTGTGTGGTTTGTTTGTTTTTTCACTTTAAGAAAACGACTATTTCTAGTACCTGATCTAGTCATTCCATTGATTTCAGTGGGAACTGGATTAGGTCCTTATTGAACAAAACTGTCAACATTTACGGACCCATTAAGCACCCCAACTTTTGTAACTACTTACTCTCACATTTGTTGCCAGCAGAAATAGTTCCTGGTCTCCATTGATTTTGATGGTAACCAGGGCAACACTCATTACAGCTCTCTCCGCATGTATTATGTTCACACTGGCATTGCAGTTTCTAAAAAAGAAATTGTAGAAATTAAAAAAATAGGCCATTTACCAAGGTCCTGAAAACTCAACCAAGTGACTAATATCAAATCTACTCTACCACAGAATTTTAAATACCACAACTGTTTTGCAATTTTATAGACGTGCTAGAACCCAGTTCTGCTACCTTTATTGATGTGAGAGGCCCTTCCTCAGGTATGTATCTTATTGGAGCAAGTCCTATCACTCTGCCATGTGAGAGCTGCAGGATCATGTCTTTAGTGCCTTTGCTACACTCAAAAGCATTGTTTAAATTTAGGCTCTAGGACAAAAAGAGTTCACTTCCAAACAAAGTGCATTACCTGAGAACAGTAGGTTTAGATAGTGAAGGGAAGAAAATTACAGCACGGAGACAGAATGAAGAATAAAAGCACATATTATAGGCCTGAATTTACAGCCCTTTACTCAGAGGAGTAGTTCTACAGAGTTCAGCATGAGTAAAGATTGCAAAACTTGGCCTGTAGCATATATATATATATATAGCTTCACTCAAAGGAACCTTAAGATTAAATATGAAGTAATATTATCAGTGAACATTTTCTCTTCCATATATGTGATTATCCAGCTGTATCAAAAAGTGAGCGGAAGAAGAGGACAAAAGGGAAAACATCTATATCTGCACTTATAGTATTAACACCAATTCAAATTTTCTGTAGAAAATATGAAACAAGAGAACTGTGCTGGAGGGTAATTCTGCCCCTCATTTGTTCAAAAGTTATTAACTGGAGTGTCCTTCCCCATATGTACCTGAGGCTGGATTCTGTAAGTGTTCCTTTCATTGAACTCCCACTGAAGTCAATGAGAGTTCCACCCACAAAGTATTTAAAGGATCAAACATTAAGGGTTCAATCCTGCAAAGATTTAACCTGCGTAATTTTACTCATGTGGGTATTCCCATCAAAATCATGAGACTACGTACATGTGTAAAGTGCATAAGTATTTGCAGGATCAAGCTTTTAGGCCTCATTTCTGCAAGGTACTTAAGTGTGTGCCTAACTTTAATCAGACTATTACTCCCATTGATGTCAATCGGACAATTCACGGCTTTAAGTGAGGGCATGCTTAAAGTTAGGAACCTGCTTTAAATACCTGCTGAATCGAGGCCAGAATTTATATATGTTCCTTTCGATTTTCCCCACAATATCTTTCTCTCTCTCTCTCTGTGCAAAGAACTAAACTTTTTATTCAAAAGACTGTTTTGTGAAAATAAAAATAACTAAAGCATACCTTTGTGGTTTCATCCAGTGGGCAGCTTCGAGCATGGCCATAGCAAATACACATGCCACCAACAGAGATATCCTTTATTGAATAGTAATACTGGACAAAAGTAAGTTTGAAAAGGAAGTGAGTTGGAAACATTTCAGGTTTCTCTTAAATTCTAAAGGACAATAAAATATCAATATTGTATTGATCTGAGAACAGACATGTTCCAAACAATTTGACATTGGATATCTGAAACCTGGGCAAGCTTGCCATTTTGCAAATTTTTAGATCTTTTTCCCTGTAGTCTTTATTAAATTAAGAGACAAATTCTAATTATGGATAAGCATGCACAACTCCTTGATTTCAATGGTTATTTGCACTTGTGCCTTAGCCAGAATATGACTTCAAAAATCCACTTTTGCCATGCGGGATGTCAGATGACCTAACAGAATGTTTTCTGGGTAGCAACATAACAACCTGTAGACTTGAATTTTAATTTAATTTAAATCCTGGCATTGTATGTTCTCAAAACTGGGGATTCCCAACTTTCATTCAAAACCTGCTCATGAACTTCCCTCACACAAGCTCTGAGCTGCTAGTTTTGATGTACTGTATTGCTCTGCTCAAATGTTTAGCTTAAGGAACAGTAGGACAGCGAAGTACCAGATGCTGTGTGTGATGATGTGTATAAGCCCCATGTATCTGGACAGCAGGGAAGGAATTAATTTTCAGAACAAGAAAGAGGCAGGATATGATGCAGCTGGATTCAATTACAGCTTCAGTGTAAGCACGTTTGGCAGGCACTTCACAGGGATTGTGAATAAGGTCTTTCCAAGAGTTCTGGGGAAAGGGTTCAAGACACTCAAGTCTAAGGCCCCTAGAGGCTGCTGGGACAGATGCAGTAGGTGCTCTGTGTGTACAGACCAGTTTACTGACAGGTTTTTTTGATTCTCTGAAAGGAGCTGGAGCAAGCTAGCTCCTTTTCTTCTTTCTTTCTTTGGTCTGATCTGCAGAAAGGCCTCAGTGACTTCAGTTGAACAGAGACTCCTTACACTATAAGGGGACAGTATACCTCTATAGTGTATTGCCTAAATACCAACGCTAGGAGCCTGGGTAATAAACAAGAGGAATTGGAATTGCTCATTTATTATCTTAAATTCGATCTAATCGGTATTACTGAAATCTGGTGAGATGATTCACACAATTGGTATGTTAAAATCAATGGTTGTAACTGTTTAGGGAGTATTGAGTGAGCAAAAGGCGGGGGCTTTTAGTCAAAAATAGCATTACCTGTTTCTGAGTCACTGATCACTCAAAAAAAATAATGTTGAATGAGTATGGATCAATATCTTAACAGCTAAAGCGCAAGGATATTAGGTGGTATCTGCTAAAGACCACCAAATCATACTTGGGAACGGGATGACTGCTCCTTATGCGCCTATTTATAATGTGTAGGGGAAAAAGAGTGTGAGATCATAGCAGACTTCATCTGGAGTGACATATGCTGGAGGCCTCAAGCTGCGAGTACTAAACACCCTGGGAATTTCTAAACATTATAAATGACAATTTCCTAACTCAGAAAGTATTGCAGCCAACATGGTGGAATGCTCTGCTAGACCTTGTCCTAAGATAAAGAGGAACAGAACTAAAAATTAGTGGCAGCTTAGGTACAAGTGATCATGACTTGATCACATTTGTACTGTGCAAACAGAATCAAGTCCAGATCAGTAATACATATACTTGGTGCTTTAATGGGGCCAATTTCACAAAGGTGAAAACAATTATGAGTCAAGCTGGGAGGAAGAATTTAATCAGGAAAATGTGAATGATAATTGAGAACCATTTAAGAACACTTTATTAGATGCCCAAAAAGCTACAATCCCACAATCGAGAGAAAAGGCAGTGCTGGTTAAAAAACCAACCTCATTTAGAGGGGGAAAAAAATATATTATATATAACAAATAGAAGAAAGGGAAAGTGGATAGTAGTGAATATAAATTAGAAGTTAGGAATTGTAGAAAATAGAAAAGGGAAACAAAGGAACACATGGAGAAACTTATGGCCAGCAGAGTTAAGGACAAGAAGAAGATTTTTAAATACATTAGCAACAAAAAGAATTCTGACAATGCAACTGAGCCATTATTAGATGGAAATGGTAGAATTATAAACAATAATACAGAAAAACCAAAAGTGTTCAATAAATATTTCTGTTCTGTATTTGAGGTAAAACCAGATGATATAGTTTCTTCATACGGTAAGATATCACTCTTTCAATTCCACTAGTATCCCTGGAAGATGTTAAACAGAAGATACTAAAGTCAGACATTTTAAAATCAGCAGATCCTGATAACTTGCATCCAAGAATTTTAAAACAGCTGGATGAGTAGTTTACTGGACAGCTACTGTTGATTTTCAGTAGGTCTTGGACCACTGGGAAAGTTCCAGAAGACTGGAAGAAACCTAATGTGACAATTTTTAAAAAGGGTAAACAGGATGACTCAGGTTTATAGGCCTCTCAGCCTGACATCAATCCCAGGCAAGACAATAGAGCAACTGATACGGGACTCAATTAATAAAGAATTAAAGGCGGGTAATTTAATTAATGCAAATTAGTATGAGTTTATGAAAAATAGATCCTGTCAAATTAACTTGATATATTTCTGATGAGATTTCAAGTTTGGTCGATAAAGATAACAGTGTTAATGTAATATACTTAGACTTCTATAAGACATTTGACTTGGTACTGCACAACATTTTGATTAAAAGACAAGAAAGCTATAAAATTAACATGGCATGCACAAAATGAATAAAAATCTCGCTAAATGACATGTCTTAAAATGTAATTGTATACAGGGAAGCATCATCAAGCAGGTGTGTTTCCAGTGGGGTCGTGCAGGGATCAGTTCTCAGCCCTACTCAATTTAACATTTTTATCAGTGACCATAAAGAAAACATAAAATCGTCACTGATAAAGATTACAGATGACACAAAAATTGGAAGGAATGGTAAATAATGAAGAGGACACATCACTGATTCAAAGCGATCTGGTTCACTTGGTAAACTGGGTGCAAGCAAACAATCTGCATTTTAATATGGTTAAATGTAAATGTATACATCTGGAACAAAGAATATAGGCCATGCTTAGAGGATGGGGGACTCTTTCTTGGGGAGCAGTGACTCTGAAAAAGATTTGGGGGTTGTGGTGGATAATCAGCTGACCATGATCTCCCACTGTGAGCTAAAGAGTTAATGTGATCCTGGGATGGATAAACAGGAGTATCTTAAGTAGCAGTAAAGAGGTTATTTTACCTCTATATTGTGATTGATGTGGCCACTGATGGAATACTGTGTCCAGTTCTGATGCCCACTATTCAGATGTTGATAAATTGGAGAAAGTTCAGAGAAGACCCATGAGAATGATTAAAGGATTAGAAAACCTGCCTTGTGATATACTCAGAGAGCTCAGTCTAATTAGGTTAAAAAAAGCAAAGGTTCAAGGATGACTTGATTACTGTCTATAAGTACCTACATGGGGAAAAATATTTGATAATGGGCTCTTCAGTTTAGCAGAGAAAGGTAAAACATGATTCCATGGCTGCAAGTTGAAGCTAGACAAATTCAGACTGGAAATAAGGCATAATATTTAATGGTGAGAGCAATTAACCAATGGAACAATTTACCAAGGTCATAATCTCCATTTTTAAATCAGGATTGGATGCTTTTCTAAAAGATATGCTCTAGGAATTATTTTGGGGACTGTTCTAGGCTTGTGTTATACAGGAGGTCAAACTAGCTGACCACAATGGCCCCTTCTGTCCCTGGAATGTTTGGATCTATTAAAAAGCAAGGGGACACACACACAAAGATTCCCCTTTGAATTCAGATTTAAAGTCTGGTGATATTTTTAAAGGGAGAGATCCTGTTTATTGGAGATACTCTCCACATTCCCCTCCCCTCAACAGATGAGGCCCTCCATGCTGTATAGTCACACAAACAATCAAAAGACTTTAGCAAGTGAATTCATTAAATCATTGATGTTTTACCCAATGTGTCATGGTCAAATAAAGAAGGGGAACAAACAACTAAATTATAAAGAAGAAAGGGACTCACTGGTTAATTTTTGTACTACTGCATCCAGTTAAACTTCACAGGCAGCGTGCCCTAGTCAGTGAACTTACTCTTGGCTGCGTCCCTGACTCCCTGTGAGGTCTTGAGCAAGTCACTTCAACCTCTTTGTGTCTCAGGGAAGTGTAAAATAGGGATGTTGTGAGGATCAGATAATATTTCCAAGTTCTATATAAATGGTTTATATTAATATTAATAAATACCCTTGGGCTTAAAGACAAGTTGGCAAAAGGATCCATCCACTAGACAGCACTGTAATTCACACCAGGTTCTGTTTTCAAGTAATATATTTCATGTATCAACACATTAGCAACTGAAATACTTAATACACCAAAAATTACTGTACACTAACATGAAATGTAACTCATATATTTACTTTTTGCCTAAAGTGACATTTTCATCAAATAAAATCACATATTTACCTTTGCTGATGAAATGTTAGCAATGCTACCTCATGGTTAGTAGCTAAATGGCAATTCATCCGAAGGAAAAAAACAGCTTTGAAAAATCTTTCTTGGGAATAGCTGTCCCCTGCAGGCAATGTAGTAACATTACAGAGAAGGCAACGTTTACTTAACAACCTCATGAAATCTTACTTATCGTGAATGTTGAGGTTCAAGTCCTTCATCAAGACGGACAGTATTTAGCCTTTACTGTCCGGTGTGGTGAACCATAGATACAAAAGATCAGCTTACCCTTCTGGTAACAATGGGATCAAGGTCTTTAGGATCATGGTGGCTAAGAGTCATGAGGTCAGCATTAAGGGTTCTAATACGTTGCAGGCGAAGACGGATGTATCGTGCAGAGGTAAATTCCAATAGCGTTTGCGAAGGATCATCAGCACTAGGTCTACCATTGATCAATGAAGTGTGAATCTAGAGAGAGGGACTGACTTCACTATATGCTTAATTATAACCCAATTATGATAAAAAAAAAACAACACATCTTTCTGTCAAGACTTAAAAACCCACAAACAAAATGGGGTTATTGGGTACAATGTATCAGAGATATCAAATCAATTCTGCATTCTGTTCGCAATTTCAGTATTAATAATATTAACTGCCTGATTTATGAGTCACATCCTCCTGGAACCACCATTCCCAGAATCCAATGTCTATAGGGCACTTTTGGTGGGACTTCTGCAGGGTCAAAAGAAAGGGGTGGGAGAAGGAGCATGCTGAAGATCATTCCTTGCCTTCTATGCACTAGCCTGGATCTACTAGATCTGGGACCCTTTCTGCTCACAGATGTGGAAGACACTCTGACAATGAGAAAGGAGTACAGAATTTATCCCTCACAGAATGTCTCTTGTGCAATTTGTAAAGATTTATATGGTAAGATGTAAAACTAGCTGTTCACTTTTTCATAACTAATTTGGTTTAATAACTGTGTTCTCTTTATAAGTATATTTCCTCATACACAGAGGTTTTTTCTCCTATATTTTCTCTTTTAGTTATATTTTTAGTTTTGTCTAATGCAGCAAAAAATGTTTCAACAGAAAAAAAATTTAAATAGTATTTTAAAAAAATATTACTTCTGTAATAAGGGAATATATGGGCTTTCTGATAACCTAGCCCACCAATTAAAGTTTCTCGGTGTGTCCAGAGTAACAGCCGTGTTAGTCTGTATTCGCAAAAAGAAAAGGAGTACTTGTGGCACCTTAGAGACTAACCAATTTATTTGAGCATAAGCTTTCGAGAGCTACACGAAAGCTTATGCTCAAATAAATTGGTTCGAAAGCTTATGCTCAAATAAATTGGTTAGTCTCTAAGGTGCCACAAGTACTCCTTTTCTTTTTGCGAATACAGACTAACACGGCTGTTACTTTGGACACACCGAGAAACTTTAATTGGTGGGCTAGGTTATCAGAAAGCCCATATATTCCCTTATTACAGAAGTAATATTTTTTTAAAATATTATTTAATTTTTTTTTCTGTTGAAACATTTTTTGCTGCATTAGACAAAACTAAATTGGTTAGTCTCTAAGATGCCACAAGTACTCCTTTTCTTTTTTCGGTGTGTCCAGTTTCACCCATTCTGGACAGCCCTATGATAAATACTTGATTCAAATATGCTTGACTTAAAATCACCCAAGGCTCATCAGGTTTTCTTTCACTGTGGGAGCCAAAACTGGGATTTCAAATGTGAAAAAGGCAATGTTTGTAAAACTTCAATCCTTAATTGTGCGTACTCCAATTTTATTTTAATCTAGAAGATTAGAAGAGAATTTACTGGTTTCTACTAAACAAAGGGTTATTAGCAACCTCCATAGGCCAAGACTGGGTTTATTACCACATAAGGAGGACTTGTCACAATAGACTAACCACCGATTTTAATGCATCATTTCATTATGTTGCTGCCTCTCTGAAATAAATTACATAAGTACCATGAATAGTCTTGGTTAAAGAAAGAACAATCAACAGTGAGCCTGCACAATGCACAGCTCTTTTAATTATGCTCTGTCCCTGAAACAATGCCAGGGCTTGTTTTCCAATTCCAGCTGTGCAGAGCAGAGCATTTCAGACAGCATTTGCAGCTTTATCTTACAAAACCAGGTGCTCCTAAATAAGAGATGTTCTTTTTTAAATTAAACACCTGGATGTACATAAAGTCTCTATGCTTTATTCTTTCAAGATGAAGTACCTAATTCACAATTAGTAGCCATAATCAAATTATGTGAAGAGAGACAACAAAGAGTTTATAACTAGAATACGCAGAGCCAAAGATATTTTTTCCTAACATTGTTTTAAGTTGTTATATTGGTAAATGAAACAGAGATACTATCATTAAAGGCATCATAACAATCCAAAGCATCTGACAATGTTGGAAGGCATAAATTGTGCAACTGTAATTTAAAATTTCTGAAACTTGCAATTAGTCCTCATTCATGCTCACAAATGACAAGTGCAAAAACAGACAGCATACCTCTCCATGTTCTAATGGAACTAGCCTGGAATAATAAGAGGTGCAGATCACTTCGTCATCTCTCTTGTAAGTAGGAGGCCCAAGTCTTGGTGTTACATTATAACGAGTTAAGCACTCTGTGTCACTAATTGCATAATACTGCCATGGTTTGAACTCCGTGCCATCCACTGAACGTTCCAAAATCCAGTTTCCAGGTCGGGGAGCATTAGCAGCTTTGATTATGACATATGCAACTTGAAAGATCTAAATAAAATTCAAGCAGAAACTATTAACACTTGATACTACCATAAAAAATAAGCACCAGGTGGTCAATTTGGTTGTGAAATGAACATTTTAAGAAGTTTATGTATTTTGCCTGGGAATTCAGTAACATTTGCTAGGAGCAACTTTGAATAAAGCTTTCAGTACAAATATTTGACAAAAACCAACACAATTTGTCATTGGTTTTACGAGAAGTGCGAATCACTTTGTTGCAAAATTCTAATATCTGACCCATGCAGAAAGTGACCAGATATATTTATTGCATCATTTTATGATTCTGAGTTGAAATATTTTTTTGATCCATAGTAGCTCAGGAATAGCTGGATATGTTTCTCACAGCTTTGGTGGCATCCACTCTCTACAGTGAATTTTTCTGAGCATATGCAAATGGGACACCATTATTTTAAATTTGTCTGGTGACATTAATCCACTCAGTAAAAAGTGTTTACACTCTGTTCAGTTTTTAAAGCCCTGTATGGAAGCTCTTCTGTGCATTTCCTCCCAAATATTTTCATCCTATGGTGCATCTGCAGATATATTACAGTAGATGTGAAGTCATTTATGCAATATCCTTATCTAAACAGAAGCACTGAAAGGTAAATAAATAAGATTGTAAAGTACAAGATGAGCAATACACATATGGCATCATGCCCCTACTCAGACTAAGAATGGAAAATCGTTATAGATTTTGCATCTTAGTTTGAACTATTTCTTACGGGTTTATACTCAAAGCCAGATCCTCAGATGCACTACAGCAGCATTCAGCACACTTGAGAGAAAGGAGGGGAAGGGGAGAGGCGGCTTTTTATACCACCTTTCCAGCCCTCAATCCTGTGGACTGCCAGGAGCCAAACCAGTCCCAAGTGCAAGTTAGAGCAGGCTTACAGCTAACTTGTGCCAATGGATAACGGCTCCAAAGGATCCACTCCGTCAGCCAGGATCACTAAGTACATCGGGTCTAGTTCCACCACACCCTGCTCACACCACAGTACTTCCATCACCCCTCTTCCACTCCAGAATACAGCCTAAATGCAATAATGCATAAATTAAGTTTTTGAAGGTTGATAAGATAGTTGCCAATAGTTTAATGTTCTCTCTATGTTACAAAGTCACAGTAAGACAGAAAAAAAAAACGTTATTTAATCACTATGTGGGCAATTTAGTCAACTGCTTTTGAACACTGCCCCCACTCCCAAACTGTTTTTCAGGTGCCTCTCTCTCTCTCTCATATATCTATATTTGGTTGGAGTGGGGGGTGTGGGAGAGAAAATAATTTTGGCCAAAATGGAGCAGTTCATATGCCAATGCTAAACTAGTAATAAAACAAGTTTGATCAGGTTTGCTTTGGGTGTGAATATCTTCTTATACCTTGATACCCACTGGACCTGATTCTTTTCTCCTGCACACCAGTTTTACTCTTTGGGCCAGACACTCATCAGGTGTAAATAAGCGTACTTTCACTGGCTTCAGTGGAGCTTAAGATGCTATTTTGCGCCAACAAAGAATCTGGACCACTGACTTCAGTGGAGTTAATTGTGATTTGCATTGGTGTCAGCAAGAAGAGAACCAGGATCATGGCTCATAATTAGTAAGAGAAAAATCTACAGAGTTTTAAACCCTCTCTACTACAGTACAGTTTTAAAAACCAAACAAAGTCAGTGATTACCAAGAATATAAGGCTCTATATAAGAATATAAGCCTCCTAGTCCATTGACGGGTCCCATTTGAAAATGTTATTTGCTACCAACAGGCTCCTGCAGTGAAAATCATATACTAACATCTCCTTTCAGCATGCAAGGGAACAGAAATTGAGCAGAAGCTGAATTGGGCAACTTCAGTGTTCCATACACAGCAGCCTGATTCTGATCATACACTGATTTTATCCTGATATAATGGACATCAATGGAGTTACACCTGGTGTATGTAAAAGGAGAATCAGGGGTATTAGCACTTAAGTCCTTGTCTGCTCCAACTTAAGTCCATAGGAGTTTTGCCATTTATTTCAGTGGGTACAGTATAAGTCCCTGAAAGGGAATTTTTGATCACTTTAGAAGACAAACAAAACTTCAAGGGTTTTGTGGACTTATCCTGAGAGTTGCAGAACATCCACAACTCCCTTTGAAGTCAATTAAGTTGCTCCAATGAGTAAAGGCTGTAGATTGGACCCCAAATTTGTTTGTAACTATAAAAAATGATATTCACTCCCTTTGCTTTACTTGAAACCCATTATACTTTTCTTTTTACTCACTGTTGGCTATAGTCAACTAAACTGCCTCTTTGCTTATTACACAGTTGGCTGAACAACAAATGAGCTACTTTTGATTACACAGGGTTTTTTCTAAACCTGTTATAGTCTCGCCAAACTGCAGCTGATGTGGCTAGTTTTAAATCCAGTTTCAACAAGCAACAATAACAAGTTACCCTTCATCACACACTAACTGCAGTCACTGCAATGGGAATGCAAATAAATAATATTACAAGAATATGCAAGTTTAATCTATTTTGATTATGAAGTTTCTTGAGGGGGCTCAGTCAAGCAAAGGAATTTTCACAGGGGTTATGAACTTATATTGTTCACTGTAATAAAGTGCATGTTATTTAAAGTCAACACTTTGAAACGTGGTAGCTGATTTTGGGTGCCATACTTGAGACCTCAGGGGCCTGCTTTTCACAGGTCCTGAGTGCCCAGAAGTCCAAATGACCTCCATAAGAGCTTAGGATGTTTGATACCTCTGAAAATCAGGCACAAGACATCTGAAGTTGGGCATCCAAAAATGGAAGTACCACAAAAAAACTGGATGGTTTTGAAAATGTGGTTGCATATGCAGAGTCAGCCTATGTGTTCCTCTCCCAATCTTTCTCCATTGGAGCGTATGGGTTTCACTCCATGTAAACACATAGTGTAATCCACATACCTTCTGGGTGTGGTGTTCTGCCCTATCTAGTGGCACCGAGACCCCTGAGAGAGAGAGAAAATGGGTCTGCTCTACAGCCTTAGCTAAGAGGCAGTTGACTTTCAGCTCACGTGGTCGAGGCTCATGCACTAAGCTCCGGAGGTCCCAGGTTTGAGCCCGCCTGCCAACGACCACGGTCTGTCGGTATTACAAGTGTGGGCTCATCCAGGATTTCAACTGGGAAGTCTCTGAAGCTCAGGGCGTGCTTCCTCAGCTACGGGAAGTATGTAACCCACACATCTCCTGGGTGTGGTGTTCTGCCCCATCTAGTGGCACAGAGACCACTTAGCAAGAGAGATAAAGTGAGTCTGTTCTACAGCTTTACCTAACAGCCAGTTAGCTCCAGAGGCCCCAGGTTCGATCCCTACCGCCGATGACCGGGGTCTGTCGGTGTTACCATAGCACTCAAATAAATAATTCTATGGCCTGTCCCCTGCCCTGCCCTCACCTCTATTCTGTCTTCCTAAGTGAATTCAGAGGACACAAAACATCAACAACACAGGAAAACTTGGCCGCTTTTTAAAAAAAGATTTTTAACTGAATTCTTAATGAGAAATATTTGTATTAAATATCGTAACAGAATGCAATGCCATACTGTACATTTTTATACCATCTTGATATTTATATATCTTTGCTTCTTAAAATATGATAACCAAGGGCAGGAGTGCTCCTGCTACCCCTGTCTGCATCGAGAGGCTGCCTCCATAACACTGTTTCCCCCTCACTGAAACTCTGTGGATGCCTCTCCACTGGGGATTCATAGAGAAGGGACGACACAAATTTTTCAAGTTAAGGCTGGCTCAGGGGACCCGCCACACTCTGAACCACCACCCAGATTTGAAATCTATCTGAGAGTTAATACAGATCCAGCTGCTATTGAGCAGTCATGAGACATCCAGTCATTGCCGCATAGTTCCTATAGAGGCTGTGCTGCCAGGGAGAAGCATGAATGAAGCATCACACAGACACATTCATCTATATGGACATCTTCAGCGTCCACAGATGTGTGTGGTCCCATCCCTGCAGAACCTCAACATCCAGAGGCTTGTGAGGCCTGAGGCTCTCTAGTCTCTGCAAACACTCCCCACTCCCAACTTGAGTGGCTACTATACTGCAAACTCTGTAAAATGAAAAAAGAAAAGGAGTACTTGTGGCACCTTAGAGACTAACCAATTTATTTGAGCATAAGCTTTCGTGAGCTCAAATAAATTGGTTAGTCTCTAAGGTGCCACAAGTACTCCTTTTCTTTTTGTGAATACAGACTAACACGGCTATTACTCTGAAACCTGTAAAATGAAAATAATTTTATACAATTCTCAGAATATTTTCTAGCAAGATTTTTTTATTTTATTAACTCTTAAGGTTAACAACACTGCTGGTGATTTACAAGCTTCCGCACATACCCTTTCAATCATTCTGTGTCTACTAATGTCTCATGATAAACTAGTTTGCACAGCTGTGCTGTGAGAGCTAATCATTTGCGCATTTTAATTTGACTTTGCAACTTTCCCAGAACTGATTTCCTCACTGGACTACAAGGGTAAAAAGGGCAAGCCAAAGCAACTTAGTGATCCCCAGGCAACTATGGATTGGAAAGTGTCATTTTACATGCATTCAGGACCCAGGGCAAAGACCAAACAAATAACCTTGTACTAAAAAGAGTCACAAGTTTGTAGATGCAATGAGCCCTAAGGACCTTATCACTAATTTCTGTTTTGTATAGCAATTTTCCAAAATTGCCAGCAACTGTTGGTATTATTTGTTTCCCTAAACACAGACCCAGCTGGATGAGGTGCATTTTCATTCTTTAAACAGAATTATTGCCATTTTTAAACTAAAAAGTAAACTTTTACCAACCTAATCCTCACGCAATTTTGCACATTCCACAGCTCAGGAGAGTGAGAGACTAATTGGACTGGCAATAGCCAATGCAGCAGATGCTATTTGAACTTCCTCCAGAGATTTTTGCCATTGCTCTAAAATCCTGACTTGTTCCTTTCTCTGCAAGTTTAGCTCCAGGCCTCTATT